TTACGCGGATGATACTAACATCCTAATTAAATCTGGAAATAAAGAATCCTTGGCAAATAAAACTCAATTCATTTTTGATAGATGTACATGGTGTAAAGATAAAATCAGTTATTTATTAATCATAGCAAGACCAGTGTTATTCACTTTACGCATACTCGAAATCCTGCCGGTGTTATTTCAATTTTGGGCCAACCGTGCACTTCGTCTACCAAAATATTAGGACTAACTCTTGACTCTCACCTTCGTTAGTCCCCGCATGTAGATACTGTCTGCCTGAAACTTCAAAAATGTTGTTACACTCTTAGTGTTTTAAAAAATATGTATATGCAGTCGTGAAGTATTATTGATGGTATACCACTCCTACTTTCACTCTCACGTGAGATATAATATTATCAATTGGGGCTATTGTCATAGCGTGGAAAGAATCCTGAGTCTTCAGAAGCGTGCAATACGCATAATATGCAACTTAGGCTACAAACAATCTTGTAGAGAATACTTTAAGGAGCTGAGAATCATGACTGTGGTGAATACTTACATATTGGAAATTTATTCATACGTTTACGCACACAAATCAATTTTCAAAACCGCTGATCATACCTATAACACTAGAAATAAAAAATTAATACAAGCAACATCCCACAAGACATCACTTTTTGAGAAGAACTTTTGTTACAACGCAACTAAAATTTTTAACTCGCTATCACGTTTTATTAATACATCCTCGAAAAAAATAAACTATAAACAAAATTTAAAAGAATTATTGGTGTCAAATTGTTTTTATAATATGGAGGAATTCTATCAATTTGTAAAACCTTAGTTTAAAACGTATTTGGCTTATTGTAAATCTTTTGACGTTTATTTTAGTGCTTTCGCAAGAACCGCACTAAAATACTAATAAATATTATGGTCGGTGTTTCTTGTGAGAACTCAGGTCTAGCCTGGTTAACTAATCGCACGGATTAAAATCAAGTAACGATTAGTGTCTGTGTCTGGTGAAGTTATGTAGGGTCCTAAAAAAAATAAAAGAAATAAATAAATAAAATAAAAATTCACACCATCACATTGGAAATCTAGAGATAGTATGTATTTCATACTTACCAACATAGCTATTGATGGGCACAATAGCCAACGCTATCAGGAAAGAGGAAAACAAAACAAACAAAAAAATCATTATAATAATTCCTGTAATTTTATTAAATGTTATATTATTATTATTATTATTACCTAAGTTTTGCGAACCTCCGCTCCTGTGGGATTAAAATATAAGCTTTGAGTGAAGGAATTCCTTCACTCAAGGATATAAGTAAGTATCTTACAGAGGTTTGTTTTTTTCTTGACTGTGTTTAAGTTTTCTTGACCTTTTTCCTGAAAATAACTATGCCCATTGGATTGATAAATCCCATTTTTGTTTGTAGAATTAGCAAGGAATGAACCATTTTAACAATGATAAATTTTTCTCAAAGTTCTTGCTGTTAATGACACATTGGGATTCAGGTTTCTTCTTCTTCTATAGTGCTTTTTTACAAGGACTATTTAATTTAATTATGATCACTTAACCTTTTACTTTCAAAATCGAATGCGATGATCCTTGTTGAGCAGAAATTTAGTCCTCCAGGAACAAGCAAATATAAAGGAATCCGAGCACATTATAGACATGCACATAACCACTTTTTGTCTGAGTTGAACCATTTCAATAAAATGCTTTTTCAGTTAAATTATAGGAACGTACAAGCATACTGTTCGAAAACTACTTGCCACCTAGGTGCAGAAAAATTATGTTGTTATTTATGAATGCAATGCATCTTGAAAAACGACGAAAAAAATCTTGATTTGATAACTCAAAGCGTAGGTACAACAAGGTTGAAGTCTCTGGACTCGCATGTGTTCAAAAATGCCACGTCTTTCAATGAAAGTACTGTAACAGCAACAAATTTATCAAATAAGTGTAAGTCTAATCAGGGCCAGCTCGAGGCAAAAGTTACGTGTAAGCAAGCACTAAAATTTGCGCCTCTGCTCGCCTCGCTAAGGCCTGAATAAAGGGAACTTTTGGCAAGCATGTTTTTAAAAATGAAATAGTTTTCGCCTTAAGGCGAGTAACTTTAGCGCATTTTCTATAAATTCATCAGTACTTCCGGACAGGTCATACAACGGACTATTTGTGTGTACAAAGGAAAATAAGTTATGGCATAAATATTCTTATAAATAAGAAACTTAAGATTGCGTAGTTTGCGCATGCACACACCTGATGTTTAAAGTATGCGATATGTTTGTCTTTACTAGAAGAATCTCTGTTTAAAATAAAAAATCTCTATAAATAAGAAAGTTGACATTGCGTAGTTTGTGGTTAAAATTTTAAAGAAATATCTCCGTAAATAAGAAAATTGAAATCGCGCAGTTTGCAAATCACATTTTTAATCGGCAAGATTTTTCTGGGTTGCAGTGCCAGAGCTATTAGCTACCAAATGTAAAAAGAATGAACTACATATCTTGAAAACGTAGAAGTAGTTAAGGCCTCGGATGGACAGACGGACGGAGAAAGTGGCCATAATAGTCCAACATGAGTTGGAAAATGTGCTAAAAATACAGGTTGTTAATTAATGTGATAATTGTTTCAAATTTGACTTGACTTGAATCTCTACAATAAAGTATCAAAATAGTTGGCCGCAATATATAGGGTGTTGCATTTTCTTTGTCACCCGGTATAACAAAAACGACGGCTTTTAGGCCATGCATATATTTGCATTTTTTCTTATTTTGACGAGTATCGCCCCCTGAAATATCTGCATGAAATTAATTAACACCCTGTATAGAGGTTCATTTATTACTAGCAAACTTCGTACCGCCTATTCAGCTAAATGGATATCACTGAAAAATTTATGTAGGCACTCTAAAAATACCTATACTGTTAACATTCACAAAATATGTGGTATTTCTTTAAATTGTAATTTGAAATACTCAAAATGCTATAGGAATATTTTTGGAGCACTGAGAAACCTTTGTTTGTACCGAAATTGCCTTTGAAAATCCTTGGTTGTAAAATTTCCTTCGAAATTCCTGTATTTTTTAGAAATTCTTTAATATTCAGAACCATGAAATTTAACAGCTCCATTGTGGTACAAAAGGTAAGAAATGGGCTATTGGGATTGTTCTCATAACTTATAAAAGTTACCGTATGATTACTGTATCAGAAATACTTTCCCGAAACCCAAAATTTCAGTATTGGAGAATGGAAATAAATAAAAGTTTCAAAATTGGGAGATTGAAGTGTGCACAAGCAATATTTTTCATTTAGATCACGCACAAAATTTTTCGTTATTTTATTGCTATTTCAAAAAAGTAATTATTTCTTATATACTACTCAATCTCATCAATATATTAATGTGTCTAATGAGATACTAAGGAGTTCACATAATTAACCTTTATTTAACCCCTCATAGGACTCGTTATGGAAAATGCTCCCCGGTATCTATAGAACAGTGGACGCATTTCATTGTGAAAAATCATGTAAAGAGAACAAATTGCGAAAGAATTGATCTCAGCGGTTTATTTCCTTAACCGGAAGTGACATTTGTTTAAAAAAATTGTTCTATGTAAAATATACGGTACATATTAGGTGAATGAGATTTGGTTCAGAGATTGCCCTGGGAACGTGGTGCTCCGTGCTACATACGATAAAATACTCGTGAAGTACGCAATTACCAAAGAAGTACGGCCAACCATTTGTAGCCCTTGATGGTTATAGAAATGGACCAACAACGACGTGTGTCAGGCCAATTGGGACCCACAGTGCAATTTAACTCTTCAATAATTTTGACTCACTTTATAAATACTTACACATTGCGCCTAAACCACTGCCCCAACAAAAAAATGTGATTGATAGTTCTTTTGACTTCGATGCTCTAAGTTAAGGCATTTCTGGGAATCAAACATTTATTCCTTAGTTTAGCAATTTTTGTTCATTCAGAAACCGCTTAGATCAATTCTCTTGCAATTGGTTCACGGTCATACTACAAAATGATTCCACTATAGCATGCTTAGATGATCTAAGATAGCATATGCTGCATTGCTAACTTACTCTGTAGGAATTTCACTTTTTTTGGTGTCCTTACTTAGAGAAAACTCACTTTGCTAGTGTGAATTCAGAATTAGTAATTGTTGGTTACTTTTTTTAATGGTATAAACTTTATTTAATTGTCGGCACTTACGCAATACTTTTTTTGTAGCATATTATTTTTTTTATTCATCACTATGTATATTATACTATAATGTAGAAGGGTTATCTTTAAATAAATAAATTGGAAGCTGAAATTCTGAAATATGTTTATTGTCGTAGAAGATCTGCAAAAAGACCAATCCGCGATTCTGAAGCGAAAATTCGAACAATTCGAAGAATCAAGGCTGTACAAGCAGGAACCATGAAACGGAGTCAGCAGGACATTATTCAGGGAAGATGTGAAAACATACCTAATTAAAACTGGACTACGATTTACGCCCCCCTTTCAATTTTCAGAAGATGACATTCTTACGAAGTGTGCAATGCCTTTTTGCGTTTAACCTTCGTCATTTCAACGTCCGAATATCCCTTTGGTCGTTTTGTAGGTTCCATTGTGTGTTATCTACCTAAGTAGGTAGTAACTTACATAGACTAATTAACTAGGTCTATGGTAGTAATAGTAAGTACAAGAACTTTAAACTGTATTTAGAAATTTCTTCTTGTAAATTATCTTCTTTTATTTAGTAAGTAACAGAATTGTAATGGATTGGTGGTTTGTTACGAATTTCAGGGGGTGTTTCCAAAAAAAAGAAAAATACTTCAATGAACTAGAAAATTAATTTCTGAAGATTTACGCCTTTAAGCAAGCAAAGAATGGTAAGTAATGTTGGTTGCCTACTGTTTTATCATTTGACCATTATGAGAATGATTTTGTAGTAAAAATGTGTGTAGTGGTGTATGAATAATGGTTTGTGTATACTAATCCCATCCTGATTGTTCTTGTCATATGTAAATTGTCATTCGCCATATTTATTGATGATAACTAAACGTAAAACGTCAACGTTAGAAAATATATAAAACAAATAATAAATCGAATGTTAGGTGATGTTTTTGTATGATCAGCGTGTATATAAACGTTTGTCTCTAGAATAGGTGATAAAATGAACCGTAGTGAAGGTCTCGTGCAACGAAAAAACGTTCTAAGAGAAAGTAATAATGATGGTTCCTCTAAAGATTTACAAGGCTCAGATAAAAAAGATGAGCGCGATGAGGAAGTTGATGACGGAGATTCGAAGGAAACGCGATTGACACTAATGGAGGAGGTTCTGCTGCTCGGCCTTAAAGATAAAGAGGTTCGGATAATTTTTTTCAAAATTTAACCTCAAATCTCTTTTTCAAAGGGCTACACCTCCTTCTGGAACGATTGTATATCGAGCGGGCTTAGGGGATGTATTTTAATTGAATTAGGTTTACGTGGACGAGTCGAATTGGAACGAGCCGGCATGAGGCGAAAAGGACTTTTATCACGTAAACTCGTGCTAAAGAATGACAACCCCACCGGTGACGTTCTATTAGATGAAGCACTAAAGCATTTAAAAGAAACCAATCCTCCTGAAACAGTCCAAAGTTGGATTGAATACCTGAGTGGTGAGTAGCCGCAGGTTCGCTTATTTAACGCTTGACTCTTTCATTACCTATACCTTCTTAAGCAATGTTAATTCTTACTAGTGATGCCGCATAGTACTTATGTGGAGATTAACACAGAGGAAGTTTACTGGTGTAAGTTTAAATTGTTTTTATTTACTAAATAACTAGATTTTTTGTTTTATTTGTCCTTAATTTGTAAGAGGATGGGGTGTCACTGAAAAGTCAACCAGAACCAGGGATATTCAATGTGGTAGCTCAGTATATACCTAAATATGTCACAAGAGCACCCCGTTATCTCACTAGCACAATAAACTAAATATCAAAAAATTAATAAAGCATTTATTTTTCGAGGGACATCAAACAATTTTGTATTTTAATGTTTTCTTAGCATCTCCCTGTGAAGAGAGAGTTTTCCATTTCTCCCCACCTGTATAAATAGAATTCTGTTCCGATAAGTGAAGCAAGGTCAGGTGACACAAAACATCTAAATCAACTTTATAATATCTTTATTTGAACAGAAAATACAGAGGAAAATACCTTGAACTAACTACAAAAAAGTAAAACAAAAACGCTAACAAACCACAATAAAAGTTTTAAGAAAGCGTACACGTTTCAACAGCTAAGCTACCATATCAGTGAACAATTGGTTTGACATTTATGTAGACCGTATGTAGGTGGGGATGGTGTAGCAAGTCATTGTATACTTTTGGGGAATCGTAAAAATATACTGAGATTCCCTACAGAAATTCCTTTTGGCTCGATGTAGGTAGATTTCTTTCCGCCGTTGTGTTCCAATATGGTGGAATTGGCTGATTCACGAACTTGACATATTTATGAGTTACATCAACTCTTAAAGTTTGGTCGAAATTGGTTCACAATTACGAAAGTTAGAGTGTTTCTTGGAAGTGATATATATAAAGCTATAAATACGAGTATACTGGTAGGTAGATAGAAATCAACCTAAAATGATATAAATATTTTTGAGGGTAAGTAAGTAATAAACTCCCAGGTGATTTTTTTGTACATTTATTTTACAGTTCTTCAATTGTTTTTGTATTACTTCTTAAAATATATCTACAACTGCGTATATTCGCATGCTCCAATATTTGTCCACTAGTTTTAGATATTTTTGTAATTCGTCTTCCTTATTGGCAACTATCAACCAAACAAACATATATATTTATTTATGAATCTTCATCTATGAGGTTTAAGGTTTAGTCACAAAACTGTCCAACAGACAAAGAAATTGTAACGAGATACATACTAACAATTAAGTATGTAAGAAAAGTTAAGAGGGATAGAAGATAAAAATAATTATTTTTCAAAATAAATAAAATTTATTATCAGCAACCATGGTATTAGGGTGTTTTTCACTACGCAAAAAAAATTTCAACTGCATTTCTTGGCTGGACAAGTAAAAGTCGCGCTTGCGCAAATTGAACAACAAAAATCGTATGTGTGCATGCGGGTTTCAGCTTCGTTAATTATTATTCCAAAGAAATTTTTATGGATACATACTTGTAATATTAGTGAATATGGCGGTTTGTTTATGTGTCACAACCAGATTTGTTTCTGCATCTGCGTTTAGGGAGTGGCTAGACAAAGTCATTAATTAACACTGTTATTGTTCCGCAAACTCTTGCAATTTTGGAAGCAACGTGTTGGATTCTCAGTATAATTAGTAAAAATGTCGTTTAATCATCAGGGCCTATATATTTATTTGGTTTTTTTGGTCTATTGTAAAAATTAGTTATAAACTTTGTATTCTTCTTGCAGGAGAAACTTGGAATCCTTTGAAACTGCGATACCAATTGAAAAACGTAAGGGAACGCCTCGCAAAGAATCTTGTAGAAAAAGGTGTTCTTACCACTGAAAAGCAAAATTTTCTTCTGTTCGATATGACCACCCATCCATTAACAGATAACGTTACAAAGTGCAGACTAGTGAAAAAGGTATCGAACTAGATACTGTGTGTTTAAACAATGAAACCCCAACGTTTTTAGATACAAGATGCTGTTCTGAGTAAGTGGATGAACGACCCACAACGGATGGATAAAAGGATGTTGGCGTTGATATTTTTAGCCCACGCGAGTGACGTTTTAGAAAACGCTTTTGCACCATTAAATGATGATGATTATGAATTAGCGATGCGAAGAGTTAGGGAATTGCTCGATTTAGATTTTGAACAAGAATCGGTTAAACCGAATACCACCGAAGTTTTATGGGCTGTATTTACCGCCTTCACTAAGTAATATTTGATATTTGGGATTTAGTCTTTTATAGGCATGTCTAGCATTTCCAAAACTGGCCTTAGTTTGGAAAATGTTGTGTTAGAGCGTTATTATCCTTGTTAATTGAAACACAATTACCGACATCACGATCATGTCTATGCTGAAGACTGTTTCCCTATTAGGTAGAGTGTTCGGTGCAGTAATTTTTTCCACTTGTTTACCCAATAAAAGTAAGTGGTAAGTAGCCTTTAGTTGAAGTGGTTTGAAAAGCATCAGATATGTTACCTTTCACCACCTTGTTTTAAATTTAACTAATGGTTAATTACCATGGAAACAAATGTATTCACATTGTAAATTGTCAATGAAATTATGTGAAGGTGATTAATCTTTCGGTTCCGTTAATTTACATATATTATGCAAGACAATCTTGTGAAAACAATGACTTTTTTCGATTTTAATTGCAAATGTAATCATGGACAGTGTGATTTTTTTATTATCCAAGCAATAAGCAATGAAAGTGCATTATGCTTGACAGGAAAATGACCGAGCACTCCAACTTTTTCCTGAAGATTTTTATAAGTGAAACTAACTACAATTATCTGTATTACATTTTAAAAAAATTAAATACATATTTATTATTTTGTATATAAATTTAGCTCGTTCCATTATAGATACCTACTTATGTTTTAAGTCTACATTTTAAATATCATAATTTTATTTACCTATGTTATTAATGTGAAATAAATACATGTATATATGTACTTACCAAGTGTGAATGAATTATTTTTTTAGAATGCTAATTTGTATTTTATAATTTTTAAAATTTGCAATTTATCAGTATACCATGATTGTTCATTTGTTGACACTTGGTATAAAACTTGGCAAATTACAAACATTCTTAATTCATGTTTTATTACTGGTCTATCTTCCTGTAATTACCGTTTTAGCTTAAAAAATGATGATGTATAGTTTCTGGTAAATCTGAAATGTGCAGACATCACAAAAAACTTCTTTCGTCTGTGGCAAGTTTTTTACTATTTTTTTGTGTTTATAAATTAAAGGTCGTACACAAAAAATGTTGGAAATGGACGATCTTGACATCTATCTGTTTGCATTTTTCACTTAATCCGTTAAATGGAAAGAAAAACATTTCTCTTTTTTAAATTGAATATTCTTGACCGTCGTTTTTTTTTTAGATCTGATCTATTACAATAACTTAATTTGTCTGATCATACAATTATGCCTTGTTTGTGTTTTTTGCAAGTCCAAACTTATTAAGAAATGTCATATTTTGGACGACTGGAGGCAAGACTATGTACTCGCTGCTCATTTAAACATTTGGTCTATGTATTATATAAGCACTGTCGGCAATTTGTATTGTCGCGCTCGCTTGCAACTGGAGGTATTCTCTCCTGCTATTTGAGCGCACCCTGCAGTGATATTTCTTGTTTGTGGAGCGATTTTTCTCTAATTTTAACAGTCCTGCCATAGAACGCATATTTTACAATTACGGCGTGCGCCAATAGTAACTTTTTTGTGGGGCGATTTAAAATAAGTTGTTCCATTGAAAGAAAATATAATGCACTATTCAAAAATTTGGTGCGCTCCTGCGCAATAGTAACTTATTTGTGGAGCAATTTTCCTCCAATTTTAACAGAGGGTTGATGTTATCAATATATCGATTTTTTAACTCTATTGTTATTCGATATATAAAAAAAATTCCCACCCCTAGCTGGGAGTGTATCAGTTCGCCGTGAGAATTTTTTTTGTAAAACCACTTCCCGTTTCGCGGAAAATGTGTTTGTTGAGAGCAACTCGCGGCTGTGAAATTTTGTTGGGGGAATCGCCGGCCGATATTTTGTAATGCTTATGGGGGATGCTGCTCTAGGTAGAGTGTACGAGAGGTTTAAAAAGCGGAGAAATGACAATTGAAGATCAACTCTGTGCAGAACCCCCTTCAATGTCAAGAAGTAAAAGTGAAGAAAACGTGACAAAATCAATGCTTTCATTCGTTAAGATCGTCGCCGAGCCATATTGATCAACTATGCGAGATGTTTGCATGAAATATCAGGAAGAAAAGGGCAGATCTTTGACTGGTTCCTTACGTCATGACAACGCGCCGTCTCCGTAAAGCAGTTTTCAACCAAAAACGGCATGACATCGATTGTCCACCCCACTGTGAGGTAGATAAAACAAAAATCGCTAGGAGGCATAAGAACATCCCGATAAGTGAATTTCAAAAATGTTTTGAGCAATGGACACATGGTTTGAAGAAGTGCGTTGTAGTCAATGTAGAATACTTTGAATGTAATTAAAATTTGGTGTAAAAATAAAGATTATGAAATTTCCGTTTTTTGGGCCCCCTCTCATATACTGCACATTTCAAAAATTGGGTGCGCGCCTGCGCAATAGTAGCTTTCTGATTTGTAGAGCGATTTTCCTCAAAATTTAAAAGCAAATAATAATGTACATTTCAAAAATTTGGTACGCGCGCCTGCACCTCAGTTTTTTGTTTGTAGGTACGAAGTGCAGACGTTAAACAATACTATCGCTATCATCGTTTTATTCTGATTACTCAGCAAAGATTACTCTTTCCTCATACCTAAACCTTAGGCCAGGTTCATACTGAGGCGATATACGATATGAACAGATTCTTAAAATTCAAAGGTTCGTAGTCGCGCGATATCGTCCGCTGTATCGATGTATCATCGCAACATATCGCTTATTGACAGTTATAACTTATAAGTAGTGAACGTTTTGCGGATTTTTTAAACGTATAACATTCGTTTTTAAGATATATCTCGGAGTAATAAAAGTTTCACCATTTTGTTTCGGATAAACACAGTAGGTAAGTTGGATATGTAATTTTATACTGATATAATAGGAAACTACGATGGACAACGCTGGTGACCTAAATAGGATAGTGGACAAATTCATCCAGTTTTAAAGGTAATGAAGAGGTAAATTACGTTGGAAATTAATAATACCATGTGTATACATCTTATGTATATACAATGATAATAGTAAATGAACGTGATTCGTACTTAATTCAAGTGAATAATTGAAATGAAATGAAGTTTATAATTTTGGTTTCAGATTTTATGGATGAAATACTAATTAAAATTGAAAGACCGAAAAAAATACATCAAAGAATAGAGGCACTACAAAAAGGTCGCTGGATGGACTTGAGTAGGTATGCAAAATCTGAGGACCGCATTCTGCCAGTTGATCCAATTTCAGAAAAGCTTGTAGATTAACAGTTAAGATGTTGCCGGAAACCCTATTGGTCCAATTTTGTTTTATACCCTCTTCTCCATTGTGAGTAAGTTGATTAACTGCATGTTATATATCTATTTTGATGATTATTTTAGTGAAGATTATTAGTTTTTTTAAAAAATAAATAGACATAGTTAAAAGTTGACAAATCAAATTAAAACAGAAATTAATAATAATTAATTAAGATGATGCAAAGGACTTATCCAAGAGAAAATTATTAATTATGAACAAAAGCAAATATAAATATACATACTTGAAAGAAATGCAAATAATCAATGATACACATTTTTACAATCGCTATTTATACACTTGCGAATCAAATACAAAGGAATGTATGTGAGAGAAACATGTAGCTTTAAATGCTTCGAAAATTTATGTTATTGATGGTATGGCGCTTGTTCATCAAATTCAATTACATATATTTAAAACCTTTGGTTATTTTGCCGTTAAAAAAAATTTATCTACACAAGTAAGAACATTGACATTGCGCAATCCGCAATGCGCACATTTAATTTTCACTATATGCAATGTTAGCCCTAACTAAAAGTTAAAATTTCTAAGAAATATCTCAATAAATATGAAAGTTTGGTGTTGCCGCCGAGATCACACATGAGCGGATTTGATTTTCACACTATGCTTCTTCAAAATAAATATCTCTGTAAGGGCCGGTTGCACAAACGTAGTTTAAACCTCGTTTAAATTAACGCAATGAATTAAGACATATGATTAGTGGAAATTTGACAAAACGTCAAATTTCAACCAATCCTAGACTTTAATCCATTGGTTAATTCCAAGCGAGGTTTAAACTGTCTTTGTGCAACCGGCCCTAAATAAGAAAGTTGACGTTGCGCAGTTCGACCATGCGCATATTAAATTTATGCTATATACCAATGTTTTTTTTACTTATGGTTTAAATTTGAAAGAAATATCTTCATAAATAACAAGGTTGGCATTTAGCAATCTTGCGTATGGTCACATTTAATTTATGCAATGTTTATTTTTACTAGAAGCGTCTACGATTAACATTTTGAAGAGATATCTTCATAAGTAACATAAGTTGGTATTTGGCAGTCTACGCATGCGCACATTTGATTTTTAGTATGTGCGATATGTTTGCCTTGAAAGTTAACATTATGCGACTTGTTTTTCTTAATTAGAAGATGGTTAAAAATTCCAAGAAATACTTTCATAAATAAATTGAAAAATTAATTGTGAGAAATGTACAAAAATAAAAAGTTTAATGAGTCAATAAATAACTACACCTTCAGTTACAATTTAACACCCTTAATGAAGTAAGAAAACCACATAAATCCGGTCATCGCAGATAAACTAAACCATGTTATTATGTACGATAAATGTTCATTGCGCAATGCGATTCTTGTTTGGCCACCAATAGGCCCACCCTTGACATCGCAGGTATCTACAGCATCCAAGAAAATGGGATCGGCTCCCGTTACATCACACATCTGATTTAAATCCCTAAAAATACACAATTAACGCCCCATTATAATAGTAAGTAGTGTTACCTGTAGAACCAAACATTTGCGAGAGGTTTATTTGCTGGCACAAACTGTGGTCTATTCTCGTGAAGGCGAACGACACCCACTAGATCGATTACTCCTTTTATTTGACCTAGAGGACGGGTTGCAGGATCCTTATTTTTAGTAGAAACCCACCCACGATTTACCAAAACTGTCGTGCTATAAATAATGATGTAACGTAAAGGAACTCGAGTGCTGCATAATACTCACTCTCGATTTTCCAACTTGAAGGGGGTTATAACTAAATAACCTTGTGTATTACTTTGCTTCGTAAAAAGAGAACTGGAACTAACTGCGTCGCCATGATGAAGTAAGGAGCGTGGACCTATATAAAGTTCTTTGCTATGATCAAATTCTCCTCTAATGTGAATAGGATAAAATTCTAGTTCACTTATTTCATCTATGCTATAAAAACCCTGTTAGCTGGAATAACACTAGCAGTTTGATACCTTTGCGGAAGTTCTACAGCAGTTGCGTTAGTCCTTTTCTCAAGCTCGGCAATTAAAGATTCTTTCCATCGTTTACGTTGCACTTGCCAAGTACCTAGCGCGAAAGTACTACTCGGTATTACCTAAAATTAAAACGATACAGCCAAAAAAGTTTTGTAGTCTACAAAAGTACAAACCAATAAAAACCAGCCCAAAGGCCCAATTTCCTTCTGTTTATTTATTTTGAAGGTTTTTGAGTAATTACGGGATGCATTTTGGAAATTAGCTCGAAGTTTAAGCCCTAATTTCAACGTTCTTTGAGAAAAATGCAAAATACTTGACATTTTAAAGGTTATGGTTATTTTGAATTTTGACTAATTTTTAAGGTTGTCGGTAACTAAATATACGTCGACGGTTGCTTATGTTCATTGTTCAATCACTGGGCTTATCCATACTTGTCTTCACCGTAACACTGTATATTTATATTTATTAGTATGCAATGACCGTAGTATAATTGAATTGACGAAAACAGAACATAATTTACTATTTGAGAGGATTTCTTTTTCAATACCAAGTTGAGTGTGTATTTAATTACGAAGTTGTATGTATCTATTCACAAAGGGAACCTGACGAGGTAATACTTTCACCCCAAAGGCCCATTGTGCCTACTCCCTTTTCTTCGCAACTAGGTTCAGAGCCTGTTCCTCTAAATAAAGGATAGGGCCCTGTTTAGCTTTTTAGTTGCTTCACTATCCCCTGTGTCAGATTCAGATACCTCTGGTCAAGGAGCTGATGTCTGTCTCTGATCAAGATTCAAGGCGTCACAGAGACAGACCACATGCTCTGTAATTTCATCTATCTAGCCAGAGAACCCGCACGTGGGCTCCTCTACAAGCCCAATGTTATGCACCATCCAGTGTCCCTTGAGGAATCCGATATATGATCTTCGCCTAATCTGGCCTCTATTTCGTTTTAGAAGTTTTAAGAGACCCATATTTGCCGAGGAGTTCAAATAAGAAAACCCTGAACTTAGTTACCACTGAGCCTGGAATTGAATGGTCGCCCAGTGTTTAAGTCTGGTCCCGGCAACGGAGAGGGAAACAACAACCCCCCTAATGCCTTCGCGACCCATCTCTTTCGCTCTTTCGTTCGTTATTAGAAACAAGAATAAGAAAAAACTACCAATATATTTATACAAAAGCTTTTGGTCATTAAATAATTTAAAACATTTCTAGTAAATTATATATAGTAGGTACTAGTTGTAGCTATCATGGAATTAAAGTGTCACCAATTAATGGAATAAAAAATTAGCCAAAGCTTAAACGTTAGAAAGGGTACGTTTTTCTTCTTTTGTCAATTCCGGATGCCAGAAATCTATAATTAAAATTAACCTGGTGGAAGTTCCATTATGCCATATTTCGTGTTCGAAACTATCGTCAAAAATCAAAAATTCACCTTCCACCCAAGACCTTTAATTATAAAAATTATATTGAAACATAAACTTTTATTTTATTTGTAAGTTGCTATACCTTATTTCGTTTGCAACACGAATAAAGACACCGGGAGGTACCTTGAGACCCAAATGTGATCGTAGCCTGCAATTTGTTGGCCCACAATGAGGCCACACATGTGTGCCAGGTTGAACAACGCTGAATTTAATTTGACCTCTTCTACATCCGGTAGCGTCGGGAAACGTTTCAATTAGCTGGCAAGTTTTGGGACAGCGCTTACAATTTTTTTGGTTTTTTACGCCGCGTGCGTAAAGTTCAAATTGTTTCCAGTCACCTACTTCACGAAGATCTTCACTCTCACTTTTAAACAGGCCGTCAGTATCTAAGAGACTGAGCCCCTCATCTCGAATCGTAGTCCACTTTTCCTCCAATCTTTTAAAGAAATGCGCATTGGACAACTGCTCTTTCTTCCACCACGGTCTTCCTGTGAGTCTATCGACATTATGCAATGAGCGTTGATACTTGGAGAGGAACACTTTATTATTAACACCATCAATATGTATCTGAAATGTGGAATTAATCTCTAAGTGAATTTAAAAATAACTTACATACTGCCATAGCCTCTTCATTCCTCCCTAGTCGTATTAATGCGTCGCCCAAATGATAATAAAATCTTCCATCAATTACACCTGGATCTCTGGTGGAAATTCCCTTCTTTAGGTATTTAACCGCTTCTTTTAAGCTTAGATCATAACGCTTTAAAATAAAGCCATAGTTCACCATGGCAAAACCATCATTCGGCCATTTTAAAAGTATATCATGTAACACTTTCTTGGCTTCGTAAAAACTAAAACCACCTGGATTTAATTTGAAAAATCGGATAAGCAACTAACTTGTTCATTGTTAGATAAGTGACTGCCAGTTCATTTTGATAATCTACGTTCTCAGGAAACTTCAAAATTAATGATTTATGAATAGAAATGGTTCTCTTGTAGTTTCCTTTAATATCGTTCTTGTTAAAGAAAAATTATGGTTTTATTAATCCTACCTCTGAATCGAAGTCGATTAATGCATCGGTCGGCAACTTGTATAAACAAGACGTCCGTTACGTCAGGCAGTACAAGTGTCTGCTCGTAGGCATCGATTGCAGCCTCCAAAAACTTGTTACTTCTTTTTTGTTCGGCTAAAAGATCTAGTGACTGCGCCCTTCCATATAAAGCACGGGGTGAGGCGGGATAGTTCTCAACAATTTGGTTAAACAGTGTTAAGGCATAAGCGGCATCCTATATTAGAATTTATTTTCTTAGTAATTAGGCAAACAGTTTGGACTACTTATATTGTTTTAATTCATTGACACATTGATTTCTGAGCAGAACTTAGTAATGAATTTGAGCAAATGTTTGGTACATAAAATAGAACTCTTTGTTATACTAATGATGTATACTTACTAAATGGCGATCAGTGTATGGTAGTGACGAATTTTTTACTTCTTTCTGACCAACACTGTCTTTCTTTTTAGAATGTTTGATTCTCTTAAAATTTTCTAAATCTCATGTCAATTTGTTATAGAAGCAATTTCTAAAATGTTGCCATAGTAATCATTAGTCTCTCATCCATTATTCCAACACAACAATATATATGTACTTGTCCAAATTTAGAAGCAATATTAGGGGCATATAGGTATAAATGTTTGTCTATAACGGATAAAGTGCCTTTTTTTCATATAGTGTGTTATTATTTATCAAAATAAACATTTCAAATCGCAATCATTTCAAAGTTAATGGCTAAGTTATTATCACAACGTTTTTGTGTCAATACAAAAACACATCAAACAGTAATAACATTCCACTTGTTTTAGATTAATATCGCAATTCACATAAGTCACACAATCAACGCTTTTAGTTTAAAATAAAAAAAATCTATAGAAAGGAATTTTAAAGGTTCAGGTATTCTCGACTTATTCCTACCAAAGAATACGAAATGTAAGCAACATCAAATAACATAAAATTGAAACTTGGGCGTTTTGTCGATGTTGTCTGCAGTTTTTCTGGAATTTCATCTCAACAAGTAGACAACATCGACTGTCACCAAGTAGGCAATGCTTACATTTTTTAAATTATGTCCAGCTCGATCGAGTTCATCTCTAATTTTCCAATCGTTAGTGTTTGTAATATTACTAAAATCATAATTCGTCTGTCCACTAGATTGTGGATTAGCCCAACTATTTTCGTCTTCAGAATCAGAATCCTCAATTGGGACAAACGTTTTACCTAAAACCGATAAGATTACATGCATTATTAGACTATCACTTTTAAAATTAACAAAAGGAAATATTTGACAAATGGTTTTTAATGATTAGGAGAAATAAGTGGTATACATATTACGTTTCCAGTGATCATAATTTGTACTTCCATCCTCTTCATATTCTTCTTCCTCATCCTCTTCGAGTTCTTCTTCCTCTTCTTCGTCTTCATCCTGATGCAACGCACCGTATCGTTCTTGCAATCGTCTCAGTAGCTCCGCGTCTTCGCTTTCAGATATAATTTCGTCATCTTCGTCGCTACGATCTGCCTCCTCCTCTTCTTCACATTCCTCCTCGTCTTCTTCCTCGTCTGGTTCATCCTCGTCTTCCTCTTCCTCCCCCTCTTCCGAATTATTATACATCTCTCTAGGAATCCAATCAGGTGATAAATTGTGGGAATATGCGGATCGCAATTGTTGATATTCTTGCCTTAAAGCAGAGGAATCGAGCGCTCTCTCTTCTTTAGTTTTGCACTCTTCATCTTCGGAATAATCTGACAAGGTTATGTCTCATTATTATACACTTTTATGATAGAACCAAAATTCCAACAGTAAAATACCTTCTTCGGTTTTTTCATAATCTCGTTCAATTTTGTCTAGGTCAGGTGGTAGTACTATTGTATTTCTTCTGGTTAGGTCTAAAACTTGCACATCTTGAATGCCCCCTTCTGGTTGGTTAACACTTATCTTGGCTAAGTAGAAAAATCCAAAAATAAAATGTAGACCATGACCAAGGGCATTTTGGGGTTATCACACAACTAAGTATATCAGGAAATGCACTTCGTTAATTGCGTTATTATTGTTACATTACAGCCTCTTATTTGAAGGATTATTTAAGGGTTAAAAGAACATGCGACAGTTATACCGACCAGATCTCCACTTCTTAATTAGAACAACGTGTGCCACGATCAACAATGCCGTTCCAACACCGAATCTTACGACCACTGCAACATACAGCGGTATTTAGAAACAATTTGCATTTCCTGATCTTAATTACATACAAAATCATTATTAACCATTTGTCAAATAAGATAAACAACCAAGTACTCACTATTAGAACTTTCTTTTACTGTTTCATCAACGTCTTCCGTCTGGATTTTTTCAGGCAGCTCCTAAAATGTACAGTATAACGTTTTTATTTCTATTTAAATCACGCGTACCTTTTCGGAAGAATCCATAGTTTCTTCACTACGGTTTTCTGGTTCTTCATCGGCGTTTTCTTCGGCTTTCATTTCATCCGAGTCTGGTCGTCGTAATCTTGCGGTCTCAATTTCTGTGTCATCTTCTTTACTTTCAACGGAATCGCTTACTTCGTATTTTTCTTCGGTATTCGTCACTTCTTCCGCTGTTTCTTGATCTTCAGGAGTGTCCGATAGTGGTATATCACTTTCTTCTTGTGTTACCGAATCAGTTTCGCGCGTTTCAAGTTCTTCATCGTCATCCTCTTCGTCTTGTTGAACTTGCTCCTCCTCTTCGTCTTCTTGGGTTGCATCGTATTCTTCTTTTTCCTCATCGCTTACAGTTTGACTGTTCTCTTCCTCTGAAAGTTCGTTAAGATCATCACTTTCGTTGTCATCGTGGTGCGAGGAGTGGTCGTGTTCATCGGCGTCGTCACCCTCCTCGTCCTCTTGTGAATGTTCCACACTAAGCGTTTCTTCGTGCTCGTGGGGATCGGGGAATTTCTCTATCCAACCTTCAAATATATGAGCAAATGCCGATTCTGTCTTGATAGTATCCACTAATTAAATAAAAAAGTAACTAATTACGAAACTTGTCAGTTTAGCTGAGCTTACGGTCTGTAAGTCCGCGATGTTCCGTAATTATTAATCCTATAAGCGTACTTAGAATTGTTAAAAGAACAAAAAATACTAATTTCGCACACAATCCTCCCCCTGTCGTGGCTTCTTTGTGCAAATGTATATTTAGGTCGTCGGCGAGAGTAGGTGTTATGATGGACGGCTGGGGTATAAATTCTTCAGGTCCATCTTCTGCAATAAGAATATGCGAGTAAATATGCGACGATGACACGCGCCTAATTAAAGCGCCATACAAGATCTAGAAGTAGTGCGCAAAACTAGCTGTGAGTCTATTTTAAGCCTGACATTTTCCAATTTTTTAAGAGTTTTGTTAATATTCATTACGCGTTAGTATTAGAAAGTTTAAAATCTAAACGTACCTTTTCTTTTCCTTTTGTCGCGTTTCTTTTTCGTTTGCACGGCGCTAGCCATCACCTACACAGGGTTATAATTCCTAATTTAGCCTTACACCTGCGTTGCGTTACCTCCTTCTGATCTCGCCTTTATACCTAAAATCAAACATATTAAAATTTTAGTTGGAATAAAGTATCGAAGCTGTTAAGCAACAGCACTGGCTTTAGAATTACGTTTACTGTCCACCATTAGCGAGAAATCACGATCTAATATCCGCACGCGTCGTCTATTAATACCTACATCGTTGGAGAACAAACGTATTGTCTTCAACCACCTTTTACACGTACACATCACACATGTAAAATTCAGGGAGATCCCTTTTGGCCAAATTAAAATGTTTGTTAGAATTAACGTTTTTAGACGCCTTGGTACTTGGGTACGCGCGAATTGATTCCAAAGGTACCTCCAAAAATTTGAGAGAAATTCGATGGGTTTAGACATAAGCACCGTCCAATTAGATGAAAGGTACGGTGACGGTATGCCTTCAAAAGCATAGGTAAATACGAGGGTAAATGTTTTTTTGTGAATCCTTTACGCTGTAGAGTGCTATTCTTTGTATAAATTGTTTTTATATTGCCAAATGCGTACCAAATTATTTTACACTTTGAAAAATTTGTGTTCAAACTTGTCTAGAAAGCTTTTGGAAATCGGTGTATTCACTTATTTACAATTAAATTCGTTTGAACAAAACAATTTCAATTGATATTATAGAATGGCTAGCAAAAACTGATTCAAAATAATTCGGTACTAATCAAATTGCGAAGTAGTACAATTCTAAATTGATTACCATTACCATTCAAAGGTAAAATTGTAAGTTTGCGCTTAAAAAAAAATAGTGTAGGGAGATATGGTTATCCCTCTTTGTTTCGAGTTGTGGTGCTTGAGGGGTGAACTCAGGCAATCGTGGGAAATGCGGCTTTTCGTCCGTCACACGTCGTAGTGCCGCCACGCGACCAGACGGATCCCATCGTATACTTTGGGGCATTCAAATGATAAAAAGGCCATTACGTTTACGTAATTAATTTATACTTTTTATTCTCCATACACCTATCATTATAGACATTTGAAAAAAGGGCTAAGACAATTTTACGAACACAAATCTGTTATAAGCATCGCCGGAGTTAAATTAGAAGGGTTAAGCACCAGCGACGGCATTCTTTTGTTAAGGCTACCTGAATTTTAGAGAACTAGTTTTACCTGGGAATTAGAAAATATTAATTTGTAAGTATGGGATGATGTTTCATCGATTCGATCGTTCTTGAATGGTAAAGTAAAAAGCGAGATTTCTCTGTAGTAAAAGGCGCAATAGATTTATGAATGAAATTAAAAAAGGATAAAATAAGGGTCAGCACGAGGGTAGCGTTCGCGTGCTAATTCGACAAGTGGGGGTAAGAGTAGGGGTAAAAACGTGCCAGAACGGCGTTAAGACGGCCGTCAAATCAACAGGCCAAGATACATTCGATTGCGTACGGTACACACGTCGAAACGTCGCTGTGACAGTCGTCCGACACGCGTTTAATTCCGTCGCCGTTTTCTTTAAACAAGTGATATTAGAACGACTTAACAAATATCATACCGTTTTTGATAACATGGATCATTCTTCCTCCCACAATGCTTCGATGCACTGGAATTATTCCGCTGCGAATACGACTGCTTCCTGGACTCCACCGTCTCGACCTGTCAAAAGACCACTATCTGAAAGTGATGATTGTGACGAAATATTTTCAGAAGAATCATCTAAAGACCAGTGAGTACATTTATTATTAAAGTGACTTTTATTTATCTGGGGCAATTTTAGATGCACATCTCCTGGTGACACCGATAGCTGCCAAATGCTCTCGAGGAAAAAACGTCGAGGAGTAATTGAGAAAAAACGGCGCGATCGCATCAACACTTCGCTTTCGGAGTTGAAGCGCCTCGTTCCCAGTGCTTTCGAAAAGCAAGGTTCCTCCAAATTAGAGAAAGCCGAAATTTTGCAAATGACTGTGGATCACCTGAAAATGATTCATGCCAAAGGTAACGACATTCTATTGCTAATTTAACGCTAGGGTGGCGAAATTGTGGAAATACTATACGAGGCCCATTCTTTTGCATACCTGTTGCGTCACAAGTGTCATTAGAATAAAAACACAACTGTTTACTTAATCGACTTCCGGTTTGAAATGCTGGTGAAACTGATAATAAAAATTTTCAAAATGAACGTACACCAACCGTTATTGATTTGATTAATATTAATGCCTTTATTCACCGTGACGGTTCCCTTATTTCTACGCGGTTGCAATTACCTGCCCCAATTGTACGGAACATATTTCAACAGAATTTGCCTTTCAGGATTGGATGCACTAACCTACGACCCTCATAAGTACGCGATGGATTATCACGGGATGGGATTTCGAGAGTGCGTCGCGGAAGTGGTGCGTTATTTGGAAAGAATCGAAGGGTTGGACATGCAAAATCCGCTAAGATTACGACTGACATCGCACCTGCAATGTTGCGCGGCCCAGCGGGAGTTGGCAACGAAACAGGCGACCACAGCTGGACCGTGGAGTTACCCCGCAACCCAACCGTATCCACCACTAAATCCGTTACCATCACCTGTAGGACCTAATCACGGTCCCATAGGAAATTTGGGGATACAGCAACAAACGACATCCGGATTACACCATCAAAATGTGCACCACGATTTAGGCAGTTTTGATGCGACGACCACTTGCTCACAGACGTCGGTATCCCCTGCCGATCCTTCGGCACGTTTAGCTCCCGTGACGACAGTTTTAACGCCGTTAACGACGAGCACCGCAACATCTCTTGGTTACCCTCCTCATCAATATACGCCAAATTCATTCAGTGTACCAACAACAAGTCACCATCAAAATTACAATCAAAACAATACGCAAGGGATGAAACCGTATAGACCTTGGGGCGCCGAGGTCGCGTATTAGCGAATAAATAAGCGTTACTAAAAGTGCCTGTGGTAATTAGTGGCCTATTATAAGACTACACATTCGCACCTAATGGTGTTTTAGTCATTTTTGTACCTTAAGCTATTTATTTTAAAATTATTGTAAGTGTTTAAAGAAATATATTTTTATTTTTTCTAAATCTAATCATTTGGCAATTGTCGAACTATGTTCACATGGTACGTACGCCGCAGCTGTGGTGCTAAACAAAAGTTTTTCATGCAAAACATTTCGTACAACTGGAAAAACTGGTACAAATCGTATTGTAAATAGTGAAGTGGAAGTGCAAATCCCTGGCGGACTTGGAATCTGCAACCCTTATTGTTAATGACTGTTTAGAAACCTGTTTCCTTTTAAACAGCATCCCATCGACCGTAAAAATATCAATGGAGACAAAGGATTTTTACACGCGTTTCCGTAATTTTACTTTTGTGAAACTGGTTGTTTTTGTCCCATACCCCTAATATAACAAAGAAGGGTTTTAAAGAAAAATACCTCAACGTGGCGAAACTAAAAATTGCGTACTAGTTTACAAATGTAAATTCTGCAATGCGAGCGATTTACGCGAAGTTCTACTAATCGATAATATAAATAATAGAAATGTAAATAATATTTTATCCTGGGTGTAGGGTTGGAAGGATATGACTTAGTTGGGGTGGCAGAACGTGGGAAATGGACGGGCAACCGGCTCTCATAAAGGTAGCGTCCGGCCTAGCAGCACACGCCAGTAGAGGGTAACATTTTGTCCCGCATATTAATGTAACGAACCTGCTACACCGATACGTTTAATTACAATGTAACTTCCTTTAAAAATAATTTAAATTCGTAATTAAATATGGAAAAAAATTAGCTTATTGAACGCACGGTTCATATGACTTTATAATTTTGCTCACGAATTTCAAAAGGTTGCGTGTACTTTTTTGGAAATTACACTTCATTTTTCCAAGTGTTGAACAATAATGGGTAGCGAAAAGATTTACCTGTGGTAAAATCTTTCAGGTGCTGAGCTTAAATTGATGCTTATTCTGAGCACCTGTTGGATTTACACAAAGAAAAACCCTTTAGTCCTTTCTACGTCACGCATTTTGTAATCATTGAATATGAAGATTAGAAAGCCGAACATTTGCACATAGGTACCTATACGTACTTAGGTGCTCTTGGTGGTTCAATGGCAGAAGTGCCAGTGTTGAAGTCGGGGTCATTTGGAGACGACAATGTTTTTGACAATCAAACCATTGTAGGTAATCATTTTATTTGGTTCAAAAACACTATCGGAGGTAAGAGAAGTTAATAAAAAAAACAGTATAGCCAAAATCCCACCCTACAGTATAATACTCTTACACGACAATTCAACGGAATCGGCGCAAGACACGTTAACATTTTCATTTTCATTCATCAGGGCCTATCATGGTAGTTGCTAAATGCCTAGCATCCACTCCGATATGTAATTTGTAGTTGGTTAAAAGTGCGAGGGGTAGACGGTTTGGTAATTTTGTTGTACTTATATTTTAATATTTTGAAAATTTAGTATGATTTCTGTTTTTATCGCTCTTGTCTGAATTGGCTCGGGACATTGAATAAAAGGTTAAAGTTTTATTCAATACTCAGGATTAGACCAGCCCATACTGAAGATTCGTTTGTCACTAGTCGGCACCTGTATTAAGTTCAAAATTAAACATATTGTAACGTAAATTTAATTACGTTCTTTATTTAATAATTAGGTATATATATTTTAATAATTAACAATGCATTTATAACAGTCCTAAGAAGGATTAATTTATAACAGTAATTTTTATTTAGCACTCACAAACGCACATATACACAATTTCGTTCTTTATCGCCGCTGACTAATTTTTCATGGCGCCTCGATGTGTATCAGTATCAGGATTTCTGAAATATTCACTGCCTTACCCTCCTCTTAAAATTGCTGCGTCTCGCAACACGGACGACGGTTGTAGCGGAGACACAGTCCCAGGCAACCCTTGTTCTACAGTGCGAACTTAATGGTGGTACTTACACAACGACCCCCTCGTGCATCTTACATTCTTGAAGAACCAACAATCCATCGTCTTACGAATTGATTGCGGGGCTCCTCTGGGGTTAAAGCAACAGACCGCGGTGCCCTGGAATACTACTTCCAGCATGTTGCGCACAACTCACCAGTCAAACCTATCAAGACCATATTCGATCTTCGGAATTAGCCAGCTTTGTAAACGCCATGAATCTGTAGTCGATTCAAGTTCTGTAGCGCGTTCCAAAATCTTCGTAACTAGTTTCTCTTAAGCACCCAAATTAGAACGTAAATCATCGTCATGTACTTGAGCCGTCCGGGGTTTTTGCGGTGCCCAACCATCATCCACAAGTACCTTGCGTCGCCCAGTCTCCGGGGCCCAACTTTCTCGCCCCTTCCCTTTGATCCGTTCTAGTTTTCTTGGATTATTCGTTACTATATTTTCGCCGTTTTTACCACAGCTTCCCCATCGCAATCCTCATCGTTTTGTCTAACTGCTCCAATCTTTTTACTATCTCTCTTATTTTTTGTTGCTTTCGTCCCTACCAATAGCGTGCACGCGCGTTTTCTTGGCAGCATTAAACTCCAGTGCATGCGCCAAAACCGTTTCCAATTTCTCATGCCGCGCCAGTTTCAAAGTTATCTGCGTTTCCCCGTCGCGAACGCCACTGATGAATGTCTGCAACGCCAGCTGCTGTATTAAGCTTTCTGGCGCTGTAGGATACGCCAATTTTATCGACCGGGCTATATCGGCTTCGAGTTTTTGCAAAGTTGCAACCGTGATACATTTTCTCCAAGTCCTTTTGCTGGTTTCCACGTAAAGTAGCTATCAGGAAAGTTGCCTTCTCTTCCACTGTCCACTTATTTGTACCTGCAGCGGCCTCAAACTGTCTCAAGTAGATGGACCACAGTGATTTTCCATCGAATGTTGTTGGCTTAACGTGAACCAATACTTTCACATGGTTCGGAGGCTTGTTTGCGGGACGATTGTGGAACAGCAAGTAGATCTTGTGTTATCACAGATGACATATCACTCCTTTTGCGTTCTTCAGTCAATACCATAAATCGTTTTCGTAGTTCATCGATTTCGTTTTCTATCCTATGAATTTTATCTTGGACACCCTGCATTTCGTCTTGAATCATATGCCTCTCACTTCTTGTTGACATGCTTCTATTTTAGCCTCCATGGATTGTTGACCAGTTTCGATTTTGGCTTCCATTGATTGTTGACGAGCTTTCATTTCAGCTTGACCGGCTTCGATTTTAGCTTGACCCCCTTCCATGTCTTGCATTAAGTGCAGCAGTTGTTCCATTTTTTTCTGACGTAGATCTGATCACTATTGGCGTACACATTCATTAATCGTTCACTTGAACACAACCCCACATCTGACACTGCAGTATAACGTAAATTTAATTACGTCGTTTATTTATTTACAAATAATTAAAATCAAATTTATAACAATAATTATTATTTCTCACTCACATATACACAATTTATAACAGCGCGAACTATTTATTACTTAAACGTACAACAAGATTCTTTCTAGAATGTTCTAGAGTGCTCAAGGGCGCTTCACACTGTTCTAGAACAAACACCTCATATTTCCATGAAAGATTGCGTCACATCCGCCCTCGTTCTTTATAGCCTCTTTCATGGCGCCTCGATGTCTATCGGGATTTCTGAAATATTCGCTACAGTATTTGTTTGATAATTCATTAATTCTAATTAAATACAATGATCTAGATTTTGACCAGCACCATACAAACAAATACAAAACGCAAAATTCAATCGTTCAATAAAATCGTCTTTTCGTCGCCGTTTTGAGTTTTGTAAACAGAAAAGACTCCGTGTCTAACAGCAATGCCGTACGTTAAAGTCAGAATTCCGAGCAGAATTCTTTTCGTAAAAAAATTTTTGTTTTCTAAATTAGAACACAGATTCGTCGAACTTGTATATTTAAAATAAAACGAGATGCAAAAAAAGTACGTTACGGCATGATAGTGAATGAAATAAACCAGTTTTAGATGATAAGGCGTACAGTGGAATTTTGTTAACAGTTGGGCCCTTGACAAATAAAAAACATCATCTACCAGATCTCTTTTGGGAGTGGACTATATCGATGTCGAACCTTTTGGCACGAATTATCGCTAGTAAGCAAACGATTCATTACTTTACCCACATCAGATTAACTAAAAAGTCTCTGCTTTACCGTTTACCAACTTAATGAAAATGAGAGTATGACAGGGAGAGCACACAAATTGAGCTCAAATCAATGTGTTAAGCAGTTTTTCCGACGAAATTGGTGAATAAAATCGCCATACAAGGTTGTACTCTTCTTTTCTTCGACGCTGCGTACCACCAGCTACTAAGCCATAATTCTGGAGGGTGCACTCGAGAATGATGGTATTGTAGTAAACCAAGGGTAAATTCATCCTTTGTTCATGGTTCTTCGAACCAAATGGCGGTGTAGTATAAAAGTTGAATAAAAAATGAATTCACTGTTGGTTTACTACAAGACACCCTACAAAATTTTGGCTTAGTGGGTGGGGATATTTAGAGTCGCAGCAGATTACTCAACATAACAGCCTTATGCATCGGTTTTGCCGCTTGGAGAGTACCCTGAGACTCAATAATGGTTGTGAATCTGCTTTATTATTAATAATTTTACAATATGGCGTATTACTATTTTTGTGTGACCATGTTATCAGCCTGTGGTTATACTGGAAGCCAACGAGAAAGACAAACGACAAAAGAAAGCGCAACCGACTAACATCCGTAACATTATTTTGATTGTATATTCGCTCTTACAGAATGTCTGTTGAAATCGCTGAAGTTATTGTAAACTCACGGAAGCCAGTGAAGGAACTTCAACATTAATACAGAACGAATCAGAGAAACCGCACGGTTTGACAGATTTATAAAGGATTGGGCGCGAAATGTGGTCCTATTGGCATACCCCTTGTTCTGAATAGAATACTTTATTGCTCTTCATGTAGTGACACACTGCCCACACTCCACATTCTATGTAATTACAAAAGCTTACGTAATGTATAGAGCTGGGGGTGTGCTCATTAACTTAAAAATTTAAGCATACCTAGCTCATAAGAAGGTCTTTTTCACCTGCTTCCTCATTGTATACCTACTTACGCATATATTGTAAGGGGAAGTATTCAAGACGGTCTACTTAATACGGTCCTGATTTTTTTGTATAAGGATATTAAAAGTCGGCCATTATGGTCTCGTGGCTGCCTCATACTGGAAACAAAGACCGACGATCAGCGTACGCTAGTACACGCGTCGCTATAATTACGACTAAAATTTTGGGTTGCGTCCTTTGTCGCCAATCAGCCCTTACGGATGAATTTGTATTAACGTGTTTTGTAACGAGTCGAGCGCGTTAATTCGTTGACAACGAAAGGAGTGAAAATGAAAAACGGTTAAAAAAGAAATGATTCATAGCAAATAGTTCAATTAAAGATGAGTGCAAAGGGACATACTTGTTACATATTGATTAGCCATTGGTCAATATGATTAGACTCTGGGGAAAACCACTAAAAGTGCGCAAAATTTGTATTGCATAATTAAAACACAGTTGTCAGAGAGCTTTATGTTTATCTACTCGGGACCTTTCTCGATTCTGTTATTAAAATATGTAGGTGGACATTGGTCAGTGGCATCACGAAGTTAATCACCCCAATGCATTGAAATCGAAATCAAACAAGAACATTATATGGCATCTGCCCTCTTCACGGACCGTAAATTTTGATGGCCAACTATTGATACTAGTGATCGCCATTCAAATATGACATTTTTATATTTGCTGACTTCTGTTAATCTTTTCACTGCTGTACTTAAATCTAGTTTATGAATTATATAAATGTAAATTCGAAACGCTTTTGCATCGTAAACCGTCACTAATTGACGTATAAGTGATGTAATTAAAACACATTGTCCATTCATCGTCATAAATTCAAATGTCAAGAATTCGTCACTTAAAAAACAACTTGTCAAAAAAACGCACATTCAAATGCATCCCTTTCGGAATAGTAACCCCTTCGTGCTAAGGGTTACGCATACCTACCTCTCTTTAAACTTTAATTTAAAGAATGGAACGTAAGTAGTACATACATTTTCAATAATCCGATTTGGGCAATTCAGAAAATTGTGTATCAGTTGTAACCTTTCTCTCACAACAAATACTGAATTGTAAATTTTACTATATGGAAAATATTTGAGGGTGGCTATGTCCAAATGCGGTCAAGCAACTTACATTCACTTCTTCAGTACAATGCAAATCAAATATAGCGAAGTTCTTAATTTAATAACGTTTTATAACGTAATTTATCTATAGAAAAGTAAACGTACCTACGTTGCATACGTGAAAAGGAAACGAATGATACATTACCAATTAGTTTTGAATTAAAAATAACCGATCATGCCCTAACAATTTATCAGTTTAGTGACATCCAAATTCAATAGAAATTTTAGATTCGATTATTGGAATTGAGACCTCCCCAATTGTAGTTTAACAAGTGATTGATTGGGTTTCTTTGAAATTATAAAGTTATAAGAGGGATATGTAGGAAAAGTAGTAAGGCCCATCCCTGTATATACGATAATACAATTACTGTATGTTCGTTATGAACTGTTACACAAACTTAGGTCTAATCATTCTTGGACGAATTCTATAGTACCTGTATAGGTATACTTGTACGTTAACTTGTTGGAGTTGAAATCACGCTGTATTGTACTACATCTTCACTTTATTATTTATTCCCAAATTAAATAAACTACATAGCAAAGACTATCACGAGTCCAGCTGAAGAGCGACCATCTTACTTGCTTTGGTTTAGGGAACTCCATCAGGGGTAAACGCACCAATACTTCCCGTCATTGCAATGAACGGAAAATTATAAAATAAAATTAAACCACCGAATGCCATTCAGTTACGCAGGGCCGCCTTAGCCTCGACGGGCCTCGGGAAGATTCTGATGATCATCCCTACCTACCATATAAATTAACCGATTTCCTTCTTGACTACTGGAGAACTTTTGAATAATTTATACATGCACAGCAGTTTCTATAATTTATTATACTTTATTTAAATAATCGAAATTATAACACATTCGATCAATCAATTTCTCTTCAGCACGTATAGGAACATTCGCAAAAAAATTGCTATTAAAATGCAATTGAACATCAGGTCACTTTGGGCCGGGTTTCCAAGGTTTGCACCGGACATTTACCCCCGCTTATGCCCCGGCCCCGTATTGGTGGACATGGACGGTATCACAACCATACAATATGTACGAGAGAGTAATTACACTATTAGTATAAATGTAGTGTACGTATATAATCAGAATCGAAAATATCTAAATTTAACGCAAATCTTTGGCTATACTTGCACCATTGTATTATTTTGTCTTTTTTTAAATTAGTTTACTAAGTGCGGTACCAAAAATAATAATTAAAAAAAATTTTCTATGTTTTGGCCCATCTTGCCGATTTTTAAATATAACTTAAATACGCACATGCGCCACTCACATTCGAGATCAGGCACCAATACCAATTTTATATTAAAATAAAAGAAGGGGAACGATTGACAGACAAATTAAAGAATTTAAACTATATAACGGAACTATAAATAGCTACATACGCGATTAGCCGCTTTCAAATGCACGAAAATTTTTAATTGTCTGAATTTTTTAACACATCACCACATCACAAAGGATCGGCACAGATTAGCGAAAGAGAGTAAGTAAACAAAAGTGGGTGGGTGCACTTATCAAAGCTACTGTTGTATGCATGGTTCACGAAATATTCCTTAAATTGGTAGAGAACTTTTTCAACATTGTTAGTATCTATAACTTTTCCTGTATACCATTTCCGAACAAAGTTTGGTATACTTGACCTCTTGACTCGTTAGATTTACGGCTACTGTTTATTCTGCACCTATAAGTGACATTAATTTATGGATCACATCGACGTACGTAAGAAGTGTTGCCTAAATGCACGGGCATAACTATTAACTATGCATTTACAAAAGCACTAATAGTTTTGTGTTTTGGTACATAGGTAACATAGGTTCTCAATTTCGGAGATTTTCAATTCATAGGCAAAGAGTACCCTTTGTCATAGGGAAGTTACTGGTTTCTCCTACTTTTCTCCAAATGAGCTAGGCTGCTGTATCATGCTTTCCTTTGCAGTTCATGACTTCTCCAGATGTTCACTTCTTAGCACACTTTTGCAAATTTATTTGTAAAAAGGTAGCTTTCAATCTCAATTTGGCTGGCTGGCTGGCAGCAAATGCGAGCCCGTAGAAAGACGAGGAGTCTACATGTACCTATACCTATAACCGAGGTCGTGTAATTTACAACTTTAGGAACGGGGCAACATGGTGGGGTCGGCTACACCTGGGCGCGATCCCCGGGCGTGGTTTACGAACCTGGTGATCTTTCAATTTTTTCCTATCTCCTTCTACAGTTTTGATTCGATTATTTTCCATCTGGTGTCGCCGAAAAGATCTTGTAAACGCGCACAACTCCTCCTTTTGCAAGGCGCATCTTTCCTCTGCGAATTTTGTCACGCGGTTTAAAATTTCTTAAAGCTGTCTTTCTCGTGTGGCCAATAGAAGCTCGAGCTATGAGAAGTGCCCCAAAAATTGAATATTATTTTGTGGTGAGTCTTTAATGAAATCCACTACTATTTCGGACACTGTTCCATTATGCTTAATTCTCATCTCGCGAAATAATAGTTTTTTAAACTTGCGGAAAAGAAAAATGGATAAACAAAAATCTACAAAGATACGGGCTACATTATCTAGATAAATTAAAGAAATGATCTGTCTGAGAAATCAAAACAAGGTAACAGCCTGTGCTGTGGCTTTTGTAATGGTTTAAAACTGTATTAGAAATCTCAATAAGTACTGCAATCCACTGCTTAAGTGAAAATAACTAAAAACTGCCACTATTTCTAGAAAATTTCAAGTAGGCGTCTTGAACCTCAAATATTTTGACGCACTCTATATTGCTTTGTAAATTCAGAATAATAATTATTTGTGTGATTCGATTTTTTTTTGGAAATTTCTGGTCAGTATTAATGAAGTCCTTATTGGTTTTATCACATAAAGGGCGGATGAAAAAGAAAAATCCTGTCGGAATACTCTCCGTATTTGCGTGCAGGTAAATTTAGACTTTCCTTCTTGTTTATATATTCATTACAAGTATTTCCTCCAGTTCCGCCTTCAGAATTATTATTAGCGGTACCCCGTTCGGTCTCAGAGCTGTAGGTAAGTATTCGGTTTTATGGCATCTATCGCATTTATATACATAGAGTTCCGATTCTCCTTCGTGCGTCAAGTGGTTCTTGTGGTATATGAATACCATAAAATGCCTCCGAAGATATCCCATGGCACGGACCGCATTTTGCTGGATTGGTAACCACATTTCTGAGCACTTTATGGCACTAGAGGGAATCTTTCGAAGCTTCAAGTCCTTTTTTCCGGTATCGTCATCTTTCACCATTCGCCGTCTTCAGGGTTCAAATCTCTTCGCTCCAGCGCGTGTCGGTTCGACTCACCGTGTCGCCTTCTTGTTTTTTATTTACCATTTACCAAAGTAACGTAGATGCTGATTTTTGGCTGAATTATGAATTGCCTTCTACTTCTGTGACAAACCGTCAAGGTCCAGTACGATTGCCTTCATTTCAGGATTCCAACGAATCCGATGCAAAGATAGGTATTGAACAAAGCGTCATAAATACTGTTAATCGAAGTTTAATGTTTAAAAAAGTGACGGATCGATGAAGACTGACAATCGTTCGCTAACCGTTAGGTACCTCGCGCTTAGACGTTGACAACTAGCAAAAAATGGTAAAAAAAACTCCAAATTTATGGTTTGACAATATTACAGATACTTATACCTACGTAGGTAATACCATTGAATATCCAACTCGATATTCAATGGTAATACATATTTAAATATTCCCGATAATACGTGCGAATCCATTTACGAATGACCACTTGTATATGATATCTTGCGTTTAAAACGGAAGGAGGATCGGCTATATTATATCCTCGTAAGTCCAAATGATGAGCTGTATCAGGCATAACAATAGCATATACAGAACGCGATACGTTTTGCAAAACGCCACCTCCAGACCAAGGATCCATTAAACCATTTGTGAATATTATGTTGGAAGCAGCAGCTAAATGCTTGCCACCATACTCTCGAATGGCCAAATTCGGTCGCGCAATGTGAACTTTCCAAACTTCATAGCAGTCCTGTGAAAACTTGGTATAATTCCAAGCTTGTTCTTCAAACATGTCGCGTTTGGTCGAACACATTGGCATAATCATTTCAGTACAAGCCTAAAAGTGTCTTGTATAAAAGTTAATTAAATAATATAGGGTTACCTGAAAATTCCAAGCAAAATCGTCGATACCACCCCAGGAAGATTTGGTTATATTCACGCATTTGGTCTGTTTGGTATAGTTAGTGTATATATTTAATGCTCTTCCCAATTCTTCAATGAGAGGCTTTGGTTTATGTGTAGTTACAGGTAATTTACTACAAAATGCTTTAACGGGATTTGCGGGTAGCGTCGAGAGAAAACTGGTAGGATATGGGTAGTTAACCATTGCCAAATTGCCATACACATCTTGCAACCAATTAAATAGCACCTCGACATCGTTATCTTTCAAAGTATCGCAAAGCTTCCAAGTTTTTGTCAACCATTGGCGACCCTCGGCACTTCCAGTTACATTCCTTGAATGTCGTCTTTAATGCTTTGTAAATTATTATTTCACAACTTACCGAAGTGCTGACCAGGATTTCTTTATTACATCCGCACAGTCATTAGTTTCTGACGATGTTCGAAACACCGAAGTAACAATGCTACTAAATACGTCACAAGGTGTTTCAAATTGTAAGATTGGAGCCGACGATGCCACTGCGCCCAAAACACTGGAAGGATACTTCATTCGTAACCATGAAGACAACATTCCTCCGTATGATCCCCCAAATGCAATAACGGGATTTTTCGAATCATCCTCACCATTTCCGTTTAGAGTTTGTATATGGTCTATGACATAAACAAAATCGGCAAGCGCCTGTGCAGAATGTAAGTAACCCACATATATGGGATCTGAGAAAGATTTATCTCCAAACGGTAACGATGTTCCATAGTATCTGAAACACATCGACGATATCTGGTATAAAAGTCATCCTACAGAAAAGTTTAGGTACTTACCTGTGCTCACAAAATACGATTAAAGCCTTAAATGAGGGAGCAATTTCCCATATAAATCCAGAGTTTTGAGCAAACGTGTTAATATCCCCTTCGTTTCCAGTATAAAAAAATATCGGTCCATCGTTATTCCAATATGAACTGTTTATCAAGTATCTTAGCTTAAATGTGGCATTATTTGTAAAACTGTTGGAAAAAACATAATTATACTTTGCCGGATGTCTTAAAAGTCTTACCTGAAGTGATCTACTGGAACGTCGACATAATTTACATTATAGACGTATTCACCTGAACTAAAATTAATGCCAAAGATCAGTATCTCAATAAATAATACAGAACATTTCATGATTGAGCGTTGTTATTGAATTATCTTTGACCTCTTGACTAAGTATTACTGATAGAATTTAATCCAGCTTAATCCATGTACTTTACAAGAAGTATTAAAAACGTATAGCGATTTAAATGATATGTACAAATAAATTTGTTGCTACTCTTGATTAGAAATGTATCCATAAATAAACAAGTTCACTGATGCATGGTTATTATTTATATGCCATGGTGGTGTAGGTATACTGAAAGAAAAGTTTACTATGTAATTAATTGCAGTTATGAAATATCAGACTTAAATAGGCGTCAAATCAGTTGCTTTGTTACTGCTATTAAAATGGTTTGGTTACATTTTATTGGGCAGTGCGTAGCTATGGTAACGTTTTCTTACCAGTAATCTGTTATCAAAGTTAAGATTGATAGCTACTATTATTTATCTACTACAACTACAACAATATTTTGCCGGTGTAATGTTCTTAAATCGAACAAAAGTTGTGATTAGCGCTCTTCACGGCTATACTATTGTATGTGTACTAGTGGGTGGTTAGTCAGAAGATAAGTTGTGATTAGTAGAAGCTTTATTGTGCTCACTTCATGATGAGCTACGGCTACGAGCGTACAATGCTAATTAATGGCAATTGAATCACCTACTTACCTCGCTCTAAATAAATTGAGCCATATAAAAAAACTATTATTATTCTGTTATTCTAACACGTTCCTCGTTATTATGGATAATTTCACTCAAAAAATAGTACCTACGATTTTGGGGGTGAGATAGGTAGGTACTACATGCCTTTGGGAAGAACTGAAATAAAATAAATTGTTCACTGTCTTGGGTAAGTGTAGTAAACATAAATATGAATAGGTAAATAACAGAGTTTATTATGATGCACACTTATAATATAATAAATCAAATAAAGTAAACACCGTGAAATGAACTAAACAATATTCTTATTATAAATAAACGTGCAAAACCAAAATTTGAACTTGGTGTTAGTATTGCTTTTATTTCAAGTGTTTAGGTACCTATGTATTAATATATCCTGGAAAAAAATAAACTATAAACAAAATTTAAAAGAATTATTGGTGTCAAATTGTTTTTATAATTGCGATACTGTGAAATAAATCCAAATCTCCAATCAGTTGTAATAGCTAGTGACTCCTTAAGCTCTTTGACAAGCCTGCAGAATCTTGCATCGGCGGATATTTTAACTAAAATGTGTCAAGAAACGGTTATTGCAATTGCGTCCAATGGCACTGTGGTGACGTTTGTATGGATACCGGCACATGTAGGAATTTTAGGAAATGAAGTTGCAGATCGAGCCGCAAAAAGAGCAGCCTCGGAAATAGAAATAGATGTTCCTGAAATTAAAAAAAGTGATCAAAAAGTGTACATATTGCAACGCATGAAAGAACTGTGGCAACAATCATGGCAAGAAAACAATACCTTCTTAACTCAAATTAAGCCCAGTGTTGTAACAACATCACCAGCGTTAAACTTACCACGTCAAGAAAGTGTGCGTCTCCACCGGCTTAGAATGGGACATACTGCAATTACACATACTTACCTTTTAAAAGGCGAGAACCCTCCACTGTGTGATCTATGTAGTAATGCCATGTCTGTAGAACATATATTATGTAACTGTCCAGCCCAAACCGTGCAACGTAACTTATGTGACGTACCACAAAATCTGGAGAATTGTCTCACAGACGTCCAAGGGATCAAGAGTACGTTACTATACTTAAAGCAGTCGAGTTATTTCACTAAAATATAGTATTTCGCAAAGGTGGTCGATACCCGACAAGAATGATTATAAAAAGGATATAGTGATAGTGTAGTAACATGGTAGGGAAGGAATATCTTTGTAGAAACAGGGCTAATGACCAATGTAGTTGATGCCCACAAAAAAAAAAAAAAAATATGGAGGAATTCTATCAATTTGTAAAACCTTAGTTTAAAACGTATTTGGCTTATTGTAAATCTTTTGACGTTTATTTTAGTGCTTTCGCAAGAACCGCAGTAAAATACTAATAAATATTTTTATTATTATTATATGAAATTTCATTTAATTGCTTCCATAAATAAGAAAATTGGCACTGCACATCATGCACAAAACCAAATTTAGAAACTGGCGCTACATTTGCTTTTATTCCAAGTGCCTATGCATCAAACGGACAGACGGACAGACACCGCAAAATTATGAACTCACTAGGAGCTCGGTAATAAACGTGTAAACAAATATGGCAAACGAGCTCCTGGGTATGGCTATAGTATGTGCAAGACCTTCATAAATAAAAAAGTTTGCAATTCGTTTCATAAATGGTCGAAATGTGAAACGGGCACTGTGAATGTTGAATCGATTAGACTCAACTTTTGGAGTTGCGTATTATACAGCTAGAGCTATGCCCATTTGAATTTCATACAATTCGGCTCATAACTAACAGATATGTCAAAAGGGCCTTCCTTATTTTTTGACCTATATTGCCAATTCACGAACTGCGATCTACAAATTTGATAAAGCATCCACTTACAAAATTTCATCGTAATCGGTCCATTCGTTATCGAGACGGATGGACATACGGACAGACACCGCAAAATTATAAACTCGTTCATTAATAATGCATATATAAAGTTGATCAATCATTTATTGGCTTCATTTAAAAAGGCAGGAAACTTAGGTATCTTTAATAATTAATTCAGAATTAAGTCTTGCAAACCAAAAAAAGATGATGTCGAGAATATAAATAGTTTGCAGATCAAGTAGATTTAACATTTGGTAGATGACATAATAGAAATAAACGACGAAAGATAATATTGCTCTCAAGACTAATATTGTACACTGGTAAATCTCAATATACGTAACTGTTGTATAAATAATAAACATGGTCCTTCAAGCACGGATATTGAATTCACGAAGAAACTGGTGTACTGTGTTGCGAGGATTTTTGAAATTTTAGTTTCGAGAGTGAGTGGATGCAATTCGGATAGATCCCAATTTCCGTCCGTGGGACGTGTTAGTTTATTTTAGGATTATTATCCTGATTTTGTGTATTGTTATATTGTATAAGCAATTTTGTGCAGTTAACGGAATATTCTCAAGAAAACACATTGTATTTCGCGGAAAGAATGCCTCACATCCGTCGTCTTTTCTTGTCGCCGGTGAGTAATCTTTTATGGCCCCTCCATGTCTATCTGGATTTCTAGAATATTCGCTGCAATATTTCCATACATCTTTTATAAACAATCGATGAGTCCGACATATTGTCTACAAGAATAACGGTTCCTGCGTTTTAAAACAGTAGTAAAATAGGTTCGATTTGCGCACTCACTTCACTCGCTGTTTAACAAAGTTAATAACAGATACAGGTTTGGGCGTAATTATTGCATGAACTGCAACAACAAAAATGTGCGAAATAATCAAATTCGCAGAGTTGCTAATGTATGGTCGTAAGCTTGGTCGATAAATTCTGCAATCCCGCAAATCCCGCGGGATCCCACTCCATTTACGCACGGGATTAATCCCGCAAAAAAGCTGCGGGATCCCGGTATCTCGTGGCTGCGGGTGGTGGGATAATGCTTTTTAAGCAGAGTTCCATTACAATCAATAAGCACTATTATATTTATATATTTTTTATTTGCGACATTTTCAATTCAGCACGAAATTAGATCACTCACTAGTAGGCGGGGGACACTTTGTAACCCGAAGGCCCAATCTTCAAATAAGTATATAACTTTTGTCAGTGGCGTATACAAGGGAGGGGTTTGGGGGTTCAAACCCCCTCCTTTGGGTGATGCGCTCTCGCCTCGGCACTTGCATATTGCGGGGCACCCACAAAAACAGCAATGATGCTACGCGACAAGTCGGGGATATCTTGGATATCGATGGGGAAGCGGCAGTTGGTGAAATGAAAGTTTGGTGGCAATATATTTCTTCCTCGCACAGTTCTCCAAAAAATGCTCTGGACGCACTGAAAATGTGCCATCCAGAAATGTTCCCAACAGTGAATATCTTACTAAGAATATTAGTTACCTTATTACCTGTGGCAACTGCCACCAGTGAGAGATAATTTTCTACCCTGAGACAGCTCAAAATTTATTTGAGAAATACCATCAGCGAAAATCGCCTCAATGGTCTAGCTTTGTTGAATATTCACAGGCATATTGCTGTAAACATTGAGAAAGTGTTGGATGAACTTGCTCTCAAAAAAAGGAAACTTCCACTCCGCTCGTCTATCTTCATATTTACTTCTTTATATATTTATTACTTCATATCTAATATGATACGAAAATATGTTTTGTTTGAGTTTGATATTATATTTATAATTATTATCTATTCAAAATAAATTCTTTGATAATACTTATGAAAATAATCTTCACAAACTGAAGATATCCTTTCGTTCTAAACTAAGTTCCTATGCATATTCCTCCTTCAAGATTAGTTTAGAACCTGAAATCGTAAGTATACTTACAAATGAAGCAAATTCCAGAAGCACTAAAATATATCCTAAACCCCCCCCCCCCCCTCGACGACATTCTGGATACGCTAATGACTTTTGTTAGAAAAGTTATTTTAAAAAACTGTTCGACAATTTAGATGTACACAACAAATTTCGTGGAATTCTCTCCATTTTCGTTGTCCGGCCAAGAATTGCAGTGGAACTTTTTTTTTCGAATTTTCAAAAACTTATTCCAAATTCGTCATTTTCATGTTCAAAAACCCACAGAGGCCACAGATACCAAATTTCGTCGAAATTAGAATTTTTTCCCCCAAGTAGGGGTGCGCCCTTTCGTGGTAAGAATTTTGAAAATTTTTTTTCAAAATAGGATAGGGCATACCCGAAAACCTATTCAAAGAGGTGCCACCCATCTTTGTAACTCCTAATTTTACCACTTTCACCACTTCTTTAGGGGTGGCTAGCTCTCAAACGAAACACGTTGGACCCTCGGTTTATTGGAAAAAGTGCTTGTCCTGATCCTCATCTATCACCCAATTTTTTTTACATGCGGTCATATATGTAACTCCTTGTATACAGATTTATGGTAACAGACAATGGCGGAAGTGGAATCGCATCATAAGATCGACGCGACTTCTCACATTAGAATGCTGTAAAGGAAGGTCGGAAGAAATAAATGAATGTCGATATTATTTATCTCAAAGTTAGCAATTACAATATTGCAAAACGTTAAACATTCTGCATTGTTTACTCTGAGATAGGGACCAATAGTGTTACCCGATTCTCAAATGAAAAAAATTGCTGTGACCAGCACACATACCACCCGTACACATGCACGATTCTGCACGGCTCTTTCTTTTATGTGTAAGTCAGCGTCCACAACGCACCGCCCATCGCACCGCACCAAGACTTGCCCCTAGCCTGGTGTTGTCGAAGTAAAACAAATCATAGTTTCAAATACGCTCGCGTCGCACCCACTTCTCTCACTGGAGAAAATTAGTATTCTTGAAGCTTGGTGCATAGTACTAGGATCGCGCGATGGACAAGGACAAACAAATGCTCCTTCTTTGGGAGAGCGGTGCGGTGCGCCGTTATGGACGTACTCTATAAGACTATGTGCATCAAATTTGCTTCCAATTGGTTCAGTCGTTTAGTCGAAAATGATAGTGCAGACAGACCGACATTATCGACATTTTGTTTGATTCGGATTCCTGGTGGTTCAAAACGTGAATTTCCGTAAAAAAAAGTAGGGGCCCATTTTTTACACCAATGCAATACCCTCTCACTTACGTTCGGCTGGTAAAAATGTAGCGGTGTAATTTAGATTCTACATAATTTCCAGGGTCTTCTATATTAAATATGTAGGCGGGGTACATTTTTTGGAAACGATTTCGCAATCTTGTTTGCGTACGCTCCCTTTTAGTCCGCCACTCTGAGACGTCTATGGCGCGCTAAATCAAATTTGTCCTACCAATGGCAAATGTGTATAATGAAGTTAGCTATTTATTTCTACATAAATGTCACCCAGAAAAGAAATGTATGTATGATCGTTTATAGAGAACGTAAAATTGTTTGAAACCGCAGTGTAATTTCTGTTAAAAAGTATTTTGTACAGAGAAATCCACTTAGACACACAGCGTGCAACAAATTACAGTATCGTATGCAGGTTCATAATAAATTTCGTATAAAATGGAAGCTATAACCGCTGTAGCCCAAGACCCAGAATCTGATATGGATTGTTCTGATAATGAAGGTTTTGATGACTACGATTATTATAACGCAACAGAAGACAACGACATTGAACAGGTGGACCCTAGTAAAACGGATCCTGAACATTTCGAATATGAATGTCTCACAGAAGAACAGGTAGAGCGACTTCTCAACGAAACTGTCGAAATATTGAGTAACAATTTACAAATTACTCCTTCTCTTGCCAAAGTAAGTCTGAAAATGTGTTTTTGTTACTCCTGCAACTTTTTTTAAGGTTTTATTACATTCACATTCATGGGCCGTTACAAGTATTATATCCAAATATAGAAGTAATCCCGATAATTTACTTATTAACTCTAAAGTGAAGCCTGTAACAACCCCTTCTACTTCAAGCACATGTTCAAGATACATGACCTGTCCGGTGTGCGTCTCTCCGCAAGTCAACGAGAGGTTTTTTAGCCTTTCTTGTTTGCACTCATTTTGCAAAGACTGTTGGACAACGCATTTTGAAGTTCAAATTGGTCAGGTGGGTATTAGTTTTCATGTGTAGCCTTTTTATTGCGAGCTTTTTAGGGTATTTCTACTGCCATTAGCTGTATGGCTCGAGAATGTGAAGTGCTAGCCCCCGAAGATTTCGTTTTGAAACACCTTTCGCGTACAACAATGAGGGAGAAATTTCAACAGTACTCGTTTCAAGACTATGTCAAGTCGCATCCCGAATTACGCTTCTGTCCAGGACCGAATTGTCAGGTTGTTGTTCGTAGCAGGGAGCTGAAGGCAAAGCGATCCGTCTGTTGTCAGTGTAAGACGATTTTCTGCTTTAAGTAAGTATTTGTTTCAACATTTTGTGTTAAGGTGTCATCACATTTGATAATGTTGTGCAATGCCACAACGCAATTCAATTAGGGGAAAATTGCTACTGAAATTGTGCGCACTAAAGCCCTCTTTCGAAAATTCCCCTGAAAACAAAAACAAAATAAAAAATTTTCTCTTAATTATATTTTTAAAATCATCAGCGATTCACTGATGATGATAGCCTTGTGTTCGGTATTTTAATATATTGTTGTGTTTTGTTTTACTTTTTGTATACAGGGTCACTGATAAGTCTGGAAACGGTTGATTATCAGGAAAAATATACAAGGTATCGAAAAAAGGTTTATACAATTTAGGGTTCTTCAATGTCTACTATAAGGTGTATTCTTTTTACATTAAAGTGAGGAAATCGACTAACTTAACTAAGACAAACTGAGCTGAATTTATCTGAGTCAATCGCTCGCTAAAAAGAATATCTTTTTGGTACAAGCAAGAAAACATAACCTTAAAATGTTTGTTGATGAGTGATAATTCATTCTTTGTCTTTTTTAAATGTTAATAGTCACATCACAACTAACTGAAAATAATTTACACTGCATTGAATGAATGGGTACTAAAGTTTATTGTTGACATTTTTACACAATTATAACCTCAAACTTAAAATTCCAATCCGGCTCAATTTAAACTCTACCTAACAGCAAGCTCAGTTGGGGTAAAGGGGGAGGTAAAATGTCTTAGTTCGTCTCAGTTGTTGACAGCTAAAAAGAATAACTTTTCTCAATTAGTAACTGAGATAAGCTGAGACGCTCACTTAAAAGTGGTAAAAAGAATACAGCTATAGATAGTAATAATTTTAATTATACAGGGTTGGTCATAAAGGTGTGGCACACCCAAAGTGCATTTTTTAAAAATAGAACCCTGTACATTATTCGATATTTCCATTCTTCTCTCAATTTTATGTACAATTTGTAAGAAGCATAATGTACCTAAATTCAATCGTTTTTGGGCTAGGTATTGAATTTTTTGTGCATTCAGGTAGGTAAACAAATAACAAATTATACCTCTACAAATTTCAAATTTTTAAACTAATTTCATCAAAAGCATGAAAGGGTGTGATTTGATTCATTTGAATTCAAGTGGTACTTTTGGATTTCTGCAGGGAGGTAGCTATAGGTGTACCAGGGTGTGGGGGTCCACTTGAAAATTACCTGGTTAAATTACAGTAAAACCCCCTGATTATCCATGCTCCACGGAAGCGGACGAAACACGGATAAATGAAAAGCACGGATAATCCAGATTAATGTTTATTTCTTATATAGCTATGAACATATTGTGTGTCAAACCACAAACAATCGAAACGTTATTGGTACTTTCAAAGCAAGCAAAAATATCATGAAGAATAAATTTGTTTCATAAATCAATATTTAAAAAAAAATTCCCTCTTGTATATACCCCATCGCCTTACACACTGTATATATGCATGTTACTAAAAATGATAGAATTTCCTAATAAGCCCTTAATTTACAAATGTGTAATTAATGATCCAATAAACCCCTACAGACTAGTTTACTTGTCTACTTGCTTCTAAAGATTTTTGCGCAAACAGTACCATGGAATAAATAAGTAATTATTATTCCATGACAGTACCCATGTTGTTCCTCTAATAATAGACATTATTATCTGGTTAACTTTCACTTCCCTGTAATTATTAAAGTTGATGAAAACAGATCAAGACTAATGAGAGTTTATATACAACGCCTTGGTTTTTATACAATATGAGTCATGAAAAGTGTTTTTGGAAATGATGCAAAACAGTGACCACTGTTCCTCCAAACAATGGCCACTGTAGTTGACACAGATAGTACAGTGGCCAGATTACCTATAAACAAAAAATATTATTTAAATAAATAAGAGATTTACTTTGTATTGTCTTATATAAACATTATCAACATTAAAATGTGAACATAATTTTTGCACTAAATGCACAATAAGGAGCCATATGGAATTGGTACCATAATGCATGAAATGGTGGCCACTATGCCCCCTCTGCCATGGTGTTCGTGTGTTGCAAATTGCGTTTCTTGTTTTCTAACAGGCACACGTTTAATATTAAGCACTGTACTCACAAAGAAGTGTCTCGAAACTTCAAGCATGTGCTCTTCGTCAGTACGTACTTATGTGACCAAGTAATAAATTGATTGTCGAATAACGGATGTAAACCATCCCTGTGTGGCACTTGATGTCTCTCTGTTTGTATTTACCCCTACTAGTCCTCCAGTTTTTTCGTTGTGGTTTCATTCTTATACTGTGCAGCACAGCCTCGAGATCAGAACGACAAAAGATATTTTGGGTTAGCCACTTCCTTACCGAGTGTTAGTAATTCTATTCTATTCACAGGGGAGCCCGATCAGGTAGCACTTAAGCACACCAAAGGCCCATTGTGCCTATCCCATTTATTTTGTAACTAGGTTTAGAGCCTGTTCCTCTCATTAGAGGGTAGGGCCCTATTTAGTCTAAGTTGCCCCACCCTCCCCGCTTCCAGATAGCTGTCTCCAAGGAGCTGATGTCTGTCTCTGATCAAGGCGTCACAGTGACAGATCAAATGCTCGGTAATCTCATTTGCCTTGCTACAGAACCTGCACTTGGACTGCTCCACAAGCCCAATGTTATACAGGTGATAGTTGACCTTCCAGTGTCCCGTAAGGACACCAGTGATCTTTCTAATCTGGCCCTGTTAAGAAGACCCAGGACTGTCCGGTCCGGTTGCTTGTTGCCACTGAGCCTGGAATTGACTGGTTACCCAGTATTTAATCCTAGCCCTGACAATGGAGGGAGCAATTCCTAGGGTAGGGTCGGGCCAGACGAAGACCCCACCTCTGCCTTCACGAGCCAGCTCGTCCGCCCGTTCGTTGCCCCTTATTCCGTAGTGCGCTGGCACCCAGATCTAGCTTACCCTATTAGACTCGCCTAATCTATCTAGAATTCGCTTGCAATCAAGCGCTGTAGCCGATCGTAACTTGTCTGCTGACAGGGTCCTCAGCGCCGCCTGACTATCACTGCATATGTATATATGCTTATTACCATCTCTATGGAGGTTCTCCTGTGCACAGGTCATGATGGCTAACCTCTGCCTGAAACACGGTGCTATGCCGCCCAACGGGGAAGCTGACGTCAGCTCTTGCTCGATCACCATATATACCCATACCTGTTCTCCCTCCTGTTAGGGACCTGTTTGTAAACCACACGAGCCCCTCAGTTTGAGGAATGGGCAATCCGAGTTCAGCCACTGCTCCCTGTCCTGCAGAATGACTATAACTCTTTGGTCTTAGTAAGACAGCCCGGATCATATCCCTTCTTACGAGGAGGGGATTCGATCTGAGGGTTTGCCGCAGAACGGCCCGTGCCCGAGGTTGCCTCTGCCTCCACAGCTAAGTGTAAAGGCTTTGTTACAGGAGAGCCCCCATGGTCAAAGTTGGGTTGGTTTTCAGTAGTGGTGTGTAGAGGTAGTAATAATTTTCATTTGTGGTGTTGAGTAGTAGTTAGCTACTTGTTGCCAAAAAGAAAGACTAGAGCTGTGTGGGGATAGGGTAGGGGACTTACTTAAGTGTTTCATATGTTCTACAACGAAGCCGTCATATAGTGTCAGATTTCTTATTTGACACCTCATAAGCTATTTTCTGCTAGCAAAATGCGCCAAAAATGTCCTGGCGATCATTACTTCAACGTCCTTTCTGTACCTTGCACCAGCCCTGACCACAGTGTCATTGACTCGGAGCGGAGGTTAAAATGAAAAAAAAAAAACATCAAAGAACAATCAAAAACGGACATATCTAAAACTAGATAAAATTTGTAATGGCTAGGGGCGGCATGAAGTTGACTCCCTACATTATTAAAATTAATTTTTTATGACTATATTTGTATATAAAAATGCTTTCCAAAAAATTCTTCGTTAGGTATAACCGAGGGTAAAACCATTGATTATATACTACGTAATCAATGGTATAACTTAAATTCGAGTCTGACCCATTTTGTTTCGCGTAAGACAGCGAGAGGTACCAAAAGTTACTAGTTAACTCTGGTGAAATTCATATTTGCAAGGATTCCGAAGACGAATTCTGGACACTTTATTTTTAGGAATAATTGTAGAATAGTGTCAAATTGTTTTTCAATATTTACTTGAATAATGTAATGATAATGTTTTGAAAATTGTCAAAAGTAACTAAACTTTGACGCGTTGAATCTTTTTTTGTATTAAAACATTTTGAAAAGGTTTGATTAACACAATTGCCAAAAACATAACCAAAAAAAGTTCAAGGTGAACTATCAGGTCTGCGCAGGAACCCTTACAAGCATCTTAAATGCGATCCCAGTGTTAGCAGATATCCTTGTGCAAAAAAATCGATTAATCGTTTACTTGATTAATCGATTATTTAATTAATCAAGTGCTTGATTAATCGGTACAATCTATATTAAAAATAATTGATTATTCAAACCTGTAATCGCCCACCCCTAATCGTCAGAACGTGTTTTTAGTGAGCGAGGCTCTATTGTAATGATAATAGGGTTGGCCTTACTCCAGATCATGCAGTACAATTAATTTTTGCCTTAATTTGCCTAATAATAAGTGTATATGTTATTCAATAAACAATATATTTTTATGGTACATTATAAACAAAAGCTTTTTATTTTACCAAATCGTAGTTGTAAGACATGAATGCCGAGATGAATGCAATAAGTGCATAATGGTAGGTATTACATATAAGAAAAACTAAAAAAAATTAACTAGAAACAAATAATAAATCAACATCATTATAAACAGTGACAGATGTAGACAATTTACTGTTTATTCACAATTAATAAATAAAAAATTATTTAAAGCACTAGAAGTGTATTGAACTCAAGGTACACACTACCCAAACTAACATAAGTTTTGACCTAATGCCTAATTGCCTAATGATTTACTGTTAGGTGATTATTGATTAATCGATTTGCCTATTTGGACGATTTGTTGAAGAGAATTATTAGGTTATGAACGTATTGAAGAGAACAAACATGTTTCATTACTCCTTGTATGTGACAATTAAATATACTGTTAATCTTAATCGCTTATTTGGCAATAGAATATTTGATTAATCGATTATTTAATTAACCGAGCATTTGATTAATTGATTATTTGATTAATCAATTATTTAATCAATTATTTGATCAATCGATTATCTAATTAATCGATTAATCGGTACAATCGATCACCACCCCTATTAGCAAATATTGATTCACGACATTTGAATGATGTTATGGTTGTTCAACTTTTCAATAATTATTATTACATGTGCATTTTATGTTTCAGATGTGGAATGGATTACCACGCACCAACAGATTGTCTCACAATAAAGAAATGGTTGACGAAATGTGCAGATGACAGCGAAACTGCAAATTACATTAGCGCTCACACCAAAGATTGTCCCAATTGTCACATATGTATTGAAAAAAATGGCGGATGCAATCACATGCAGTGTTACAATTGTAAATACGACTTCTGTTGGATGTGTTTAGGTGACTGGAAAGCTCACGGTTCCGAGTATTACGAGTGCTCTCGATACAAAGAAAATCCTAACATCGCGCACGAATCGGTACACGCGCAGGCGAGAGAAGCGCTAAAGAAGTATCTGCATTACTACGAAAGATGGGAGAACCATTCGAAATCGTTAAAATTGGAAGCTCACACGTTGGAGAAACTTAAAGCACGAATTAATCAAAAAGTAATGTCCGGTTTAGGTACCTGGATCGACTGGCAATACCTGTTTACAGCTGCCGCACTTTTGGCAAAGTGTCGGTACACATTGCAATACACGTATCCGTATGCATATTACATGGAGACCGGCCCTCGAAAGGAGCTTTTCGAATATCAGCAGGCGCAATTGGAAGCGGAGATTGAAAATCTTTCTTGGAAGATTGAACGCGCCGAAACGACCGATAGGGGCGATTTGGAAAATCAAATGGATATAGCGGAGAAACGTAGAACTACCCTTTTAAAGGATTTCTTAGACGTGTGATATTTTATTTTAAGATATTTAATCAATGTTAACTTTAAGTAATTGTGTATGACTATGATTAACAGCAGCTTGTAAAGTTCGGTCAGGTTTATTTTACAAACTTATGCAGATACTTTTATATTGTCCACATTTAGCTTCTCAGGGTGAACCTCTACAGTACTGGCAGCTTATACTGTTTCACTTTTGTTACATTAATGATAGGATTGTAGGTTCACTCCATATCTTCACACTTTTTATAGATTCGCAGTTTAGCCTATTTTACCGTAAGAAGAAATGACGCTGGGTGTGTTATATTGATAACGTAAAAGACAAGATTGTGTATGTGTGAAGATTAGAAATCGAATGAACGATTAGTATATTAAACGCATTTGTGAATAACGTTGTAATGGCGGAGTATTAGCTGTTATTAATAGAAAAAAAAGAATTCATATACAAACAAAGAGAGAAGCATATTTGTGGCAATGAAAATTGTGTCCGTCCATCAGAGTAAAGTTTTGTCAGGTGTGACCTTAAGAAGCATGCTTACAGTCGACATGTGCAAAAAACAAGAAAAAAGAACACCCGTTTACCATACCATGCTCTCTATAATTCAGAAAATGTCTATGAAAAGTACAATAAATGTGAAAAGAAGACTTATTGGATTGTATGCACTTCACTTAACTTAACCTCTTTGCATACATTTTAATGCACTTTGAGATAGATTTTTAAATTTATATAATGTCTACCGCTTTGTTGTCCTTTTCAAAGTTGCATCATTTTAAGGCTTTGCGGAAGTTGCAAATTTGGTCTATTTATAATCGACAGCTCTTGCATCGCTCTAAATTTGATGTATGTATAAACAAGTTTACGTGGAAGTGTTTCAATCTTACGTATTGTCACTGTTTCTAAGTGATAGTTTTTCGAGTTTTACATCTTACTAGTAAGAATTACAATGTTATATACCATTACAGTTTATAAGTCACGTGTTACTTTTTTAACAGTCAACTTTGTTTAGTTGATGTTCACATGTATACTGCTTATTTTGTCTAAATCTTATAAAATATTTTAAAATTACACCAAAAATTTCTTTAGGTATAATATATATATAGTTAATTTAAAATATGTGTTTTAAGGTAGCCACTTTTATATCAAAAATTAAATACAAAACTATGGCAATGGTACATTTAATACTCAGAACCTTAGATACTTTGCAACGGGACCCCTTCCACTTCTGCGAGTGGAATATCCGAATAAGCAATGCAGATAGCATTCTGATAAGCTACAGACAGTAGTGTCAACAGCTTTTTAAGGGAAGCGCTTTGCAAAGATTAATTGTCGTGTTAATTGCAGCGTTTTCTATCAACTGTTTTTTATATGATATGACAAGGAACGATTTCAATAACTAAGTTTCACCCTCCAAAGCTTACTTTTTTGTGCCAAAGTATGTTTTTGGATAAAGCGGAGGTTTATACTGCTTCCATGATTGGTCGTCTGCTCCTTTGCAGGGGAAGTGGTTTTCATCTTGAATTCTTCCCTCCGTTGTCGGGACCAGAATTAAAGACTGGGGACTATAGTCAATACCAGGCTGAGTGGCAACAAGCAACCAAACTCGGACAGTCCAGGGCCTCTTGGCAAATCTGGGTCTTATAAGCTTCGAAAACTGAATAAAAACCAGATTAGGAAGATTACTGGTGTCCTTAAGGGGCAGTGGTTGATCAAGTGCATAACACTGGGCTTGTGGAGACCCCACGTGCAGGTTCTGTGGCAAGGCAGATGTAACTACCGAGCATGTAGTCTGCCACTCCTTGATCAGAGACAGACATCAGCTTCTTGGTTACTTGTACTTAGCACATTTTCCATGAATTGATCAGTATTTCCTGAAAGGTTATGTAACGGATATGTTTGCCTTCACTACAAGAATCTGTGGTTATCAAATTTCAAAAATATATCTATAAATCAAAAGTTGACATTGCGCAGGTCTCATTTTTACAGTATGCGATATGCTTGTGTTTACTAGACACATCTGTGGTTACAATGACAAAGAAATATTTCCATAAACAATAAAGTTGACTTTGCGCATGCGCACATTTGATTTTTAGAATATGCAATGCAATATGCTTGTTTTTAATAGAAGCATATATCTGAGTTGACATTACGCAGTGTGCGCATGCGCACGTCTGATTTTTACAATGTGTGATATGGTTGCCTTTACTAGACATTAAAAAAATTAAATATAATAACAATAAAAAACCTCCGAACAAATTTTTGAATGGTGGTATATTTTTTATCCGGACTCAATTTTGGTTCAGGGAGGGATGGTGTACCGGAATTCAATGTGGCAACCCTACTGATCGAGAACGTTCTTTCACCGATGTCGATTATAGGCACTCAAGTCCCAGAACTTCCAGGCGTATGCGTGGCTCTCGCACGTAACAATTTTTATGAAAGCGGGTGATCCGCCTACGCCAGGAAAGGGAGGGCTCAATCCATCGCTACCGATCTCGAAGGGGCGTCGGGCTTACTTCCGGCTCCCTCAGAGGTCGATCAAGATGTCGACGAACGTCTGGCTCGTGTGGCGGTTTTTGGCTTTGACAAGGGGCCTAGGGCAGCCAACTGGTTCCTAGAAATTGCATTTATGTCAATAGATGAATCAAGTCTTATTCAATGGTTGGTGATTTGTGTTTCAGGGATCTTGTGCCTGTAAGTCTAAGACTTCAGCTCAAAGATGGCACTTGGTGATTCTAAAGGTTCCACCTCTACGAGAGAGTTGACTGTGATGAGTTTATAAGTACCGTCGAAATAGTGACTTCCTCTTGTGGTTGGCCGTGATGCTAACGCATGTCATGTTGCGTGGAGCAACCCGGACACGAACTCAATGTGCGACCATCTTCTGGTGTAGATACTGTGTACTTGCCAACAACTTATTTGAATGTTTTCAATCAGGGAGCAGCCCTGACGTTGGGCTCCTTTTCAAGAGCTCGCATGATCACAAACTGGAGGGTGTCTGATGACTGATGAGCCATTGTTGTCGAACCACATTCTGTTCCAATCCTAACTGGTATCTCACTACAGGGTTTTAGGTTTCGGTATCCTTGATCGACTGATGAGTTGGACTACTATGTGGAGTAACTGTCAGAACGTTTGGATAGACTTTTGTATTCGCCATTGGTGATGTCGCCTCTGTTGTTTGCCTACGGGGGGCTTTAGCCTAATCATTCTATGCATAAATCTAACGAGTACCGACATAATTATTTATTTAAGTACACATAGATAGATTATCAAGTCAAGTTGTATGCAAATTATAATGAAAGATATAATTTATTTATTTGTTTAAAAAATACCTAGCTTTCTACACGGGCACAAACAATTTGGTCATTTACGCCTACGCTTAGCTATGGCGCATGATACGTGGTTACTGTGGACATGGCTTCTGTTTCGCATGTTAAACTAAGCTGTCTGAGTTGACTACCGCCATTGTCTATTTAATGAATAAACAATGCTTCCGCTAAATTGCGAAGATCATTTATTAAGTAAATCGCGTAAACCACAAAAATTGTCAAGCCTACACGGTTATTCATTTTGACGCGCCCTATATATAGTTATATGAAGAGCACAGAGTATATAATACGTCAGTTCATTTTGACACATTTTTCGACTCAAAAATGTAAATGTAATTTTTGTGTGGTGCAAATATGGCGTGAAGTTGTAAATGAAATGGATCATTGATAAATGCATTTATAAAAAACTTATCAGTATGTTTAAAAAGAATACACGCAGACGAAAAATTAAATTTCGTTCTGATGGTTTCGTAATATAAGTTAAAGTGTTATCCCTTGAAATATTTATAAATAAGTAAGTAGCTGGAGCAGGCCTGAAACTTTTATTTATATTTCCAATATAAACATTTACCATAAACCCAATTCATGAGAATTATGTAATTTTTTGTTTTCTTTTTAGGTCTCAAAACTCATTTTATGATCACAAATAAGAATTAATCTTCCTTAAGTAAGTATGAGATTTACTTCGTTATTGCAATTTTCTGTATTTTGAATATTAATACAATAAGGGGCAGTCTCGAATTAACTAGTGCAATTAGTGTAAAATGTGTTATTAAAGGTTGGATAAGTAATAAAATTCTGTTAATTGGGAACAGTAAACTAATCTCATAAAAATGGCAATAAAAAGTATTGTTTAGGATTTTAACGATTTGTAAAAAAATCTGCAAAATCAGTTCACTGTGATTGATTTATCAAGAAATTGCATTCGGAAAACGAAAGTTAAAGTCATTGTTTAGATTTTATATGACCGCATTGTAGTTGCCTACCTGATAACAGTAATGGCAAGTAACGTGTAAGTGATTGGCAGTCATGCACTTACTCGTGAATTATTTTGCTTTAGTGTTGTGTATTTGGATTTAAAATTTTGCAGCAGTAAACTGTGAGTATTCGTATTAGATCATTCACACAGAACACATTTGTGGATTGTAAATTAAACGATTTGGACTGGTCATGTTCAGAGTTAACAAAGAAGAACTAGCTCTGTTTTATGTTCTTAGAAGTTGTATCGACTTCGGTGCCTTACATGGAAAAATTAGTAGGTAACAAACGTTGTTGTTGTTTACAAGTGCATACAATGTGTGAATTGCAAATCTATTTTCTTAGTCATCGTATCACCATTGCATACCTGTAGTGCTATACTCTGATTCATTCAGCTGTTAAGGAATCGAGCTGAAAGTCATTGTGAATTAACACGTTTGTTGCTTGGCAGTTTAGTTTAGTAGTGAGCAAAGCAGTGTGCGGATTAACAGAAATGACAACCGAAATGGAGTATTTTTGGGGACCTTTTCTAGCTTGCGCATGGACGTTGTGGCTGTGGTTCCTTGCGGGGAAAATGTCCTTTTGGTTCTTGACAGGTATTCTTTAAAATTATTGATAAAGAACGTCAAGTTATTACTACAAAATCCACACCCAAAAAAATTATTTACGAATTTCCTTACATTTATGATCGATGTGTTTGGATCCCTATTTTTGTTCTAAAGCGTTCGTTTATTGGTGCACCAGAAAAAGTGTTGACACGAAACAGAGTAAAGAGTTAACTTCAAATACGTAATGTTTGTCTGTTTCGGTTTGCGATTTGTTTCATAAAGATAATTTGGACATCATTGGCGTCTGCAATGAATATTTCTACACACTCCCATGATTTAGTATTTGACCAGCCAAAATGTACACAATTTAGGTTTTATTTTGCCCCTTTATCTGATTCATGTCTATTGCTTTTTGTACAGTTATTCTTATTAATTGCGCTAAGATCACGTGACTGCTACACCCTATGGTAATGGATTTTCAAATTGTGGCCTACTTAAACTTTTCCAACAAAAAAAATAAAAACACACCCTGTGCACCAACTGACACCACATTTAAAAATTGCACCAAATTTGTGCAATTTACATTATACTTTTTTCGTCTACAAACTTTGACTAGAACTTGTACTAGACGAACTTGTTAACATTTTGACAATGTAAATCCGAAAATTCCGTCCAAGTTTCTAATCTAGAAACTAGATTTGAAACTCGATCCAGACCCATTTTCCATCCAACTAACGTACTTGTCACTTGCGCACTAGCACCAAATTAGAACAAATTCCGTGCTGCCAACAACTTTATTTTTATACTCTTGAACATAACCTCAAATATAAGTCTCTTGAATTGGGTACATGTACATAGCAAAAATGAATTTCTTTTGCTTGTTATTCATGTTTGTTTCCAAGCAATTTAAATTAACCTCAAAATGTACAATATTGAGATTTGTTTTCGGAAATTGGCAGCACTGCCATTGAAACAAAAAAAGGTAAATTTAAATTTCTAGTATAGTGTCGGATCTAGTACAAGGTCTACTCAAAGTTTCTAGACGAAAAAAGTATAATGTAAATTGAGCTTTAGAGGAAAAGGTTAGTAAGCAACATTGGAGAAATTTTGGTTTTTAATTGCTGCATAAGTTGCTCTCAAGTATTCGGTGGCCAATAGGATTCTATAATTTAGGACACCCAGTATATTTTTGTATTTTCTCTCTTTCAAAAATGTAGTGATACTGGATTTCCGAAAAGTGACTGAAAACAACATTTTTGATGTACGTGTCATTTTATTAATGTTTACTACAATGCATAAATAACACTCAACAATACGGAAATGTCGCCCAAAGGCGTGGGAACATATGGGCACTGTGTATGGAAAGAATTTCAATCTTTTTTGCAGAACGGTCAGTGGTGTAGTCCTTGGCACTTGGATCTCCTGGAATAATCATTTTACTGATTTGGTGGGAGTCCACAACATCAAGAAAGTTTTCTTCTGATATCGAAGGCCTTGCTTCTCACGTGGTTTCTGGTTCCCTTAAATTTTCCGATATTACGGAACACGTGCTCCACTAAAAATATTCTCTCGCGCTTCTCTACATAGTAGCATTGAATAATTTCAGATTCTTTATTCAATGATAGTTGTCTCTAACGAAGTGAAGTGGATAAGAAATATAGTGAGTGGGAATCTCATTTCCCCCACGTGTCTGAGTGATCCAGTCCACTGGAGAATAGAACAAAAGCTTACCTAAACGTTCTTTACTGTAACTTTTTGAACACCTCCTATACACTGTGTCCGGGATCTCGGAGTTCGGAAACCACTGTAGAGGATACGAAGAGCAGAGCCGTCTTTAGGGTGGAGCGAGTGGAGCGGCCGCTCCAGGCCTCGCGCCTTAGGAAGGCCTCGCGGGAAGCTTTTACTCGCGCCAAAAAATAAGTAAAAGTTTTGGTTGAATGAAAATAATATAATAATGTGCAGATATACGTGCCTAAAATATACAGGGTGTTCATTTGAAAACTTCTCACGTCAAAAGATTTGTGTTGTCAAGGGGGACAACTTTTTAACCAAAAACTACTTCACCTTCTGCCCCCAGGGTTATTCCTTGAAAAATTTTAAATGACAAATGGTACCAAGTAATAGCTTGTTTGAAAGGTCGTTCGAAGTCCTTTATTTTGACGTTTGATTTTTTAAAATCGCTGGAATCGTTTTCGATAAAATTAGAATAATTTCCACTCTTTCGGCTAGTGTATCAACCATTTTGGCAGTAAAATCAGATAAGAATCAATAAATTAATTTTCTCTATCACAAGATTGTCACAAAGGTAACTGACCGCAAATTAAATTCTTTCTTTCCCATAGCAACAAATAAGTGTAATTTTCGTTTGTTTTTGTTTTCTATCTGAACAAATTAAGATAAACAAACATTTCAATTCACCCGCGCTCCCCCTCGATCCCTCTGGTAATCGTTGAAAAAAAAGGCCCCGAAAAAATATTTCGCTCCAGGCCTCGCATTTGCTATGGACGGCTCTGACGAAGAGGGTCAAATTAGGCAAAAGTTGCGTAATTAAAGAGTTATTATCACGTTTTAAACAAAACCAGAAAATTCGTTTTACCTTTAGTTGCCACATAGGACCATGTTGAATTCTGGGACACCATCCTTAGGTGCACCAAAATTGTGACTGTAAAAATATACTACACTCAAAAATGTATAGGTAACTTGTGTGTAATTTTCATCATTTTGACAAAAAAATTCTTTTTTTGCTGCTATTTACAACAATCGACTGTCTCAAGATAAACATGGCACCCTGTGTATAAATTAATTAAGTGACATTCAAATATAAGATTACCAAACTGGAAGTCGAAAAGTTTACCGCAACAAAACAAATGACTGCTTATGCAGGTGCAGTTGAACCCCAATAAATCCCCTGAAACGGATATTTTTTCTTATTTCTTCTTCATTAAATGGGAACATCGTCCCCAGTTGCTCTTTCGTGTTTTTTTTTAAATAAGATTTTTATCCCCTCCCTGCTCTGGTTTTTTTTCATCGGAATGTTTTTTTATCATTCTCGAATGCTTTTTTGTTTTTTTTTCTTTGTCCCCTGCTCTTTTGATTTTTAAAAAAATGGATTTAATTGGGACCCGTGGGATCTTTCTCTTTTGTTTATTTTTTAATTTATTATCCCTCTATTGTATTATATTAATTAAAGTATTGTCTCTTGCTCTTTTGGTTTTTAAACACTATACAATTTAAAATGGGCCTTTGTCGAACAGTAACAATAACTCGATAGACTGCCCTAATTTTCGGACTTGCTTTGAGGTCAAGTACGAAGTCTGTTTTGTGTGGGTCGCACACCCCTGTTATAAATAAGCTGCCTTAGCGAGCTCTAATTAAACGTGATGTTTTCATGTTTAGCGATATTTCGTTTACCATCTTATTCTGAAGTGTGTAGTATCCGAGAAGTTCTTCTTTATTCTGAGAATTTTTCAGGCCTGCCAGAGTCATGAAATTTTGTTGCCTTAAATGAAAGGGAGGGGTTAAAACGTGCATAACTTTTACATGTGCGGCCCATTTGTCTCGGATTTTGCGTACGCATGCCTTTAGTGGGTGCCACTTAAAATAGAAAGGAATTGGTTTCTAGAAACTATAACTCTCCTCTGCAACTCCTTTTCGAGATGAATGGGTGAGAGCAGGGGTAGTGTTCAGAGATTGGTTTTATCTTTCATGGTATTCAAATTAAAGGTGTTAATGAAACAGTTTTCTACCAACCACAGTCCTGTTCCTCGACCCCTTATCAAAATTGTGGAGTTGGAGAAGGAATTCGTGTTATCCTTCATGGTACTCTAATGAAAAGTCTCAACAAAAGGAATTAATTTTTATCACCCACAGTCCTAATCCTCGATTCCTTATCGTGATCTGTAATAATTTCTTATATCTCAAGAGTGAAGTATCGGAAGAGGGTACTCACAAAGAGCGATTGGGACGTTTGGAAGAAATATATTCATGGGTGATGTCAAAACTTTAAGAGCGAATATATCGAAAAGGGTGTGTCGGAGAAAGCAGTTACTCTCTGTAAGCGCTCGTTGTGTATATAAAGTAGCGGAGGGTTGCTCTCTAAACTTAATTTTTATTCAGTCTCTTTTCAAAATTTCTTGTGTTAGTATAGCTATAGATTGATGCAATTTTTATTCCAGAATTGAATTCTACATCTTTGATGATTTAGTTGAAAATGATACCAAACTTGACTTAGTACCTAAACTTGAACAGTTATTAACCTCAAATATCACCAAGGTTTACCCCCCTCCCCCTCCCCACGTGCATCAAAAATTTGGGTGGCTCCGCTCCTTATCTTAGGAACACTAAAATTAATTCTTCAAAGGTAACCTTTGGTTCAGAAAAAGCCGTGTTTGACCTGTTTATATCATGTAGAAACATATCTTCAATTTTACGAATACTCATTGTGTGTCGTCCTATAATTATTTCAAATGGGCATAAGGTATAAAGGTGAAAAATTGGTTCGATTTTGGATCAATTTAATTTTAAACTACTTAATCTTTTTAGCCATGGCTCAACTCCAAATGCAGAAGCGGGGTCGTGGCAACAATACCAGTGGTGAACCATCAAGCTCAGGTGGGACGGCCAGCGCGACAAATCAATTACCGATTATGCCAACAAGCCCCGGTACATTGACCGACGAGTTAGCGGCACTATTTGAATGTCCAGTGTGTTTCGAGATTGTACTACCTCCGATTATGCAATGCCATGTCGGACACCTTGTATGCGCAAGTTGTAGGCCGAAGTTATCTTGTTGCCCTACGTGCCGGGGAACGTTAGGTAAGTTAGGGGTTACGCAATGAAATATTTCTTTGCAATTAAATACCCTTTATCGTGATATCCTGATAGGTATATTTTATCATATACAACATTCCACATTATAAATAAAACAAATCAAATACCTATTCTCAGGTGTATGTGATTAATTTGTTAATCTACCTCCACTAATTAGATTCCATGTTCTTTGTGTGATTATCAAGAGTTGGCAGGTGGTTGTTGATGCAAGTTACATAAAGTACTTCGGCTGTGATCTAAGTGCTGCATTTCTTTTGTTTGAGTCGCCCTTCAATATATAAATTGAAAATGGAAAGTGGACCTAATGGATATTTTGTAGTACTCACACCGGACCATAGAATTGAGAGTTATAGAAGGAAGCGTACAAACAAACATTTCCAGCTCATGCTACGACGTAGAAGAGGTAGTATCCTGTTTGTTTGATTGTTTAATGTGAACAGATTTTTTGCGATCTAATGTGCACTAATAATTTAGTTCATTTAACTGTAATCTAATTTGGGCGCGGTTTTAAAGAGGTTTTCTGAAATTTAATGATGATGCATCTCTGTTTTTGCATTGAATTCATCCATTGGAAAGGATAGATCTTTTCTAGAAATTACTATTAATATAGTATAGTTGTGCTTGATAATCAAAGGATGGATGAAGGTTTTGCAGATGCGAATAGAATATCAGCAAATTAACTCGTGAAAGAGGAGTGTTGTAAATGGGCATGGATTACTCTGGAAGAGTGTTCTTGGGGATGTTATTGACAAAACAGGAGGATTTCGTAAGATCGTAAGAGTTTGAACGTTTCTTAATCAGCGCATAGGATTAACAAAATGAGAAAAGAAGCGGGTCTTATTTCTAGGGAGCTTGTACAATATTGGTGCCAGGTTCTACAAGTTGTGTTGGTAGTGAAAGGGAGAGAGAATTTCTGTGCTACCGTGAAACCATTTGTGGCTTGAGTGATTTTTCTCTAGGGCACCAAACTGGTCTCAAAAAACGCTTCCCTTGTTTTTTTTCTCTTGTCTGTAGACAAGGTTAGGTTAGTCATTAAGCTTCTATGATTACAAAAAGTAGATACTTTATTGTGTGTTGGTCAGCCTGATCTGGTGTTATAAATATCTAATTTCTGTTTACTGTCTGAATTTTTTCATTGCATTTCTTTAACTGTGAATTAATAATTTTGAGTGTAGTGTCACCTATTTGTTTTGCTTTTTATGAACTTGTTGAGTCATTAACATCGGGACTTTGTGAGGTACAACTTTTACTATTAAATAAAATTGGTGTTGGTCAGTGCTATTTCTTCGTTAAATGACATCGAATTTTTTATTTATCAGTTAAACTTAGCACAATCAATCAAACTTGCTAGATTTATCTTGTTATTTGCTCGATTTGCCTGACAATCCTGTAGAACTGGTTGCATAAGTGCAAGGGCGTACTTGTTCTGGTTGGCTGCTAGGTTAGATGTAAGATAACGTCGTTACTAAGGAAGACGTAAGTGGCCTTAGTTTGGAAATTAGATCTTTACAATAGGATAATGAGATGTTGAAGAATCGGCTTGACGATCACATGGTTGGTTTGAGCAAGAAGCTGACATAGTTGAAAAAGAGGGATGAGATCAAAGAAGAGTGGATAAACCAAGAAGGAAAGGCACAGAGGAGCAAGAATAAGGAAAGAAAAGTAACGAAAATTACAAGAGAGAACAATTCATTTTGATGGATTGATGTGTGGTAAAGAAGATGGGGGGAAAAAGTATGTGGAGAGACTGAGGTATTAGTCTGGAGCCGGATGGCGTAATAGAGGTCCCATGAGTGGGTTAATGACGCAAGGATTAAATCGAGAACAAATAATGCGTTGGTGTACGACCGTTTTTGCCAATTTACTCCCTTGTAGCGGTCCAAATGTATCGCGGATAGACGCAAGAATCTGCTGAGGATAGGCATGGCCGAGTATGCCAATTTCATTTTGTATCAGTAATTTAGTTAGTATATGAGGTGATGACAGTACAATCGGGAATTTCTTGTCTACGTGTAACGCCGGGTTTGGTAATCGCCCCTGTGTCGTGTCAGCTGATTGAATGTACTTTGAGGTTTTACTGAAGTTTCGGCGTTGAGCAAGTTGGGTTTGGCTCGAAACTCACCTTTCTGTGCCATCTTGGCTAACATTAGTAAGTAATGGTGAACCTCAATACTTGTTAAGTAACGGTTTGGCAGTTGTCAAATGCATCAAATAGATAATCCACTGAGGACCCTTGTACCACTAGACCCTTTGGCGCCCTTCCCTCGAGTAATTGGACATCGACTAATTTGCTATCAACCATTCTGTGCCATGCCACCAAGTGTTATTGACACCAAATGTTCCGGGTTATCAGCGCTCCTGACATGTAGCCACATACGAAGTTGCATTAATTCCTGAATGAGGGCTGATCTGTTTGATACAGAGGTTTGGAGTAATGCAGAATGCATATTGATCCAGTGTAGGACCACAGGAATCGTACCACAGGAAGCAGTCGTCCTTAGTTATATTTACTGTATTCACTAGTAGTAACACACCACACAACTCCAGGTGTGTAAGGCAGCAACACGCCCCTTGGCGCATAGCCGGACTGACTTTGTGGTTCAATGATAAAGTGTTGCGCTATAAATCCGGAGGTCAGGTGTTTGAACCTGGGTTGAGGTGAATTTCTCATCTGTGGCAGAGATGGGAATTGCCTTAGACCAGTTTTGAGCATTCTGCCAGTTACTCTGAATTAGGTTTTCCTGCAGTTTTCCTAATTTGTGAGGTAAATATCGGAGCAGTATAAACAACTTTAGACCTTCTGCGGAGACACCTCTAAAAAGCATTATGCGGGTCACTCTGTAATTGGGCGCAAGCCTGTTGAGGGCCCAGAACAAGAGAGGGATAATAAATAAACAAATAGGAGTTGAACAGTCACATCTCCACAGGAGTTGGTGCTACTACATAAGTACACCACAACTCCATAGGCGTTCTTGGAGGCATTGTTACAGCCATGGATTTGGGACCTTGTTAATCGCGGTATCCGAAGTATATTTAGATTGAGGAACTCACGCTGGAATTGGCGCCATGCTGTATGTATGTCAAGTGGAACGGCTTTGACCGATGATAATTAGTTTTTGGAGAATGACCTTGGCCATAATTGTGGATGGACTGAGAAGACTGGGTGGATCAAATACGCGAGCAATGTCAGATAGGATTGATCTCTTGGCCACAGTTTGCACCTCGGAATCTTGAATTATACTGAATTGCAGAGAGCCGCTTTGACAGTTCCAATAGAGTCCTAGGTATGTGGATTTGTGTTACTGTGTTGTCACCAAAGTTAACCCTCGCCAACTCCAATGCTCTGTAACAAGTCAGATGAATTGGACATCCATTTGCTAAGCGGGAATGCAGCGGAATTAAGGATGGCCGCCTAGGAGATCATCGACATAGCGGTTGGGGGCAATTGTCACTGAAGTTATTGGATTTTGGTTCAAATGTTCTGTGGACAGTTGCTTGTGACATCGGCTGGCTAAATATGAAGTCGATGTTTTCCCATAAGTGGTGGTGGTTAATTGAAATGTTCAAATGGGTTTGTCGAGGTTTTCCACCATAGAATTGGTTGAAGACATTATACATTTTATAAATGTCTGTTCGCACTAAGTATTTGTGCTGTCTGAACCGAAGGAGAAGAGGTCTTCCTGCACTATTGGTCCCGAAATTTGTATATCATTAAGGGATACTCCTGTATCTGAGGAAGCAGATCCAGCAAATACAACTCGAAGCTTTGTTGTTGAGCTCCGTTCATTTAGAACTACATGGTGTGGTAGAAAAAATGACGTGTTATCAATATTTGAGGAATTTTTAACCATGTTCCAAAGTCGCTCGTACTGACACATGAAATCAACATATTGGGCCCTGAAGGAGGGGTTTCAAGCAAATTTCCGCTTCAATGCCAACAGTCTATTCCTAGCCCTGCATTTTGACTCACACGGCTCATCCCTAAGAGGGATCCTGACCACAAACCGACTATCCTGGTTGGGATAAGTTGATGATGTAAATAAATCCTCACAAGTAACTTCATCAGGAGTTAAGGATGATCTTGGGTTAGGTACTTCTTCTGTCAGCCAAAATTTTCTAATTGTTCTCACAAGTCTAAGGACACCACAGTGGATGTACATAGGTAACAAGTGACTCAGTGGGAGTTTGCCTGCGACTACCCACCCCAATTTGTTTTTTTGGATGAGTGTAGTGGTTGGAATTACCATCAGTGGATTCCGAATATTTCGCAACAGTTACCTGCACTTTAAGTTTCTTTGATACTGAGATTTGCTCAAAATATTTATGTTCAAAATTGGCGATGATTTTGAGCTGCTCCTTGGGAAGGATTGGTCTTGTTAGGCGCTTGATGATATGATGGTGTATTCGGAATAGTTTTGGTCTTGGTCATAGGATTTGGTTTAAAGGATCGACAGGATGACGGACAGTGCTACACTTACAGTGAGCATGCAAAATTTTAATTTAGCTTGACAAAGTGGAAAAGCAAGCGGATGCAGTTGTACTCTTAGCCGAGGGAAAGTTCTTTCAGTAGTGGTAATAATTAGTGGATAGTCGAGGGTTGAGTTTCCAGTGCAAGGGATAGAAGTGTCATGGGTGTAACTATCATTTTTAACTTTCTTTTGGTGCATTTGTGGAATAGAAATGATACACAGTGAAGATTGTAAGGAAGTATTTTGAGAAAACCGACGATTTCATATTAAACTAAGATGGTACAGTAATATGTGCAAGCAGGTGTTTTAGTGGTGTACATTCGCACCCTGATTCACACAATTTTATAAAATACGTAATATTACTCACATTGTTTCCAGGCAATATTCGAAATCTGGCCATGGAAAAAGTAGCAAACAATCTTATGTTTCCATGTAAACACAAACAAACTGGGTGCAGGGTATCTCTAGGATTAAACGAAAAAGCCGAACACGAGGAGATATGCGAGTTCAGGCCTTACAGTTGTCCATGTCCAGGTGCTTCCTGTTCGTGGCAGGTACGTTTCATTATAAATACAGAGTGTACATGAAATAAAGTCAAAATCTCATAGTTTCTACAGGATTCTGTTGATAAAAATGATAACTGTAAGAAAGATGTTTACCAGATTAAGTGCTGCCGTGTAGGGATCCAAACTGGGAGATTTTTGCTGATCCTTTGGTTGAATGTACAATAGAAATGTAATTGTTTTAATTTTTTGTTGGGATTGCATAGGGACAATTAGAAAAAGTAATGGGTCATCTACAGCACGTACATAAAAACATAACTACACTGAATGGCGAAGACATAGTATTTTTAGCAACAGATATAAACTTGCCCGGCGCTGTGGATTGGGTAATGATGCAGAGTTGCTTTGGCCACCATTTCATGCTAGTTCTCGAAAAGCAAGAGAAGTGTGATGGACATACTCAGTTCTTCGCGATAGTACAGCTGATCGGGTCACGGAAGCAGGCCGAGCACTTTGCATATCGGTAATATTCATTCGCATAATCTTTTAATGTTCTTAACATTTCCATTAGACTCGAGCTGAATGGGAACCGGCGCCGTTTGACGTGGGAAGCCATGCCTCGCTCCAGTCATGAAGGTGTGGCCTCTGCAATTATGGGCTCTGATTGTCTTGTTTTTGACACGTCGATAGCTCAATTATTCGCCGATAATAACGGCAATCTGGGTATAAATGTTACCATATCCGTAGTTTGCTAAGGCAAAGTTGCATTATTTGTTAAAAGTGGGTTTATTTCGTTCTTTAATTATTCATGATTTGTATCAATACTTTCGTTTATGGCGTTTCTTAAAGACTGTTCGTCAGACCTGAGAACTGAAAGTTGCAAACGAGAACGTTTGACTGAGTAAACAAATAACAAAGCCGTTTTGCAGATCAAGTACGTAATCTCACATATGATATTGAATTGTACTTCATGTGTTGTTAACTAGTTATAGTGCTGTTTAATAAACGTAAGTTTTGTAGTGTTTTTTTAAGGTGAAAACAATCTGGTTTGTAACTTTACATGTTTTTACAATCACAATACGCCTTATTGATGATTTCTTTGTTTATACAATGGAGAGCTATTGACAGTCAGGTTCCTAACTTTTATTTCGGCTGTCATACTTATTAATTACGTACTCTTGTTCTTACATATCGGAACCTTAACCTCAACATCGTTGTTAGGGCCAAATTGGTCTTCTCTTTGCACGCTTACCCTATAATTTATTACTTATTTATGTTTTCAATTAGTTGTTTTTAATAGGAATGGTATAAGAGTCTAAGTTACTTTTGAGCAATTAACATTGCAAATGTGATAAATATTATAACATATTTTGATTTATCACTTTTTATACGTTGTTCTACATTTTAGCCAAGCTTGCAAAGATCACGTAAGTGTATTTTTACCAAAAATTTGTAATCGACATCGACTATCTCGATATTTTGCAAATTTGACTAAACTGTATTAAATTTTTATAAAGTGTCTATAACAACTCTGCGCAATTAACAACATTAGGGCATGTTTAGGCCAAATTAATTTTACCATCAGACTAATAAAAGTATTGTAAGCAAAACTTATCAGCAGCATTTCCTGTATATGCGAGTTTTTTAACAATCTTGTATCACTATTTTACGTTCTTGACACACCCTGATGAACTGGAATAACTTTGGTCTCTACTGCTACATTAGTTTTGTTTTGTTGTGCTTGTGATATACTTGTTGCGTTATGTAGAGTCCTGTTGTGAGTCTTGTAGCAATACAATACAAAATATTTGCATTTTTACGTTTCGTTTTTAGAGTTGTCCCGATTAGAAATCAATCCTGGTGTCATAAGTAGATAGTCATGAATTTATGCATTAGGTACAATCAACTAGACAATATTGCTATTTGATGGCTGACAGCTTCAATTATTTTTATTTTCCGTCTTATAATCATCAATCTAAAAGTCGCATTTTCAAATTTTACCTTCGAGTCTCTCTTTACAACCCAAATCTCACCTCGTATCCTCTTTGTCCCGCCATACAGGCTTCCAAGGTTGCTCAGATCATTACAGGTCCCCAATTTCTATACTCCAGGTCTAACAACCCTATTCATGTCTGAAGAAAACGGGGTGACTGACAGACAGATTAACATTTTTATAACGCGAATAAAACTCACATATATAGGTACTTATACTTATATGTATAAATATACTCGAAGCTTAGTTAGAGTTGTATCTATGAATAAACAAAATGATTGCCCTAAAGCAGATTTATTCTAGAGTAGATCTGTACGTACATACATTATTCATTATCTGAAATAGCGTTTGAATAATATTAAAATGCTACCAAATCGCCGATTATTATTTGGTGGCGGTCTATTAATACAAAAATAACTAATTTGTTACACATCGATTAAAGTAATATGTTCATTAATGTACATGTTGCCTTACTTAGTTACTACAAACATTGTAATAAGTGCAGACATGCATCATTACCATTGGTGACTGCGTACAGTACAGATACTCTATTTTTTGTGATAAGCTATCCATTGTATTAAGGTTATATAGGAAATTTCATTTCACTAAATATTACCAATGTATATAATTCCAAATATATTTAGGATTTACTTAATAAAAATAAAATTATGATTATTGTGTTTATTTTTTACTTAATGTACTTAACATTAACTTGTCTTATTCAGTAACAAACCATTTCGTTTCTAGTAATAAAAGGAGGACTAAGTCAATAATACAGTTATATGAGTATCTTATCTACAATAAGAACACGGCTGAAGTATATTTGTTTTTTCTTTAGCTATCGTGTTCTTATTATACTCATATAACTGACTGAACGACTGACATTGAGTCATACGTAAAGTCAATAAATACAAACTTTAATTACCTAATCCAAATGGTAATGCAACAAGGGTGTAACAAGTTGGTGTGTAGAAAAAATAATACTTGTTGCATGACACTAAAACAAACATTTTTTAGGGCATTTTACAACTCCTGTTGGAAGGCGCTATTAAGGCCACTTTCTCCATCCCTCGGCAACTACTATTGCAGTTTTCAATATATTTAGTTAGTTTTTTTTTAATTCGGTAGCTTATAGCTCTGGCACCTGAGCCAAGACTGCTAATAAAATCAAAACAAAGTCAAGGCAAACATATCGCATATTGTAATCATCAGGTGTACGTGATGCGCATGCGCATACTGCAATGCTAACTTTCATATTTATAGAAATTTTTTTGAAATTTTAACCACGTGCTTCAAGTAAAGGCAGATATATCGCATATTGCAAATATCAGATGTGCGCTTGCGCAGTGCGAACTTACTTATTTAGACACATTGCTTTGAAATTTTAACCATAGATGCTTCTGGTAAAGAAAAACATACCTCACATAGCTATGGCCTTTTGGGAAGTACTGATCAATGCATGGAAAATGCGCTAACCTTAAATCACCTTAGGGCGGAAACCTTTTTACTTGTTTTGAACTTTGGATTTCTTGTTTTTTTTTACCATCACCACTCATTCACAAAGTGTTGTGCATAATAATTAAATGCATATTATTAATAAAGAAACATTCAATCTATAAATAAACTCTTCCGATGCTGGGGGAATTCGTTCAGGTTAGGGACGGTGATCCATACCCGCAGTTATTCTGTAAAAGTGTTAAAACATCATCAGATGTTCTAACTCGGGGGCTATTATTACTATTATTATAAGCAGAGGTCTATTGGATCACTAAAAATAGTCTTTTCCTGTAGGTATTAAAATTGGCCGAAAAAATTGGATTCAAGATTACATTGCCTTTTCCTAGGGAATAATATTTCCATTATTCGCAGCACTACTGAGCACTTTTGAGCCTCCAAAAATCTCAAACGTTACGTTTCTTGTTTATAGTCGTTAGCAGCAATAAGACAAAGAGAGCCAAATGATTTTGCCTAGATTTTTTGGTATTTATTACCTACGATGTTTGTAAAAGTTTACAAAACTATAAAGGCAAGTCTAGGTTTCATGGTTTTATGGTTGCTTATAACTCTTTGGTTCTGGGTATATTTGGAAAAATTGTTTTTGGTCCTTCCATCACACTCCTGCCCGTTAAAGATGCTAATATCTTTTCCAAATGAAAAATAATACCTATTAACTGTCAACTTTGAAATGGTCCACAAATTTTATAATTCATAGGTAAGTGGTTGAATTTAGGGATATCATTAAAAGTAAGTAATGCAAATTCATGTTATAGGGGAAATTTGCCTGATTCCCAACCGCATCGTCGGTTTTTCAGTGTTGCACAATTTTTTCTTTGGTTCTCAGGTCATGGCAGTAATAGACACCCTGTATAAGAGAAGTGTACCGACTGCCATCTATTGAAGAACACTGCAAGTATTTCATCAATATGAAAGTCTCTCAATGCTGTCACTGTCACTTTTAGTTAGTGAAGAATGATTAGCGATTTTAATTAATTTATATTTTCACCTAAAACGAAATAATGGCATCGAACGAGAAGAAAGCGCAGCAACTGATTGCCGAAGCAGAGAAGAAACTATCGGCTTCGAAAGGTTTTTTTAGTTCCTTGTTTGGGTAGGTGTAACTTGTCATTCTTGGAATAATAAATACCCTTTCATTTCATTTTCTAGGGGTTCCGCTAAGGTTGAAGATGCCGTCGAGTGTTACCAAAGAGCTGCGAATCTGTTCAAAATGGCCAAGAATTGGGGACAGGCGGGCAGTGCTTTTTGTGAGGCTGCCAATCTACATTCAAAAGCTGGTTCTCGTCACGATGCAGCAACCAACTACGTCGATGCTGCGAATTGCTATAAAAAATCCGATATCAACGGTATGTACACGAATGTTCAGTTGCCACGATTGTGATAATTTGCACATTGCAGAAGCTGTAAATTGTTTACTGAAAGCGATAGAAATCTATACGGACATGGGACGCTTTACGTTGGCCGCTAAGCACCACCAAACCATAGCAGAAATGTATGAAACCGATGCTGTGGATTTGGAACGTTCCGTTCAGCATTATGAACAAGCTGCTGATTATTTTCGGGGGGAGGAAAGCAACTCGTCAGCGAATAAATGTTTACTCAAGGTTGCTCAATATGCGGCACAATTAGAAAACTACCCAAAAGCAATCGGAATATATGAGCAAGTGGCGTCCTCGTCATTAGAAAGTTCTTTACTGAAGTACAGTGCTAAAGAGTATTTATTCCGTGCTGCATTGTGCCACTTATGTGTCGATTTATTAAATGCTCAGCATGCGATGGAACGATACACGCAAATGTACCCTGCATTTCAAGATTCTCGCGAATATAAATTGTTACAAACGTTAATTGAACATTTAGAAGAACAAAATGTCGACTCATTTACAGATGCGGTAAAAGAGTACGATTCCATCTCGCGTCTGGATCAATGGTACACTACGATATTGTTACGCATTAAGAAACAGATCAACGAAAGTCCCGACTTACGTTGAGTGTGTCTTAGCCGATCATTTCTTGCGCTATACTTATATAGCACATTTCTAGTTGCTAACATGTTTTTGAATAATTAGGAAAAATTCACTAGTACTGCGAGCGCGTCAAGTGCAAGCGTGGTAATTAACTTTGCATTGGTATCAAGTTATTGAGGAAACTGTGTTAGTTACCAGAGTTACTAGTAACATTTTATACTATGTATTGTGCACTTGTCTCTTGTATCATTCCACTGTATACATTGGATGTAAATATATATAAATTTATCAATGTTTTGCGTCAACATTAGAATGTAATCTATCAGCATTACTGTTTTATATTATCAATGTTAAAGTCGCTTATAGAGTATATTGCTCCCCGCAAGGTGACATGTTGACATTATTATAAGTTGATTTTATGAACGTTTTGTTAATTCTTGTTATTATTTGGACTAACTTTTTGTAAACTATCTATAGTTTTAACTTTTTTTTGTTAGGCAACATTCGAAAGTATCCGGTTTTGTTTCTAAAACTGTTCATATAGAATAATCTACAATTACACGCATGATTAATGATGAATTTTTTAAATTAGAATTGTAGGATGCTACATCGATAATGTAATAAACTTTCTCTTGCCAAATATTGTTTTTTGAATCAGTAGCATCCTGTTTAGCAAGTTCAATTGGCGCAATGTGGCAACATTTTTCATCCCATTGCATTCAGTGTTTTAGAGAGGGTAGTATTGAATTTAAAATACCTTTTTGAATATATTCTTAAGTGGGTGGGGATTTAGCCGGAAACTGCTGCACTTACTAAACTTGAATGCCCGTACCAGGGTCTACTTAGTCACATTATAGTTAATACATATATAAGACTTTGTAATGTACTTTTTCTAACATCAATTTATTTCGAGATTTTATGTACGATAGTGTCATAAGGTAAGGGAAATTACGATTCATTCATTGAAAGCCATATTTAGGAAGTCTTCATAGTGGTGTACTGGGTTCTTAAGAAGATGTCTTTAGACCACATGCAAGTTTCTTTCACTACGAGGCAGGACAGATGTAGAGGTTAATACCCAGGGGCGGACTGGCACGGGGGGGCGGGTGGCAATTGCCACCTGGCCTGTAGATCATAATGGCCAGTTGGCAATTTATAAGTATTGTATGTGCTGTATTTAGTTTCTTGCACTATTAATAAATTATTAACACGTTTCTCTAATTGGGGTTGATGTTAAAAAATTCTGTTTTAATTGAGTTTTTTACAATGAATTTATCATTTTTTGTCGTAGCATGAAAGTGTTGAAATACAATGATAGGCGACGCACCTCATGTGGATTGTATATTTTGTTACTTTTAATTATCAGCTGCAATTTTAAAAAAAACTGTATGGTAATTGATTTTCGAGAAAGGGGTACTTTAAAATGTTTTTGTGGTGCACCTCAGAGCTACCCCCCCCCCCCCCCCCCCCCCCCCCCGCCTCCATCATTACTACACTAATACTTTAATAGCTCATAACCTATGCAATTCCACCTGGCCCGCAGTTACCTAGTCCGCCCCTGTTAATACCTACCTCTGTTTGTTGCTTGTGTAGCATACAGTCTGGATTTAGGGGGAAGGTGGAAGTTTGTTTTAGGATAGCAATGGGAGTTTTTTGGAAGGATACTGACATCATTAGGAGTGGAAAGGATTCTCAGGAGGATATGAAGCTGGACAGTTCAGTATATTGTAAAAAATGGCTTACAAGAGGTTTGCCTGTTTATTCCCTCTAGCGTTCTGATCGCCCGTTTTTGTTTTTGAAGTATTTCTTTGGCACATGGAGAGTGACTCCATATATTTCTATTGCATATGTCACAGAGTGAAATAGAGCATGATAAATAATTGGGGCAGCCGCCTGACGTCTATGGCACTCCGGCGGACTCCCGTGTGGGCTACCTTTAGTGTTTTAGTAACGATTCTTTCCTTCGCCCTGTGTTGTTGACTATAGGCCCCTTTTTGGAGCTACTCTGCTTTGTTTCATTCAAGTATATCCATTCCCAGTCTCCGCAACTTTTGATTGTGCCTTTATCATTGACCAAATGTTTAATGAAGATATGACGCGTCTATTACCCTCGTTTACCACTTGCTATTATATCAATTTATTGATTGATCTACCATCCATTAAATTAAAATCAGTAGTGTTCACACTTTGCGTAGTCCATAACATAAAAGCTCGGTCGCCGTCTTATCTCGCCCATATGTCCTGCTTCCAGATAGGACATAAGCCCGATATCGGCGGCCTCACGCGTAATTTTACCAATTCAGGAACCTTTGCAGGTATATGCAAACGTCCAACCATTCTCTGAAGTTTCATCGCAATCGGATGAACGGAAAATAAGCTCTGTTTCGGCGGATGCGCCGCCTCACCGCGCCCGACGTTTACTACATCAGAAACCTTCGTTGGCGTACTTCCAAGTTCCAACCAGTCCCCAAAGTTTCATCAGAATCGGATAAACGGTTTTTAGAAAGATATACAGACAGACAATTTGTATTTATACAGAAACCTTCGCGGATATATACGTCCAACTATTCCCCAATAAGCTTCATCGCAATCGGATAAACTACGGTTTAGGCAGGCATAAGAGACAAACAGATTTATTTATATTTATATAGAAGATTAAATACGCTTGGCTGTACATTTTTTTTGTAAATTTGTAACCCCTTATATAACATTGTCATTTTCAAAAAAGTGGAAATGCATCCTCCCAAAAATTAAACCTAGATCAGCCCCTGTAAAAGCGTGTAGTAGATCCACTGATCCACAGACTGGTAGATCTTTGTTTAGATTGTTCCATGTTTCTCCGTAAGATGGAACTGTATATACATCGCCGGTAACGGCAACCGTCTTTAGGCGCGTTCGTGTTTCGTAGTACGAATGGTACGATCGTATTTTGTTTTTATAAACATGTCTACTGGTTTTAATTAATACGAGGAGATTTCGAGTGTTCGAAGCATACTAAGGTATAGGAACATTATCTGAATGAGTTTAGGTATATTAGTGAAGAATATAACGATTTTAATGAAACATTGTGGTTTTACTCAAATATTGGTCATCATCAATCAACATGAATGAGAAAGGTAATTGTAGAATGAAAGCAAGACCATTATCTCACCCCCCCTTTGTATGGGGTTCGTTTATTCTTATCTGGAACTCTTCATTGTGACCTTTGAAGCCGCTTTATTTTTTGTTTGTTTATCCATTTATACTGAGGTTACAATGATCTATATTATTTTTAGATGAAAGTGTTATTACCAGAGTGCAGAGGGGTGCGGACCACTTAGAAATAAGTATAGTTAGTGATTCGGCAGCTCCCGAGTGCTCCGCCCCTAGTAAGCCCAAGAAAAGGGTTAGATTCGAGAAAGTAGACGTGGACGGTCAGGTTGGTGTGCGTCTGAGAAAGAAAAGAAAGCCAGTGCCAGATGATGAAGATACGGGGGAGTTTAAAAAGTCAAAGCTCGATAACGGTCATGATCACGAGAATCCGGATGAAGATGATGATAGCGGCCATGAATATCAAACGAGTAAGTTCACCATGTTCTTTTTTGTATATGATTTTGAATTAAAGGCTGTGTGATCAGAATCGCTGACTGTTAAATGTTTTCTTTTGTTATTTTTGTGGACTTGTGTTTTTAATCAGTGAAGATAAACTTGTTATTTGAATAAATAAGAAAATTATTGTAAAGAAGATATTGCCTTATGGTGTAGAGCAGGACCTGCCACCAGGTCACGAACAAATCGAGGAACAAATTATAATAAACAACATAACAATGGTCATTTTATGGATTAGGCTGTATGTCTTTTTTTATAAAGCTGCACTCCATGATCAGGGACACCATCATCTATTGTAACAGTTTTCTTTTTGCAAGACTGCTGTGCTAAGAGTCCCTGGCTCGATTCCGGGTTCAGCCATGGATCAAAATTAAATAAATTTTTGCTTGACTGTAATTTTTGTTGGAAATTTAGTATTTCGTCGTGGCGAATTATAATTGCGTTTTGATTGCGCATATTGGCTTTTCATTTCCGCTTCATTCTTCTTTCGGTACGTTTGGTTTGACACACTGAAGTGTGGTTTTGCTGGTCTAATTGTCAGTCCAGTTGCTTGTGAGATTGTCGAATTTGTTTTGGATTGAGATACTCTTTTCTCTCATTTTGGAGGCTATGAAATAATTGAGTTTCAATCGTAGTCCCAAGCTCTAATTTTCAAGTTTACATCCATGTTTAATGATGAGTTTCAGTTTTAATTGACTTGGACACCACCTGTATATTCAATCGTACGTGAGCACAAAGACAGTGGCTTATTTAAGTTAGTCTATTGACAGCACTTGGAGCAAAGTTATCGAAAACTTGGTCAAGGGGCAATTTATTTACTTTCATTCGTCAATTAATCAAGTTTTAATTAGTGGTCAATTTCCTCTGCAAGGATTAATCTTAATTTTGATTGTCAGTAACTAGTGTTAGCGTCACTAATTTATCACTGCCTGATCGATTCAATTTTGCACGTGTTATGATTGTGGGCGCCCTCTCGTTGGGAGACCGCAGTGCCTTGTTAATGTATTTGATCGTGAACCAGGTACGAGTATTATCTTGTCATTGTTGTATTTTAGACTGAATTGTTGAAGTTCTCTTCCTATGTCTGCAATTACTACACCAAAGGTAAGATTTTTATTGTTTTATTTGTTGTTTGTACTTTCATTTTGCTGCAATTTGTAAGTGGCCACGTTAGGCTTTAAAGATCTTGCAATTTACAAATTTGCCGGTATAGTACATTTTATACGTGTACCGCTTTATAATGAAAGAGAACAGAACTAATATTCTAGAAAATAAAGTCCGTTAAGATAAGAAACAAATGTTCAAGCAGATAACAGTCAAAATGTTACAGTGTTGCCGCGGTATCATACGTTATATTTCAGTGCTAAAGTTGAAATTAATTACTGAATTACTAGAGAAACTGTGCCGTCATTTCGACGAATTTATTGACGTTAGTAGCTTAGTACCTTCTAAGTTTGTTACGAGTTGCCATCTAATATGTGGCTGGTTCATGCTGAAAAAGAACTTCAATGCGTGGTGGCGGCGATCGGCTGGCGTGTTGTTTAGTCCGAAGTGATACTATTGAAGATTGCATTATCGGTAAAAATAAATTGTAACTACGAAGGTGCTGAACGTTCCATTGCTCTATATTTGGAATTACGTTAAAAAACCAGTTTATTGATCACCTAATTTGTTTAGACCAGGTTCTAAGAGCATAAATAAAACGGCAACCGGCAAAAAGGTTAAAGACAATTAATTCGTGCTTGTGTTTGCTGCAAACGCTAAATTTTAAGGTTAAATTCTAACATTTCCATACTGCGGAACACTAGTAATTTATTACCTGAATCAAATTAATTTTCAACAAGTAACGAACACTATGGGAATAAGGGGAGGCAAGCAGTGGCTTATACAGGGACAGTTAAGCATTTAAAGAAACTGGGTGGCGCTCAAGCTTACAGTAAGTTACGAGAAAGGTACGAAGATTTTTTTCCCTACGAACTAATCGTTCTAAAGTATCTCATGCGTTTTTACTTTCACATTCCTGAATTAACAGGCGGGTTTTGAGAAAATGCAATGCCATCTTGACTCATGTCACACTATTGATGTTTCATTAAAAATCGGTACACAAAAATGTCAGATCAGTAGCACTAGCACTCTCTAGTAAAAAGGAATGGGTGACATAATGAACAGTGTAAGGGTGGTCGCTTTATGGCTCAGTGGTAGAGCGTTGGGGTATAAATCCGGAGGTCGGGTGTTCGAACCTGGGTTGAGGTGAATTTTTCATCTGTGGCAGAGATGGAAATTACCTTAGACCAGTTCCGAGCATTCTACCGGCTACTCAGAATTAGGTTTTCCTGCAGTTTCCCTAATTCGTAAGGTAAATACTGGAGTAGTACAGAACAACTTAAGACCTTCTGCAGAGGCACCTCTAAAAAGCATTATGCGGGTCACTCAGTAATTGGGCACATGCCTGTTGAGGGCCCAGAACAAGAGAGGGATAATAAATAAATAAATAAATAAATTTAGACGTAGAAAGAGAGAGAGAGGCATTTTTTCGAATTCATATTCTAGTCGGCATAGGAAATTTATACATGTACCGCTTTATAGCGAACAGAAACCAAATTAAGTCTGGAAATAAAAGATAACGACGGTGCCTGGTTGTTTTTCCGAGATAAGCGGGCATTGGTTAGAGCGTGTATCCGGAGGTTTCAGGGAGTCAAGTTTGAACGTTCAAAGATGAAGCACGTACTCTTTGAACGCGGAAAAAGTTAGTTATTCCGCGTATTGGCTGTGGTTAAAAAATTCAAGTGCCGCCGCGCTTAAAGATTGGTAGATTTAACTAACGTACTGCCATTTGTTCCATCACTTGACCCCTCTTATACTAAGCTTGATAGGTCAGTCAATGGCAAAACATAAGTGGATGATATAATCCAAACAAAATTTATAAAATTAAAAAACAAAAAATAAAGAGTGGAATATTAAATGCAACATGCTGTCAAGGTTGACCATCTACAGCCGCTTTGTTTGAACGAATATATCTATGGTTAGATGGCTCTTCTGACACATGCCGTTTATGTACTGAACTGCAGACAGTCACAGTTTCAAACGATATGGCAATTACCTCGCCTATTATTGACGAAGGTTGGCTTATTGCCTACGTTAGGTATCTCTAGATTATTGTTGATCATATAATCTAGAAGAGATTCACCTCTTCTGTTGATGTCGGTGCTGCCCCATAAAGTGTGGTGCTCATTCGCATCACATCCAAGAAGGAGTTGTCGTCCTTTTCGCTTACAATGTTTCACCAATTTGCTAACTTCTGTGGTCATGCTCATTTCTTTGGTACTCCTAATTCTCAAATTGAGTCTTAGGACCTTGACAAAGACATTAAAATCGTCATTTAATCATCAATTTCTACTGGAAAACGCCAGAACGCATTTATTAAAAGATATCTCTTCTGGAGGACAAATTATGAGCTGAGGATGGGATAAAAAAAACTTACTCTCTTCTTCTTTCAGATGACACCATCGACTGGCCTCCAAAAGATGTTCAAACTTTAGTTAGCCACATAGAACAGTCGCTACCGAAGAATGATGTCTTACATTACCAAACTCGCGTGGAGAAATTAAATTGGGATGATGTAATAATATTGCGCTTGGGAATTTAGTAAATGCATGTCTATTTCTAGATTTCCTTCAGTAATTATACCGGTAACGATTGTAAAAGGGTCTGGTTTATAATACAAAAACGGATAAGGAGATTTCGGCTGCTGAACGAAGTGCTTCAGGATGCCAAGGAATTGGTATCAAAGCCGTGGATAGACTTCTACCATAGATCTAAAATGGCAAGTCAAATGGTAATGAAATTCTAAGTAATAATAGTAATTGTAGAAACGCCACCCCAAATTTCCAAAGCGTCCATTGTCTGCTTACATGCTTTTTTATTTGCAGAATAAACAGAAAGTACAGACCGAATGTCCCGGATTAGACATGGTAAACTCTATTCATTCATCGTTTACATTGTTTGACAATTAATGGAACTTGATATTTTCCTTTCTAGATGGAAATATCGAAAGAGACTGCTCTAATGTATAAAAATTGCAGTCCGGACGATCGACAGGATTACATAAAAATGGCTGCAGCAGAAAAGAAGGCATACGATGAAAAATTGGAAGAATTTCAGTAAGCGGCACGACATAGTTTCTGTTTTTTACCATTGCGTTTGCCATTGTAGGCGACTACATCCAGAAACTTGTGTCTCTGAAAAATCAGTTAAGCCTGCCGATACAGCTCCAGCTCCAGAAAAGCCCTCTACTCCTTATAGATTGTTTTATAAACAACAACATAAAAACTTCTATTCCAATTGGGAAGGAGATCTCTCCAGTTTTAAGGACCAATGCAAGGAGGAATGGAGAAACTTGCCTGATAAACAGAGAGTTGAATGGATCGATATGAGTCTAGAGGAGGAGGAAAAGTATCAGGTAATGATTTTTCTGATCAAAGTGGGTCAGTTTTCTTATGTGTTTGGTATATTTCTTTTGTTTGTAGTTGTAGTGTCATTTTCACCACTCTATTTAATATCATAAAATGTGCGGTATTTGGTGAGTGAAAACAACAAACATAGAAATATTGTTGTTCTAAAAATAAAATTAAAGGAATAGCGAAAGTATGTGAAATAATAAGACTCTTACGAAATTCCTAATTAATTTTGGGAAGCAAGGACTTGATTACTTAGGCCTGTATTCTTGAATGTCTCGGAGGACTCCAGGAAGTGGGCGTGGTCCACCTTAAAACGGTGAAAGTCATATTCTTGAAAACGTGACTTGGGAAGTGGGCAAGTTGTAAGAGAAATAAACTCCCCCAAGGTTTTCTAACTTTGTTTTGTTTCATTAAATTTACTGGGAGTGAAAGTAAGCTAGGTTAGGTTAGTATCCCAAGAACGCTCCCATAGAAATTCAAGAATACAGGCCCTGAACATGTATGATAATACCATAGTGCGAAGAATAGAATAGTGAGTTTGGAGAAAAAGGGAAATTAGTTCTAGACACGCCATTCTGAAAGAAGGGTGGAGCTGTCACAGATCTTACCTCTGCCTATGGATTTCTTCCTTCTTGTATTTTGCAGCATAAATTCATGTTCTTACCTGTTTGTTTTTTTGCTATTTATTGATGGTTTTTATAAAAAAAAACGAGTGGTATGAAAAAAATTGGCAGTGTGGGCAGGGGCGGAGAAATTGCATAGGTTACGGGCCATTAAAGTATTACTGTAGTAATGATTGTGGGGGGGGGGGGTAGCTCTGAGGTGCACCACAAAAACATTTTAAAGTACTCCTTTCTCGAAAATAAATTACCATACAGTTTTTTTTTAAATTGCAGCTGATAATTAAAAGTAACAAAATATACAATCCACACGAGGTGCGTCGCCTATCATTGTATTTCAGCACTTTCATGCTACGACAAAAAATGATAAATTCATTGTAAAACACTTCAATTAAAACAGAATTTTTTAAGAACCTAACATCAACCCCAATTAGAGAAACGTGTTAATAATTTATTAATAGTGCAAGAAACTAAATACAGCACATACTTATAAATTTCCAACGGGCCATTATGATCTACAGGCCAGGTGGCAATCGCCACCCGCCCCCCCGGGCCAGTGCGCCCCTGGTTATACACTGCCTTTTTTTGAGTCCCGAAAAAAACATTGTCTCAGATCGCCCCGGAAAAAAAATTTTCTTATAGAATGTGGCCTGTAGAATCCATAATTTCAAACAGTTCCAAGATTGGGCTACTAGTTCAAAAGTTACAGCCCTTTGAATTTTTTTTCGAAATTGGTTTCTAGTCTATAACTTTTGATTGAGAAGTCTGATCGAAAAAGTACGAATTGTTTTGGATTCTACGCACCAAAATTAATAAGAAAAAGTGTTTTCCCGAGAAATTTTGGTGCAGTCGATTTTTGGTAAAAAAGGAAGGTTATACACTGCCTTTTTTTGAGCCCCAAAAAAAAATTGTCTCAGATCGACCCGGAAAAAAAATTTTCTTATAGAATGTGGCCTGTAGAATCCATAATTTCAAACAGTTCCAAGATTGGGCTACTAGTTCAAAAGTTACAGCCCTTTGAATTTTTTTTCGAAATTGGTTTCTAGTCTATAACTTTTGATTGAGAAGTCTGATCGAAAAAGTACGAATTGTTTTGGATTCTACGCACCAAAATTAATAAGAAAATGTGTTTTCCCGAGAAATTTTGGTGCAGTCGATTTTTGGTAAAAAAGGAAGGTTATACACTGCCTTTTTTTGAGCCCCGAAAAAAAAATTGTCTCAGATCGACCCGGAAAAAAAATTTTCTTATAGAATGTGGCCTGTAGAATCCATAATTTCAAACAGTTCCAAGATTGGGCTACTAGTTCAAAAGTTACAGCCCTTTGAATTTTTTTTCGAAATTGGTTTTAGTCTATAACTTTTGATTGAGAAGTCTGATCGAAAAAGTACAAATTGATTTGGATTCTACGCACCCAAATTAATAAGAAAAAGTGTTTTCCCGAGAAATTTTGGTGTAGTCGATTTTTGGTAAAAAAGGAAGGTTATACACTGCCTTTTTTTGAGCCCCGAAAAAAAAATTGTCTCAGATCGACCCGGAAAAAAAATTTTCTTATAGAATGTGGCCTGTAGAATCCATAATTTCAAACAGTTCCAAGATTGGGCTACTAGTTCAAAAGTTACAGCCCTTTGAATTTTCTTTCGAAATTGGTTTCTAGTCTATAACTTTTGATTGAGAAGTCTGATCGAAAAAGTACGAATTGTTTTGGATTCTACGCACCAAAATTAATAAGAAAAAGTGTTTTCCCGAGAAATTTTGGTGTATAGTCGAATTTTGGTAAAAAAGGAAGGTTATACACAGGGGCGGACTGGGTACTTACGGGCCATTAAGCCATTAAAGTATTAGTGTAGTAATGAAGGTGCCGGGGAGGGGGGGGGGGGTAGCTCTGAGGTGCACCACAAAAACATTTTAAAGTACTCCTTTCTCGAAAATCAATTACCATACTTACAGTTTTTTTTAAATTGCAGCTGATAATTAAAAGTAACAAAATATACAATCCACACGAGGTGCGTCGCCTATCATTGTATTTCAGCACGTTCATGCTACGACAAAAAATGATAAATTCATTGTAAAACACTTCAATTAAAACAGAATTTTTTAACAACCTAACATCAACCCCAATTAGAGAAACGTGTACAGCACATACTTATAAATTTCCAACGGGCCATTATGATCTACAGGTCAGGTGGCAATCGCCACCCGCCCCCCCGTGCCAATCCGCCCCTGAGTGTGGGGTCAAAATGTCATGTCCGTTCGTCTGTCTGTGCGTATAATCTGGAACGGAAGGTAGATATTGGACCGGGTCGGATTACTGGAAGTTCATCAATAAAAACGCTTAAAACGGGTGTTGTATTGTGCCAAAACAACTAATAAAAGGTATTTTAGATTCCAAAATGACATATTCAAAATTCTCTAAGAAATAATATTTTTATAGTTAAACTAAAAAATGAAAAATAAACATAGTTTCAATAACGTGTCTCAACTGGAATCCCACACCACACCCGTCAAAGTGCGCAAATTACCGGCGTAGTACTAGATTATAGAGTCTACTGTATTTGGGAATCAAACACATACCATCAAAAGCTATCTACGTTCGGCCCCCTCAGCGAACAACTTCGCCACCTTCTTCTTCTCGGTAGAGCTGAAAAGCATAACGAACCTTCGCCCTTGTGCAATTTGAATTTGCTGCACTTCCCGCGAAAATATTTCCAGTGGCGTAGCATGCGTTTTTCTCCTTTAATAAAATGCATAAAAGCACAAAGTTTATTTAGTTCAATGCTATAGAAAAGGCAATATTAGAGACGCGTTTTGTCTTTTTGGACTATATTCTCGTACTTTTGTATTTATCTCTGAAACGGGAGTAAAATTTTTAAAAAGTAAATAAACTAGTTTTTCCTCTTGTAAAGTCGATCCAGGGACATACAGTAGACTGTGGCAAGGGATTTTTCAAAAGCTCCCTTTTATAGACTTGATACCCAAGCCAAATTATGTTAGTTTCGCCACTATTCCTAACCTTGTTGATTAACAGTCATCTCAATAACTTTTGAACTAAATTTTCATCTCATTCTCACAGTACATTATAGAGAAACCATTTTGGTTTACTGACAATCTTAAATAATGGTGACATTAACACCCTTGCGACATCTCTAAATTTTAAGTATTCCAAATGTTAATAGTATATGTCACCTATTCTTCACACTATGGTAATAGGGGAGGCAAGCAATGGCTTAATCATCAATAAAATTAATTTGTTTGTATTTTAAAGGAAGAATTGAAAAACTATGTGCTCCGAAATCCCAGTTATACTGCAGGCGTTTTTAAGACTGTCGTGTCCAAAAGTGAAAGGGCAGTAAAAGAACGTCTCTCTGGCAAACCAGTTAAGCCACCGCTTTCTGCATACAGTTTGTATGCACAGATAATGCTGAAAAGCGATGAGATGAAGAAAATTGATCCCAAATTGAGAATGAAAGTGCTCGCGGATCACTGGAAAAATTATACCGAACAAGAGAAGAATGTCTACCACGAAAATTACGAACAGGTAGGTGAACGTTTGGTTGAAATCTACTGCTAGTCTATATCTTATAGTTAGTGGCTCAATACAAAATAGATTATGCCACTTACCTAGATTCCCTTCCCGAAAGTAAACGCCAAGAAGAACTCCTAAATAATGCTAAGCGGAAAAAAAAGAATGAAGAGGCTAAAAGTAAGACGGATGAAAATGTAAATAAAAATGGGCAAAAAAGTAAAACAGAAGATGAAAAGGAGGAAGAGAGGAAACGTACTGAGTTAACCCATGATGTAGGGAAAATGAGGGTAAGGCAGGCTACATATCGGAAAGATTATGAGCAAGATGAAGGAGTGACCATAGTAACAAAGATCAGAAAAGAACATGACATTAAAGTGTCAACGAAAGAACGTGATAAAAAGAAGAAAAAAGAAGATGGATTTGAAAACGGATGTGTTTCTCTAACGAAAATCATTGAAGCAGAACCTGTACAGCCGCCTGTGTAAGTGTATCCTACGTTATTATTCGTTGAACCTTTTTAATTAATGCTTGTTTTTTAGATCTGGCTTTGTCCTGTTTAGTAAGCGATACCATGGTAAGGCGCCGGTGGAAACGGCATGGAAAAATTTGAATAAAATTGAAAAGAAAGAATATGAAACCGAAGTCCAAATGTTAAAACAGAAGTATATTAAAGATTACGAAGCGTTTTTGAAAAGTTTAAGTAAGGAACAACTAACTGCCTTTTCTCAAATGAGAAAAAGTGGCAAAGGGAGAGAGGAAGTAAGCGATCCTACGTGTATTACAATACAATTTTAATCATTAACTTATAGAAACGCCCCAGTAATGAAGATGATTATGAGAGTACAGATTCATCTGACTGAATTATGATTTTGTTCTTTGTTGTCAATTGTTTGCAGTAAGCCAGTTATGCGTGCAGTAATTTTTTGTTTAATTAATTCTTATATTATTTACAAATTAACATTTTACTCATGAGGTATTCATGTCGTAATCATCTTCCATCTGTAAACTAGATACCATGACTGAGAAGCGAGTGGTTAACCTCTTTTTTACTTAGAGTTTAAGCATTTATTGTAGAAATCATGTAAACAATATTGTAAATTACGAATGAAATAGTTACTAAAAAAATTCAATTTGTGTGTTGCTTACTTTAGCTATTTTTAGCGCGTTTCCTCAAAGAGATGCAGCTATTATGCTCACTGCTTTTTTATTTATTTGCAGTTTACAGTTTTCATTATTTTCCATTCGCGTTTTTTCAGTGTTTGTTTATTTATATTATGGGAAAGCACAAAAATTAATTGATAGCTTATACATTGTTGTCCATTTCTCTCGTCTGATCATGGAATCTCGGTTACCTTTACAGCTATAATTGCGGGGTTCCCAAGCACAAAGTAGGACTGGGGCCTGTATCTCCATATGGAAGTTTACTTCAACAGTAACATACTAAACCATTTTACAACCTTCTCTACGCAACATTTTAACTCGGCCCCAGCACTTGCTTGTACGTAGATCCGGCCCTGGATGAACTTACCAAATTTTTAAACTTAAAATGTATCATGAAGGCACTTACGCTAACTCTTAAATGTTTGTAATAATTTAATCAAAATGAATTTTTGTTTTATAAAAAATGTCAATGTGACATACACTCAAGTTTTGAGTTTAACATTTGGACAAGGTTACAAACAGTATTTTATATAAAAGACAAAGAGAATTTTAGTAATTTGGATGACAATTGTCATTTTTTTCTAAGATTTCATTTATTTTCATTTCGTATAGAACAACTTAAGTTACCGAAAATGTATATCTTTTTTTTTTAAATTTTATTTGTAATTATAATATTTTCTAGAAAATTATAATTCTGCTGGTTGGGAAAAACAGCTTACAGCTGGTCTCCGCCAGAATCATAAAGTATTATTATTATTATTAAATTCGGACATCAGCTTATGCATGTGTGGTGATCTCCAACAAATCAATCCATTATATTCTGTAATGGTAGCAGTCGTTGGTTTCATTCCATTTGTGTTGAACTCTCAGATATTGAAGTTCGTGACCTGAGTAAAGACCAATTAATTCCTTGTATATTGGCTGATTGTGAAGATATCTGAACCTCTCAATATTCTCATACAACCTAAGACCATGCCCGCATTACTCTCCTTCTGATAGTCCTATGACCAAACGGGGACGTGACTTAAATATACATATTAAATGGAAACATCTGGAAGTCTATACCATTCTCCCAAAGCATTGGAACTCTCATCAACTTCTTTGGAAACTCAAGTCTAATTTGGGATTTGAAAGGATTTGGGATACAAATAGCAGAAAGTTTCGCTTGTCTAATCAACAAATGTACTGATATTACAGTAGACACTTCCTTCTTCCTCAAATCATGGAATCGATGAAAACATTTGTACCATAGCCGGAACTTAAAGTCTCCCTTTAACAACTGCACTTAATTAAGTACTGTTCGACAAGTGACATGACTTTGTCGTGGTGGGGAGATAGAGGCGAAGATGGCACACCAAAACCTTCAAATACCAACTGCTCAACAACGGCCACGCAAAACGGAATAGTCCTGGAATAGTGGCGACCATTTTGAATGACGTCGTACTGGAAATACGTGGGGGGTACGGAATGTCCTTGTTGCTTCGTATACACCCAAGCATAACTGACTCACAAAGAATTCTCTCTATACGCATACTTGTAGACAGAGGTGTTGTGAGCTGCTGGACTATATCTGGAAAATCACTGAATTTATTTCCTTTCTTCAACCAAGCATATTCTTCTCGACTCTCTTTTATGGTTCCAGGAGTATTGCGCCACAAAACGGATGCCACCCAGGTACCCCACGGGCTATTCTGTTTAACTTTGCAACCAATACTGGAGAAGCTCCTTTCTGAACTCTGCTTATTTGATATAGACGATGGCACATTGGCTGGTGATCCGAATGTGATATTAGAAGACTTCGGAACTCTATAATGGAAGAATGTGAAAAGATTGGCCTTAAAATACACACCTCTAAATGTTTTTCACGTCTGTATAAGTATATTGAACATACAGCTCAACGTTATCAAGAACTATAAATGTCCAGGAATTCAAAAAAATTCTTGGATGCCCCATCACCCTCGCTGTATGTGAAAAAGTTCTTGAGAAGAAGCTAAACACTTTAAAAACATTGATCAGTCACCTAGAGGATTTGATGAATAGCCACTATATATTGTATTGCCTATTTCCTTCTTCGGAACTGTTTTGCAATTCCTAAATTAACATAGGTATACCTTCTGAGCAACTGTCTAAATTGATTCTATATGGAGCCATAGACATATGTCTCTGCTTGGAGCCATAGACATGAGAATATATGCTTGGAGCACATTAAACATTAATAGATAATGTAATAAAAAATTTCTTTGGGAAAAATATCGAACATTGAGTTAGATGAGGAGACTTGGATCGTAGGATCTTTACCAATTAAATCCGGTGGTCTCGAAACATGTTAAATAAAATAATAAATCGGACGCTACTTGGATCTCTTATTATAATCTTGGATTGGATTTGTGAAGATGTTAACTCCCTTTACTATAACCTCAAATTGGGACCAATTCAATATCAATAGGTTTGTAGGACTATAGATCTTAACTCTGGTTCGAGTCACGCACGCTTTAATGCCTTCCGTTGTCTAGAAGCAATGTCTATACAATCTGCCTGCCTCCATAGATTATTGATTGAGCAGAGGTTTATGGGTATATTAAACCTTAGTTTGAAAGACGGCGGTGCGCATCCCCAGAGGTCCACTATTACCTACTTAATAAAGCTAAGATAAAGAAGCCGTTGATGGTTGAATGTCGACCAGAAAACTATAATGAAGCGTGGCGCGATTGGTTGAATTGGTTCAGTATAACCAGAAATGAATAAATAATGCTATATAACATACGTATTAATGTAATTGTCACGATCCCACGGTTGAGGTTTGTGGCTATATTTCTTTTGGTTCGTGCAGTGGGAATATGGTTTTGTCTATGGTCGCAACTAGCACCATAGCTATACGGTTTGCTATATGGGTATTAGTAATCTTATTTTTTTTCCTGGATTTATGTATGAAAAATCGGAATCCAGGACTAGTGTAGTTAATTCCGGGACAATCCCCGAAAATCCTGGCCATATGGCAACCCTATCTGTATAACATGTCAAGATATAGATAGCCCCCCCCCCCCCAAGTAATATTGTTGATGCTAAATGTGTTGTTGCTGCACAGCATCTGCTGTGCTCCCAAGACAGAAAGAGCATGAAATGCAAGTTCTTTTTCATCCACAAAATTATGAATTGGACGTCCTCACCCTCGAGTTCAGTAAAATTCTTTATTTTTGTAGCAATGGGTCGAGGCCTATTTTTATCAGATGAGACACACCAAAATGCAATGTTTTTCCAGTATGTGGTGGAATGCTCCTTTTGGAGTAAAAAATCTGAATAACCTACATTCATCTGAATTTTGAATTCGTCACACCACCACACCAATTATTTGGCAGAACATAATATTCTTCCAAAAGAAATGAGAAAGAAAAAATGTTGTGGTCAATCTTTTAATTAGAAATAGAAATGAATACTTCTGTGAACAACTGTACCAATAAATTGTAAGAGTATTTTACATCCTATTGACCTATACTACTTCATAAAGCTTCAGCCTTAACTTGTTTATACTTAAACGATGGTACGTTAGCATTAAAAACTAAATGATTTGCCTTCACAAAATGAACTGATAAATCGAAGACTAACCTGCTAAAGCTTTATGATTACAATTTACGTAAATAATAACAATTACATAAAAAAGTACAATACTGCGAAACATTAGTAAAAATTACGATGTCCCAATACCAATGGCAATTCCGGCAACAAATGAAATGAGAAAAACATGAATTTCCCTTAGCTTATTCTGCGGTATGCCAGTTACGTTGGAATACCATCTCTTTGCAGCCTTTTTGCGATCTTTAACCAGAGATTCAACTTGATCCGCTTTTCTATCGACAAAGTCCTCCACCTAGAAATAAAAAAATTGTTGAAAGTCCACGAAAACACCACGTACTTTATCCATCCAATTTGCACTTTCGCCAGTTATTTGTTCCTCGACTTTGTCAGATACCTGATCAATTTGCCTGTTGATCTTATCCCAATTGATCCTAATGTAACCCTTTTCATTGGCCAATTCTAATAATATCACACCGCCGCCAAGAGCAAAAGCGGCCGCCCTTCCCACTTTCATTGCTAGATAGCCGGTTACCCTAAAGTTATGGATTAACAATCGATTTCGGATGACACACTTACAAACCATCCAGACGAAGCTCCGATAATAATTTGCTTTGTGGCGGACGTTTTACTTACATCCCCTAGAATTTCGTCAATGATTGATTTTGTGTCTTTTGTGTTAATTGGTTTTGCAACTTTTTTATTCGAATCCATCACGAATATGTTTCCTTCGAACTAAAAATTACCTTTAAGAAGTGATCAAGTGGATATTAATCATCAAACCTATTAATAGTTTAGGAAGTTGACATGAATTTTTAAAAAATTCAAAAAAAAAACCAGCAATAAACAAAATTATCGTTTTGTGGTTAACGATCTGTTAAAAGCAGAGTTGCCAAGTGTAGTCAACCGACATAAATAAAACTAATTTATGGTTAGGGGCAGGGCTAGAATCCGATTTAACTCCGTGAAAAGCGCACGCGTTCGTTGAGAGGCGAAAAATTCGATAATCTAAATTTGCCCCCTCCCTCATGGGCCAAGATTGTACACATGGGGGTCATACCTCTTGAATACGATACCTAACCATAACTGTATTGACATTTGCCCTCCCCATAATGTCATCCTGAATGCTCCGCTGGTCATAGGCATAATGTCGTCATTCAAGGCGATTCTACAAAACCCAGATAATATATTGTTAATATGTATGATCTAAGACAAATCCATGCGGTGAGGCTGTTTACAGTTAGGTTCCACAGAAGCGATGATAGCACCCCACCTTGATGGGGCCATCCTCTCACTGCTGTGCACTTTAGTGTTTCGTCGCCAAAGCTGATATGCACTGCTCGAAGGCTCGAAGTGTACCTGAGTTTTACCAGGCTGCTCTAACCATGCTTATGCTTCTGCAATCTACCTCTGGTCACCTCCTAACTAAAGTCGCCTCGCAACACAAAGCCGTGTTATAACGCTGGTATGACAAGTTGATCTGCCAAAGGCAAAGGCTTGAATGAGAGTTAAATCGGAAGATTTCCGTTGCTTCAAGCAACGCCACTGACTATCCACTATAATCGATTTAGTAACATTTGTTTTCCCCTAAGTCACTAAAATTTGATTAGAAATTTTTATTCGTATCAGATTTGTGCTGCTATTCGGTTAAAAAGTACATATTTTTCCAAAAATACTCCAAAATCTATAAAATAGAGCGGCGGTAGTTACAATTATTTAAGAACTGCGTCCCAATTCGGCTTCCAATAGCGAGATTTTACGCTACTTAACCTGAAGATGAAATAAATGTGCGGTTAAGGACAAGGTAGGAAAGACGCCCCATTTGTTTGGAAGATTTAAATAAACAATCAAATTTGTTGTTACAGATTTGCAAATAAAACCGTACTACCATGACGTCTTTGTGTAAAACCACAGTGGTAAGTACTTAGTCACAATGTTGATTAGGTTATTTTCCATTCAAATTTGAAGGGTACCTAATTGGAATTGTTTTAGTTACGTTTGTACCAAGAGGTCATTGAAGATGTGGTAGCGGGTGTGCGAGAAGTGTTTCTGGAAGATGGAGTAGATGAGCAAGTTTTGCAAGAGCTGAAGCAGACGTGGGAGAATAAGTTAGTAGCTAGTAAAGCTGTACATAATCAATACGATGCGGAGAACAGTAAGCAAGGTAAATTTTTCTTGAATATTATAATTGTGCAAGGTAGTTTTTTTGTTTCTGTGATTGGGTGTTGCCTGTAAATCTATTATTGACATATGTTTTGTTATGAAGGATTGCATAGTAGGTATGTTGAAAGTTGTCTATGTTTTGCTTTGTACTGCGTAACTTATTTGGTTGCGTAAAAAGTCATTTGTAATAGGGTAAAGCATAGAAGAATGATGGAATCTCCATCTACGTTTTGGAAACGGCAAATTTAAGAGCAATAAAACTCTTTATTGAAGATTGTGGTAAAAATTACCAATTGATTTGATTGATTAAAATTAAAATAAACTAATCCACAAGATTCAATGAAGGTATTGTTTACAAGCCTGGGAAATGCAATGCAGATGATATCACATAAACATTCTGTTTATATAAACACTTGATTATTTTTGCAAGAAAGTGAATAAACAATTTTGTCTAGAAATTTCTGAAGAATGATTAATGTACCTATTTCCGCATCTTGGCGATCTTGGCACAAATTTAAAATGTGACTTAACAATTTTAATATTTTGTTTAATTTCTTTTATTTAAATAGCCTTACGAAAACAAATTGACGTGGCGAATGGGTCCAACGGTATCCCTAAGCCGCAGCAACAGCAAATTCAAAAGCAAGTGGTGGGCCAAGTTACACCGAACAATCATGTACAGATACCAATTATTCGTGACGAAAATAAGCTAGTTCCAATTCAAATAACTTTACCTGCACAACCCGGTAGTGATAGTGGCCAACGTGTTCTAACCATCCAGGTTCCGGCTTCCTCCTTACAGGGAAATCAGTTGCACAAGGTGCTTACTGGGCCCGTTATTACAGCAACCATGAGTTTACCTCAAGCGTTAGCGTCATCCGTTTTACAGCAGCACGTTAATGCGGCATTAAATTCTCAGCAACAAACAGTTACCATAGGTTCCATAGTAAATAAATCTGTGATACAGACTGACGGAGTATTAGATTTGGACAGTTCCGATGATGAGGTCAACTCACTCGGCACATTATGTTTAAGCCGGCCAGGTCCCAGTCGTGGCGGGGGGGAGGGCTGCTCGTTCAAACAACTCGATGGTGCTAGAGATACTTCGGATGATGACGATCAAGGATCTGATGATGATGATGCTTCTGATGAAGCAGATGATGATAAAGATGATGATGAGCAGGAAATGGAGGAAGGGGGTCCCGAAGAAGAGCCGTTAAATTCAGAAGATGATGTGACGGACGAGGATCCCTCGGATGTCTTCGACACAGACAATGTGGTCGTCTGTCAATATGACAAGGTATTTGCAGCTGCTAAGTTAAAGTTTTTGCAGACGTAAATTGTACCAATTTCAGATCACTAGAAGTCGTAATAAGTGGAAATTTCATCTTAAAGATGGTATCATGAACCTCAACGGCGAGGATTTCGTTTTCCAAAAGGCCACCGGAGACGCCGAGTGGTAAATTATGGAAACTTATGTGCAAGCTGTTTGTTTGAAAGTTGTTTGTTTGTGTTAGTTATGTTTTCATATTCATTATAGTTATTTATATGTATTCATATCAACATTTGTGTAAGACAAAGTAATTGATTTCTGTATTTAAAAATGCATATAACAGAGTTAGGTAATTGTAAATCTTAATTTATGGAACACACTGTTAGCATTAATTCTTGTACTTTTGTTTAACTGTTAAGACTGATACAAGTGAAAAAATATATTTGATCGAGCAAAAATTATTGTGGTCGTCAAAGTGTGACAAAAAATCAAGTCAGAAGATACAGAAAATTGTATTCACTTTAGCGAAAAAAATTAATTTTAAATTTTTTCAGGTGAGTGGCAGTAGGAGTTCTTGTTGGTTCTGCTCTATACTATACTATGGAAATGGTTGCATTTATTTTTGTTCCATGTTAAAAGAAGGGTCATTTTTTAGATAACAAAAACACATTGCGTTTGCCATTATATACCTTTCAAGAAAAAGATTCAGAAACAATTTAGACAAGCTAAGCATACACATAACAATTGTAAGAATTACAGCATGAAATTTCATAATGCAATAATCAACCTCTATGATATTAACAAAATTTCAAACATGGAAGGTGGGCATTGCTGCTCCATCTTCATGAAGTTTCCTCGTGCCTCTCAACCTCAATGACATGACTCGGATTATGAAAATCTGTTTTTGTATTCTCAGCCATGACAAAACATTACATAACGCATTTGCCATTCTCTTGAGGTTTTTATACCGAACAGATTAGAGAATCAAGTCCTCTACAGCAGGTCGTATTTGTTATACATTTCATTCGCACGCTACCTATTCTGGCAAGTATAGGAGGAGCCTGCATTTACAATGGGATTATCGAAAAACGTTATTCTTCCAGACCCCAACATTCTTGAAATGTTCATACACTGCAGAGACACCTTTGCTCGCTTCTCTCATTATGAGTTTGATCGCGAAGCCATTCCATTCAAGATTTGTCATGGCAGCACGCTGATCATGGCCATACCTAACTAGGCCACCTTACAGTTCAATACATGAATTCATAGCACAATCACTGACATTCCCCTGCACAATTTTGGTTAGAGGGCGTTTTTCATGTGCTGGCAATACCTCCACCAATCTTGAACTTTCTTTCTTTCCTTCATTCTTAACATTTTTCATGGTACACAAAGGGGTCATTGAAATTCAAAATGTGTAGATTTGATGGCATCTGTGAGAATTTTCATACATCCTTTAGGTATTGTGCAAGGATTTTCAGCAGTTCTCTATAACGATTGGGGAGTTCAAACAACTCATGTCCAGTATTAGTCCAGGAAATAGAGACTGAAAATGTACCATTTCCTGCAAAACGAGAAGTAGTTCCAATTTTTTTTGCATGTCATGAAAGAATATCTGGTGGTTAAGAATCCAAGTTTTCGACCTCCCACCCGTACCACCCTTAAAATCAAAGAAATTTGGTTGGTTTTTTAGTTTTTCAATCATATCTTTTTATAGGTTCATTTTACCAAAAAAATATTGTTATCAGAAATTGTAGAGCATAAAATTCTATACAACTTTGATGTACACTACTTTTTTGTGAAATGTTTATTAAAAAAGATATAGAGCTTGAGAGTTAGTTATATTTTTAAGAATTCTGAAATTTCTATGTAGATGTTTTAATCAAATTTCATACTTTATCTCTATACTTAAGAGTTTTATGAGAAACTGTCTTGAATTTATCGTGGTATAAACCCCCTACGCTGCACCCTTACCAAAGGGGATGCATAATAATTCAACTTTCAACCCTTGCTAGTGGGGATATTTGAATCACTGTGAGATTGTAGGGCTTTCTAATATACGTTTGAAACAAAAAATTATCTCACTTCAGTTCAGCTTCAGCCTCCATCCCCCCCTCCCAACCGCGGTAGGAATAGATATTTAAAGAGGAATAGAAAATATATGTAATAAGCGTTGTACTCTCTGACTAACTTCACAAGAGCGTTTAAATATATATTCCTTCCGCCGGGGGGGAGGGGGGGGGTTAAACTGAACTGAAGTGAGACAATTTTTTAATTTCAAAAGTATATTAGAAAGCGCTATAATCTCACAGTGATTCAAATATCCTCACTAGCAAGGGTTGCAAGTTTCATTATTATGCATCCCCTTTGGTAAGGGTGCAGGGTAGAGGGATTTATACCACGATAAATTCAAGATATTTTCTCATAAAACTCTTAATTATAAAGATAAAGTATGAAATTTGGTTAAAACATCTACACAGAAATTTCAGAATTCTTAAAAATATAACCAACTCTCAAGCTCAATATCTTTTTTAATAAACATTTCAGAAAAAAAGTAGTGTATATCAAAGTTGTGTAGAATTTTATGGTCTACAATTTCTGATAACAATATTTTTTGGTAAAATGAACCTATAAAAAGATATGATTGAAAAACTAAAAAACCAACCAAATTTCTTTGGTTTTAAGGATGGTACGGGGGAAGCACAAGGGGTGGGAGGTCGAAAACTTAGATTCTTAATCACCAGATGACTGTCTATGACATGCAAAAGAAATTGGAACTACTTCTCATTTTGCAAGTTAAAACCCTCTATTCCCTGGACTATATTGGTAATTTCAGGTTCGAAGAAAATTGCCAAGGTGAAATACTGACATGGTACTCAACAAGTCTTGATATTCATCCATGCCCAACAACTCTGTGTAAATATCTATTCTGCTTGAAGAGATTTTGTGAAGGAGGTGTAAAGCTTGTGCAGGAGTCTTTTAGGCGCCACTGAATGTTTCTTCGCACATTCAACCCATTATGTCTTTTAGTCTTTTCCGTTTTCCTGAATCTCAACAGCACCGCTATCGAAGATAATATGATTTTCCAGCGGGTTGAAAAGGGGGTAACTGGAAGGCATCGGTTGAATGAATTTGCTAGGAGAGGTGTCTTATTAGTATGCGTCTGTTAATGTTGTCAAGTCCGTGAGACGAGCTTCATCTGTTTAACGGTGTAAACGATTAGCTCTCAAGGGGACCGGGAATGTCCTGATCCCAAATGTAACCCGCATCAGCTAAATAGAGGTCAGCTATGTGTTTGGGCGAGAATCGTCAATGGGGCGTGGATTTTCATCCTGGTGTAGCTAAGAGCTCCAGAACTGGTTTCCATTTTGTAACAGGACGGAAGTGGTCATATGTGCTGTACCTGAAATGGAGGGGGTGGTAATATGGCTATTAGATATTCCATTGCGATTTTCCAGCTGGTGCAGACGATGTTGTCAACTATTCATTTTCAATATGGTAAAGTGGGCGGTGAAATATAGCGATGAGTGAAGGGCAAGGAGTATTGTTTCAGTGTTTGTATTGTGCTGTTTCATAGGCAGTAGCAATGAGTAAGGTTAGTAGTGTTAGATGATGGATTTTGAGAACTGTCTTTATTTTGGAAGAGTAGAGGGGATTCTATAGGTACGCATCCGGTCAACGCTTCAAGTGTAAATATCGCGCGGCGGAAGAGAGCAGCACTTACAAATGATACATATATTTAAACTATGAAGCACATTAATTGTGGCACAGACATCCAGAGGTGGGTGCGGAAGCCGGAAAAGTATATTTTAGGCGATAAAACGGTCGATTTATTCTTTGTCTTTTTCGCCACCCTTTCATAACTACACAACTTTTTCATTCCTTTTGTCTCGACACTTGTGTTCTTTACATATAATTCACTGCAAAATCAGCCCTCTAAATTTTGACACCCTATAGAATTCGTAGGACAAAAACGGCCCCGGGAATATTACCCCCGGTCAAAAATCCCTCCCGCACATGAACCCCTGGGTGACAATAAAATAACCCCTGGACAGTGGACAGTATAACCCCCCGCCTCTGAACAACTTATAGTATACCTAGTATCACAGATTTGTAGGTATATTTAAATCTGTGCTAGTATGCACTCCAGGAAAATTAAGGAAAATAACCTGGTGTCCAACAATGCCGAGTGTCACTGTCACGCTTCCTTAAGAATTTGGGTATGAGTTGTTTAAGAAAAGTATCCACATGGGAGTGGTGAATGATCCAACTGTAGAAAATGCTACAGGGGGTTGTCTCCCAGGGGATTTTGGTCGGGGGTTATTGTCCTGTACCTGCCTAAACTGCGTTAATCTTTAAATCTTCACAACGAAATTTCGAAAAAATCTAAATTCAAACTTAGAGCTACCGTTACAAAAACTAAAATGACAATTCATAAGATAATTTTTATTCCAATACTAACATATTGTAACGTAAATTGAATTACGAAATTTATTTACTTATATAAAATTATTTTACTTATTTTTTATTTATTTATTATCCCTCTCTCGTTCTAGGCCCTTAACAGGCTTGCGCCCAATTACAAAGTGACCCGCATATAATGCTTTTTAGAGGTGCCTCTGCAGAAGATCTTAAGTTGTTCTATACTACTCCGGTATTTACCTTACGAATTAGGAAAACTGCAGGAAAACCTAATTCGGAGTAGCCGGCAGAATGCCCGAAACTGGTCTAAGGTAATTCCCATCTCTGCCACAGATGAAAAATTCACCTCAACCCGACCTCCGGATTTATAGCCCAGTGCTCTACCACTGAACCATAAAAACTAATCAACTTGTAAGCGTTGAGTGAAGCATATGGTGTAAGTATTCACATGATAACACTTTACAACGAGCGCAGATTTCACTATTTGACACCGGCTTCGATGTTAAGATTAAGACAAAAGTACAAGTCAATTTGGCTGTATAGCACATAATAAACCTTCGCGAAAAATCTGGAAGGTATATATCATTTCACAAAAACAATGCTTTCATTCCTTAGCGCTGGTGACTAACCTTTTATCGACTTGATGATCTCCTCCAGAATACTCTAGAAGCATCCCTACAATATAGAGACGAAAGTCGAATATTACAAACGCAACAGAGAGCAAGTGACATGAAATACTCACAATGACGGGAGGGAATCAATAGAATCCACAGGATACGAAATGACACTGTAAGGGAAGAGCTAGGAGTAGTAGGCACAACGGAATTAAACGGACCAGTAAAACAAGCAAAGATACAAAGAGCAAAAGAAGACCAGGAAAAAATGAAGTAAGGACACAATTATTGGAGACGGAAGGAGTTTCATGGACAGAAGCAAGAAAGATACGGAAGTACCCATTATATTGTGTCCTATATTCACCCGCTTCGTTGAATTTCTTACGGGAATATACAATGTTACGGGTTACATGCACTCAAGGTTTTGTGTCGCAGGCAGCCGCTCGTGCCGACTGTACCTTAATCCGGCACTGGGTGGATGTTGGGCTTTAGCCCGCGTTTCTTTTAAAATATAGCAATATTAAACCCGAAACAATTATGAAAGGGTTGTTTTTTCTTATAATTTACGATATCCCAACTGTAGACAGTATAATTAAAGGCATTAATGTTGGACAGATAGGCGAGGGTCTGTAGCAAATGCATGAAATTTGGTTTATTTATACATATAAATAAATGACTTTTCTTCATAAATAATAGCGTTTAAAAAGGTTACAAGCTGTAATAAACTTCCCGATGCCTATTGAGCGCCGAACTCGCTCGCTGAAGCTGAACTGTGCTGTGTTCGGTTTTCGGTTCCCCCACACCCCAAAAATTCAGTAATGGCGACCATCTAAGACGGTGGGTGGTCGGCTGTATTCTAAATTTTAATTGTGCTTTCGTTGCTTGTTATTCGTATATTAAAAACAATCATCTTCCGCGAAAGTGAATTTAGCAATTAACGAAGTGATGGATGTATACAAACCCTTATTGGGAGAGTAATGCCCTTATGGGTGTATGTCATTGGTGATACGCTTGTAACTTGTTATTTTTTTCAACTTCATTAATAACTAGAAATGATGACCGTGTACCGCGGAATGGGAAAATGTTTAATATAAAGGTACGTCTAAATTGATAAGTGTAAAGCTGTTGTGGGTTTATTCTGTCATACTTGCCCTTTAATTTATCTACCTGTCTAGGTACCTACATAAATTCTGCCAGCTAACTGGAATGCATGTTGTAAAGTAACCGATATTTTTCAGGAGTTTATCATCATACGCTTGTTTATTCAGGCAGATCTTAATTCATAACAAGTATGCTTACCATGGCACGGAAGACGGAAACCGTACGTGCCATTAACATATCCATTGTTGGCCTGTCTGGAATGGAAAAGGATAAGGGACACGCGGGGGTCGGTAAATCGTGCCTGTGTAACCGTTTTATGAGATCTTTAGCCGATGACTATAACGTCGATCATATTTCGGTGTTAAGTCAGGTAAGTCGTTAGTCGCGTTGTCGTAACGTAATTGACCAATTTTCAGACGGACTTTAGTGGACGTGTTGTTAATAATGATCATTTTTTGTACTGGGGCGAAGTTATTAAGACGTCCGAAGAAGGGGTGGATTATCAATTTAGTGTTATCGAACAGACTGAATTTATAGATGACGCATCTTTTCAACCGTTTAAAGGTAAGTTATGTGTAACGTTGGGCCCATTTTACCATACATTGTTATGTCTCGTTCACATTTTTACAATATGCATTAGATCTCTGCCTCATATTTGTGATTCTACTGTGTCATTTTATTTTAATTTTATTTTGCCTTTATTTTTGACACAGCATGACTATACGTAGAAAACAATTCGCGTCAATCAAAAAGTGGGCATGTTGCATGCTTGGGCAACCTGTTAATCATTAGGATTCATGTGTCGCTCTAATACAATTGTAAGTGTTTTGTGTGCCCAATCTGAAGGGAATGTACAGGGTGAGTCAATGATTGTGAGAGTATCACCCTTGGTGCTATAACAATAACTATGTATGCTATATACATCGTATATAGGCTGTTTCACGCAAACCTTTACCTAAAAATATTCCGACGTTCATTGATAATTTTAATCTGAAAATTCGCATACGAACATTGTTATTCGGGCTCTATCAAAAGAAAACATTATCACTCCGGTTTTAGCTGGTGTGGATATCAACTTTCTTATTTTAAACAGAACACCCTGTATTTTATTGCATTTTAGAAATCTACATGAAAATCTACGTCATGTTCCAATATCAAGCATCCTTCTTTCTTAACAAAATACTGAAAGGATTAACCTCTGCTTACTTTGGCGATAACACGTGCTTATCTTGAAATTAATTAGCTTACGCAACCATTAGAGATATTGCTTACAGTAACAATAAACTTAAATCTTTTAATTTTACAATAAAATAAACAAAATTAACATAGCGATTATTCGAAAATTTACAACATTCTGATACAAAATAAAATTGACTTCGAATTTAAATAATAAAATCGGATTTGCGTTTAATCTAATTGCAATTAAATGTACAGGATGACTCAACATTACCGTAGGTGGTGAAACCAAATCAAACGTCTGCATGGCGTCGTTTACACAACAATGTAGGATAATGAGCGAGTAGATTGTATATGGAGAATGGGAGGCATTTTATTAATTCTTAACTTAACCTAATTAAATTGAAGATTGAATCGAAATTTATACAGAGCCCTCTTTTTTTCTAGGTGGAAAAATGGAGCCATATGTAAAAAGATGTGCAGCTACGAAAATCACATCTGCCGAAAAGTTAATGTACATTTGCAAAAATCAATTAGGTATAGAAAAGGAATACGAGCAGAAAGTTTTACCCGATGGGAAATTAAACATAGACGGTTTTATATGTGTTTTCGATGTAAGCATTGTGCCAAGTCGGTCTTTAGACAAGCAAGTAGATTTCGTAGCGGTCATATTAAATAATTTAGTTAAAACTAAGAAACCTATTGTTTTCGTCACGACGAAGAACGACGATGCGAACGAACTGTACGTTAAAGAAGCGGAGAAATTATTACAAAGGAAAGAGTATAAAGGTACCGTTCCCATCATTGAAACTTCGGCGCACGATAACGTTAACGTTGATCTCGCATTCATTTTGCTCGCTCAGATGATAGACCGTAGCAAAGTGAGAGCAAAAATTGTATCCTATTCGGAGGCCGCTAGAGCTCAAAAGGAAATGATGGACGCAGCTAGTGAAGCATTTTTAAGGCTGATAAGGTTACACGTTACTGACTGTAGAGCGCTTTGGTCACAAACTGTTAAAAAGCTTAACTCTCACAAAGAGTGGATCTATTTTGTTCAGCTGTTTGGTACGTACTTTCATTAAAATTTGCGACACTTTTGACACTTTTTTTACAGGATTGGATGGAACACAACGACTATTTAGAAGGCATATAAAAAAGTTAAAAGACGAACAGTTAAACAAACGGATCGCTCACTATATGGAAATGTTACCAGATATATTACACGAACTAGTCCCAGATATAAGTACGCTTACAGAAAGGTAGGCTCCCACCGCTCGCTTTTAATACAAATAGTTATTTATATAATTTTAGTGATTGGCCATCAATTCAACAGTACCTGAAGACACACCCAGATTTTTCTCAGTATTTCTACGAATGCCCAGAAGACATGTCGTGGACCGAATGCGAACTAGGATCCGATGTTGACGACACGCGAATTCCTTATGATGTATTGGATACTAGCGACGCGGAGACGGTTTATAAAAATCACGTCAATGTTCTTCAGCAAGAGCAAAAAAGATTAGAGTGAGTATAATCGAATGTAGAGATTATTGTTTCTGCCTGTATTTTGAGTGGGCAAGTTTTTGTCCACTACTTCATTGACATCTTACAAAACTTGCATGCCTACTGCCTACTACAAGTGACAGTTTTTTAATGCACGAATTGAATTTCGCACTCTAGTTCACACCATAAAGCAAGGGTTTGCCTTCTAATTAGAAAGTGCATCAACGCGTCCGTCTACGTTTATAGGGACAAAGATTATAAATCCTGCTTTGTGTAGTTTAATCGTAGATTTGGTTTTTACAAGCAAGGAAGTTGCAGGTCAGAATCTGGGTTTAGGCATTGAATAAGCATCTTAAAGAAATATAACGCCCGTGTTAACTGATGAAATAAGAAAATCTGCCCAGGATTCTGTCGTCCCTCTGTTGTGGGGGAAAGTGAACCACAAATTTTAAGCTAGTTACCGACTTTGCAGATTTCTTTACTTCTTTAAAATTCCGACGTTGCCAGATTTTTTGGCAAGCGCTTTGAGTTTGAATAAACTAGATTAAAATATTGAATAAGCTTTTATTCAATGCCAATAACAACATTATGTAAGGGAGGATCAATCTGAAATGTAAGATCATAAGGAACAATAAATAAAGTAAAAAATGTAGTTTAATCTAATAAGAAAACAAGAAGAAGAAAAAGGACCATTATCTTTACATAATAAACAATCAAACTTTACCTAGCCCCATATAAGGATCTGGCAATTTTAGGCACATTAATGATCTCAGTAATTAATTTCAGATTTAATGTTAGAATGCGGACTTTCATTATAAGTAATTACTAATTAGGTAGGGTGGTACCATTGAATAAGCACCTTAAAGAAGTATAACCATCGAATCAGCACCTTATATTCAATGGTCGAGGCTATATAACATTTTTTTACAAAAAAAATTAGTTACTGGTTCAAACCGGGTTTTTCATGCAGGTGAAATGATTAGAAATTAGGGAAAACTAATTAAAACAGCTGAATTTTTCCGCGGATGAAATCCCGGGGGTTGAAAGGGGTGGAAAGTGGTGTTTTGCAATTTGTGGCAAAACTACTAATTTTAGGCTAAAATGTTCAATATAAAAGTTATAGAGAATAAAAAAATCAACGACTTTTGTATCTACACTATTTTCACATAACCTCCAATTTTCCTAAAAATAAACAGAAAAGCTGTTTTTTTAGTTTTTTATTATTTTTGCGAAAAAAAGTCATAGGGGTTTGAAATTTGGAGAAAACATATCTTGTTTTATGATAAAAAAGGAGACAATTTAGGGCCTGTAAAGTTGATCAGTTTCCGAGATTTCACGATTTCTGAAAAAAACCACCTCTTTTTCAAGGGGATGAAAAATCTATAATTACATTCGCTTCAATAAAACGGACTAGGTACCGAAATACTCGGTGCAAAAACATAAAATAAAATAAAGCTACTTTTCGATATAACAAAGAAAAATATGACAACACTGTTCAACTCTGATAAACAAGGAAAACAAAGGGCCCCTAAGTATAACTGGTTTCCCTGTTTAAAATAGTCATTATTTACCGCCCGAGGCTAAATATCCTTCAATATTTGTGGTAATTAACCACTTTGCAGTGTATGCAACACACCTTACAACAATTTCAGTTTTTCCTATGTAGTTATACTTCTTTAAGGTGCTTATTCAATGGTTTAGGTATGGATATTCTCTAAATCTGTATGGGTGGATCTTAGGCTGGTACAGCAGTCTGAGAATAAGATGCAGGGAGAGAGCCACCTAAAACTGTTGAAAAAAAATTAATAAAATTATTTTTATGGTTATTGATTTCTAATATATCATTTTGTAACCCTCTGTAGATGTTTAAAAAATAGACGTCGTAAAACAGCTATATTGGATGATACCCAAAAAAGTATAAATATTATAAAAGGTAAAAATGAATTCTTATGTGCACCTTTCCATTACATATTCAATTAAAGTACAACTATAGCGCGTTCGCACCTCCAGATGCTGTATGGGGTCTTATGGACTAATTGCCTCTCTTACTAGTTTGCGTCATTCTTCTATAATACTATCCTTGTTTCTAACCGCATTGATGTCAAATTGACATATGTTTAAATTGAAGTATTAAAACAAAACATAATCTCCTTGTCATTGTCACGTTTGGCAAGCATGTACTGTATGTCCATAAGCACCATACTGCATCTGGAGGTACGAACGCGCCATAGTGTAAAACCAGACATAATGCTAATATGTGTTTAGTATGGACAGAAAACTTAATAACTAATTAAGGTTTAAACATGGCATTCATAAAGTCGTCTGGAGCTGCAAGGGGTCTGTTGTAAAAAGGAGCGAACGAGGACGAATATTCGGTCCAGGTCAACAGAGTCATATCCACTCCCGCTTCTCTAAGTGTTGCCTTTACCCGCTTTAGCAATTTTTCGCTTGCCTATGTGGTTTTTTATAGGTCAAAAACAAGTTGTCACATCCCTTGGGTCTTATAGGGTCAGTCAGGGTTAAGTAATACCTAATTAAGCTTGATACACACAGTCTTGGATTTTCCTCAAATAAGGGCAAATTCAAACGTCTAGGTCGGGTGGTTTTTATTTGGTATGGAATTAGGATTTTACGCCCGAATCTAGGAGCTTGATATTGCTCAACGAGATGGTCTGAATTCTTAGGCCTGTGTCATCAGGGATACTTCCCAAAAACTTGAGCATCTGTTGGGGGTCCCATGTAGCGTCATATCTTTGCGGTCTAATTCTAGAGATCCCCTTCAAAAACCTTTTGAAGTTAGGATCTGAACCTATAACTGAAGTGATTAAGGTTAAAGCTGCTCTGTGGGAGTTGAAGGATCCGTATCTGTTTCCTGCGGTTTCCAGCAGGTTTTGTAAGAATGGTATTATTTTTATTACTTTTGCTTCGTATGGAGAAAACTTTTGTCCCTCGCATAATTCTCACCAAAGTTTTAGAACACTAATCTGTTTAACTGTGGGATCAGCTAAAGAACTAGACATTGTGTCTAAAGCATTGTCCGGTAGTCCTTTTTGTTGGAAGGCCTCTTTGATAACTTTGTAACTACTAGGGTAAGGTGTGCTGATAAGGGGGGGTGCTGTCCGTTGAAAGGGCAGAGCAAAAGATTACGCCTAGGTCCTAAAAAGAGAGGTAACCTACAGTCAATTTCACAAGAAGTGGGTACAAGGGCTGAGCTTGCCAAAAAGGGGGCTACGAGAATCCCCTTGTCCTTTTGCAGTACTCTAAGTACTAGAGAAAAAGGAGGGAAGGCATAAAAGAAATGCGACAACCAATTTAAAGTAAAGGCATCTACTGCCTCTGGCCCCAGGTGCCGAAACCAAGAAACACATTTACTACACTGTAGGTTACTGAAGCAAACAGATCACTTTCTGGTACTCCAAAGACTGGAAATTATCTTAGACCAGTTTCGAGCATTCTGCCGGCTACTCCGAATTAGGTTTTCCTGCAGTTTTCCTAATTCGTAAGGTAAATACCGGAGTAGTATAGAACAACTTAAGACCTTCTGCAGAGGCACTTCTAAAAAAGCATTATGCGGGTCACTCTGTAATTGGGCGCAAGCCTGTTGAGGGCCCAGAACAAGAGAGGGATAATAAATAAATAAATAAATAAATCAGTGTAAATTATTAGTTCAAAAGGAACACTCTTCCTTAGATCTAAGTCCTCGTGTGAGATCGAAGGGACTTCAGCGCATTTTTGTGTGCCAGATCAGTATTCTATTAGCCACTTTCGACTCAACCATCAATCACAGATCTTGTCGAAGGCTACTACATTCACTAACCGCTTCCCACTTTCCGCGTGCACCCGCAATTCGCTTTTAAAGTTAAAATCGTGTCGGAGGCTACCACATTCCCTTTGACGGTAGCCACTTCCGACGTCCCGTTCACCCACCCGCAATTCGCTTCTATTGGCGACACGAGAAAGAGAGACAGCGATTCGAGATTTACGAAACGTTAAACCGCGTGATTTCGCAACGGAAGGTAAAAGGCGCCCGAAGTTGACTACTTCTCGAAGATGCGCGCGCGCCTCGCAAAAGGTCGTTAATTTCGCCCCTAGGACAATAAACAAAATTCCGCCACGCAGGAGTTGTGCGCGTTTACAACATCTTTCCGACGACACCAATTTGAAAAGAATCGGACCAAAACTGTAGTAGAAGATAGGAAAAAACTGAAAAACCTTCACGTTAGTATACTACGAGGATGACGCCCAGATGTCGCCAACCCCACATCATGTAGCCATGTCCCTAAGGTTGACAAATTTCACGGCCCCTTGCCTTTCTACAAGAGTTCTTCTACGCGCCCACATTTGCAGCCAGCCAGCCAACCAGCCAGCCAGCCAAAGTGAGATTAAAAGCTACCTTTTACAAATAAATTTGCAAAAATGCGCTAACAAGTATAAATTGTGGATAACTCTTGTGCAGATAAAGCGCATTTTTTTGTAATCGAAATAGCTTTTGTCTTGACATTACCAATGGATATATTTCTTGCAGACGTCTCAATCGCCCTTTGTGAGTACCCTCTTCCTATCTTACTATCTCTCTGTTGTTTGTGATGAGCTGGCTCTTTTTTGTCCAATCTGCTCCCGTGTATGGTTTTGTCTGGCCCCCTTGACGGACCGGGCGTTGCGAGTTTAAATTCTTGACCTGAAGGGGGGCCCATTGCTGGTTACTCCCTCCCCTCCACCATTTCGATGATTTATTGTGAGTGGCAGGCAAATTAGTAGGTCTAACCATTTTCAGGTCTTTGCTGACGATTTCTAAACTCGGCCAATTTTGTTTTTTCCTCGAGATCATCTCCCAAGAGAACAAACGATGGTGGACAATTTTCCACTTGTTCTTTGACCTTTTTGTTTAGGGAAGGGTAAATTAGATTCTTACTTGTCTCAGACTCACTGTGATATAAATTAAACCCCACACATGAATCCCCGGGAGGCAATAGTTCCCAGATAACCACTGGACAGTAATCCCTCGGACTCAATGAATAACCGTCGGACAATTATTGTATTTCAATAGGTAGTATAAAAGAACAATAAACTGTTTCAAAGCAATATAGACAAACATAGACGGACGGACAGAAAGGTCAAATGATCAAAATTTAATCAGTTAGTCCCTTGACCATTGTCTTCCCATTAATGAAAACAGAATTGGAGAATTCAAAACCCTTCGCGAGTTATCATGTACACAGATTGACGGACATAAAGTCCAATTCACGAATATCAATCAAAATGTAATAAGTTAGAGGCTTGACCATTGTCTACCTATTTACTGAAAAAAGAATGGAAAAATTCGATACCATGCGCGAGTTGATCATGTACACAGACGTACGCACGGACGGACAGAAAGTACAAAATCATGGACAAACTGAGTCCTTAACCTACCAATCACGGCCGAGGACGGTTCAATGGTCAGTTGACACCATTTTCTTTTACCCTTGAACACTCTTAACTTTGTATCCATATACGAACATAAACATTTCCAATGTTAAAATTTAAAAAAATACCCTAAACTTTCAAATAACGTAAGGTCCAACACTGCTGGGTGTCGCGCTCCTTGTGAATTCAGTAAGAATGTTGTATGAGTTTGCATTAGAAAAGGATCCTCATTGGAGTGTAAATTATCAACTGTAGAAAATACCATAGGGGGGTTATTTCTCCTGGGGTACCTGGAGAGGGGTTTTTTGCCCTTGGGGATTTTGGTCGGGGGTTATTGTACTGTACCGTACTTTTTCAACTTTCTTTCAATCGACACATGAGAGTAGCATCATCTCACTTTTATCATTCTTTGATTATTATTGTTTTTGTTATATTAAAACAGAATGTTATTAATACATTGTACTTTTTTTATTGCACTCAGGATGCCAAAGAGGTATGTAAAGATCATTTCGTCTATGTGCCAAAGGCAAATAATTGTGATGTGGAGACTAAACGCCACCTCTAGGACATGTCAGGATGTCAAAAATCTTGGGTCGTTACTAAAGGTGGTGACTTCGTTATGTGGCGTTTAGTTCCTCAAACATATCTTTTTTAACCAATGAAGTATTTCAGTACACAAAGAGAAATGTTATATTTTGCTTACCTTTTAGATTGAAAAAACAATTCAAGCAGCTTTTAGAAGATACAGGTTATGTGACGCCCGGTAAGCATCTGTCCGAAGTTAGGGTGTTGTTTATGGGCCGAGAATGTTTTGAGGCTTTATCCGAACACGAATGCCAACAGATTTATGATAGCCACCAGCGGGAACTTATAGAAAATGCCAAGCACAACTTTCAGGTAAGATTTTTCTAAGCTGCTATCTATATTAAAGCATTTCTTTTTGTAGGAGTTGCTGCTTGAGCACGCGGATCTGTTTTATCATTTTAAGAGTATTACGCCAACGGGTACAATTACGCAAGAAGATGTTAAGGAGATAACGGATGTATTACAAGATGACTTTAGGTATTTATGTAGCAAGGTTGTGCGATTTACTAAAAGGTGTCTTTTCTAGATATAAATTGTTAGATAGGTTGGACCAAGATAGAAAATTAATGCTTTTTCAACATTTAGGTTTTGTACATTGCCCCATAAGGGAGCATTGTCCTGCATTTCCAAATTGCATGGATGCTCTTATTACCCGAATACTTTCCTCTAAAGTACACAGGTAATAATATGGAGTTTACTGTTAATGTCTATCTATAAGAGCTATTTCAGACCTTCGTCGTGGAATCGCAGTACTCAATGGTTGTTTAATTCAGACAATAATCAGCTCAACATCGTGATTCTTGGTATAAATAATTTATCTGAGGATTTAGCGGCAAAGATTAGGGTAATCGTGAATCTCTTAGAAATCTTGTTTAACGTGTACATTTCAGGCACAATGCGACGATGATGAATACGAAATAGATTGCCATTATTATAGTTTGGATTATCGAATAATATCGGGTGATGTTAGTTTACCTCACAATTCGTTTAGGACTAGCGACTTTCTTCCGCATGGTGCTTTTTGTGTATATTCGAACGCAGAATCGTTTGAGTATATTCGTGAGAGTTTAGAGAAAACACTTCTGTCTAATTTGGAACAGGAGGACAAGTTGCCATTTCAAGGCTTGCCAATTGTATTAATGTTTTTACAAGATTCTTTTATCGACGAGAAGGAAGTACTGAAGTTACGTGAAGAGGGACAGAGCTTAGCTGATAGGTGAGTTACAACCTTTTTTCAGTGAAGAAATAACAACCGATTTCTATTTTACTGTGTTACACTATTTTTTCAATCCTTTTGGAGGCATTTTGATTTTTCTGAATGCTCCTGGGTGCCATCCTAGAAGCCATGAAATATACTACACTATTTCCACTTTTCTCTGTGACAATCAGATTAGAACTGATTTAGTAAAATCGTTAGAGCAGAAACCAAGGTTATGTTCCATACCAGAGTGACACATGCGGGAACGGGACATTAAGTATAGATGGTACGAAGTTCACCTGATTTTTATTTTATTGTATTTATTTATTATCCCTCTTGTTCTGGGCCCTCAACAGGCTTGTGCCCAATTACAGAGTGATCCGCATAATGCTTTTTAGAGGTGCCTCTGATCTGCTAGTTACATTATAAATACGTCGTCATATTGGAAATTGTATATGTGTATCTCTCAAATGGCAGTGATAATAAAGAAGCGTTTGTCTTAGTTTTATGCGGCTTGGATTTCTTCACATTCTTGGTTAGGGTACGAATAAATAAACTTACAAAACGCGTGATAAATCCAAGCTTAGAAGAAAACAAGAATAAAAAAATCGTCTCTTTGCATTTTTAGCTGATACATGCCTGAATTCCGTCCATCCATTGTAGACCTCAGTACTAGCATTGAATAACAAGTTAAAAAAGTAATCGTAAGTGATTTACAAAAAGCGCATTTCCACTTGCATTCATTTCCTATTTGTAAGATGCAACTTCTGTTAATATCGTAAAAATACGGCCACAAATATGAAAGATAGCGTTGCACATGGGCAATCCATTTTTGACGTGCTACTTCAATTTCAGTTTATGAGAAGAATTTCATTTTAATGCTTTTCTAAATAAGAAAGTTGGAAAGCGCATGCGCAAACCTACATTTTGAAACTAATGTTAGATTTTCCTTTGTTCCAAGCGCCTAAGTATCAAATTTCACTTAAATGCTTCCATAGATAAAAAAAGTTGGCACTGCGCATGCGCAAAATAAAATTTTGAAACTTGCGTTTGATTTTCCTTTATCCCAAGTGCCTATGTATCAAAGTTCGTTTAAATTCTTCCTTAAATAAAAAAGTTGGCACTGCGCATGTGCAAAACTAAATTTTGAAATTGACGGTTGATTTTCCTTTATTCCAAGTGCCTATGTATCAAATTTCATTCAAGTACTTTTATAAGTAAAAAAGTTTGCAATTCGGTTTATAAATGGTCGAGATGCGAAAAGGGCACTGTGAATTTTGAATCGATTCGATTCAACTTTGGGCATTGCGTATTATATGGCTAAAGCTATGCCCATATTGAATTTCATGCAATTCAGTTCATAACTAACGGAGATGTAAAACCGATCGAACATTTCTAAACAAAGTTATCGTTCACACGGACAGATAGATGGACAGACAGACAAAGGAATAGACGGACAGACCAACAGGCAGACGACAGATAGCAATGCAAAATTATAAACGATCTCTAGGATCGTTAATAAACGGCAAAAGTGTAAAATTATGGAACATGTAAAAAAGCGGTAAGCGGTACAGAAAAAATTCCTTCCTTGGTACAAGACTCGACACCATAACGAACCAAATAGCGAAAAAAGTAGAACAATAGTTCTTAATATAAAGAACTAGTAGTGTCGCAAAACGAGCGGACGGACGGACGGATAAAGTGGCCACAATAACGCATTTTTTTTTATTTTTGTGGAAATGCGCTAAAAAGTAATCGTAAACGATTTACAAAAAGCGCATTTCCAATTGCATTCATTTTCCATTTGTAAGATGCAACTTCTGTTAAAATCGTAAAATACCCGCCACAAATATTAAAGAAAGTGTTGCATATGTGCAATCCATTTTTAACGTGCTACTTCAATTTCCGTTTATAAGAAGAATTTCATTTCAATGCTTTCTTAAATAAGAAAGTTGGCACTGCGCACGCGCAAAACCAAATTTTGAAACTGGCATTAGATTTTCCTTTATTTTAAGCGTCTATGTATCAATTTAAATGCTTCCATAGATAAAAAAAAGTTGGCACTGCGCATGCACAAAACCAAATTTTGAAACTGGCGTTAGATTTTCCTTTATTCCAAGCGCTTATGTATCAAATTTCAATTAAACGCTTCCATAGATAAAAAAAGTTGGCACTGCGCATGCGCAAAATCAGATTTTGAAACTGGCGTTAGATTTTCCTTTATTTCAAGCGCCTATGTATCAAATTTCATTTAAATACAAAGTTTGCAATTCAGTTTATAAATGGTCGAGATGCGAAAAGGGCACTGTGAATTTTGAATCGATTCGACTCAACTTTTGCCGTTGCGTAATATATGGCTAAAGCTATGCCCATATTGAATTTCATGCAAAATTCAGTTCATAACTAATGCGCTAATAACACTATAAGAAGCATAACATTGTTGGAGGACAGCGCCACCTGTTCCCTGCTCGTCGCGTTCGTGAAGATCACTGAACTGTATGTGCGATAAATACCGCCACTAGCGTCTTGCGATATAAATGTACATTATAGAAGTCACTCTTTCGAAATTTCAAAGTACATACTCCCATTTTTCACGTACTTACAATCTGTTTATACCATTGATTTCCACTTTCTGAACTCTGAAATTTGAAAAACGATTTACTTCAAAATCTAACTTTTCCGCACAGTAGTAGACCCAGCACCTTTCTTTTGGTGTATTTACTTCTCATGCATTGCTTCGCCTTTTATTAATCGAAGTCTCTCATCAATGTACCAATTTTTGACAAAGATGTTCAATTTGCTTTTATAAGCAGCTAAGAAATTTACTTTTGCGCATGCGTAACCGCAGCTGTTGGCATGTTTAATATGTTTAATGCTAAAATTAAAATGAGCAAAGAAAGGTTTTCTTTGCTACTGTTAAAATTATACAATGGAGCACTTAATCAAAAATGTTTAATACTGTAATAACCCAAGTCCAGCCGAGTAACGACTGTGCAACTCAAACTCAAAATTCCCGCCAAAACTAACTGAAACTCGAGGCACGTGATCATCAAGTAACAATTCTCTCTAGTGGCAGGATCACGTTTTGTTGGGAAACGAGTTGCTCATGTACGCGAGATAGCCCTAGGGTCTTCATTGATTACAAGGAAGGGAAAAGAGCTATTGAAAACCTTCCAGGATATGTACTCACTTACTGTCATTTCTTTTCCGATTTGCATCTAACAATTTGACATTATAATGGCTTTCAACTTGGCTTCCTGCCTTGCACAATAACATCGGAGAATTCCATTTCCCTCGTAATTATAATTTTATACCGATATTGAAAATATTGTGCCACCATCTTTGACGGCAATGAATGATTTATTTATTACTACTGTAATACTTTTGCAGTTTGCAATGTCCTTACATGGATGTATGTGTGGATCAAATAAGTACCGAACAATTAGTCATGGATGCCTTACATCAATTGGTCCAAAGTATACATCACCGCGCTGGATTTTTGAATATTTACCAATCTGTTATTGAATGTGTAGAACCTGATATTAGGTAGGTGTGTTTTGAGACTTCCAATTAAAAGCTGATCTTGAATCTTTTTAGAATAATAATGTGCATGTTTTGTGGTGATCCGTATTCAGTAGAAAACGTGTTATCCCCATTATTGTCTCACCAGTGCTGCTTTCTGTCTGGTGAACGTAGTATTATTTTAGAAACATTCTTAGGTGATTCCAAACGTAAAGTAGAAGTTATTATATCGTCATTCCATGGAGCTAATGCATTCCGAGATGAACTTGTGCACGGATTTATTTTGGTATATTCCACAAAAAGGAAGGCGTCGTTAACAACGTTAAAGTAAGTTCGTCCAAGCCAGTGTGACTTAGTCAACGGTAATTTTTTAGCGCTTTTTCATTGAACATTCCAAATTTACCAATACAAATATTAGCCGTAACGGATTCGGGAGGAGCCAACGCTTTCTTCAGTAATGACCTCAGCCACCACTTGATTACTGACGGTAATGCGACTGCTGATAGACTTCACGCCCATTTTATGACGACCAATTCATCTTGTCAGCAAAAAAGTAGTTTACTTGTTCATCGCGACCAGTGCCTTATTGATTATTTCTAGCCGCATTTTATACTCCATTCTTTAAAGAAGTGTGGGAAAAGAAGCCCGAAATCGAGCAAGCTTTTCATATGGAAGAACCATCGGGGCTTGACGACAGCGGTGAGGGAACGTTGGAACATCCAAGGTCGCAGAGGCACGGGCATCCCCTTCCACCTCCGCGTCATGAAAGCTATCATTTGAAGATTAATGACGGGTGAGTTTTAAGAACAGGTCTCTATATAACCTTGTAGAATCTTTGTTGTCAATAACAAGTGCGATTAGGCACTGTTTTGGCGATTTGGGAGCTTCACTCAATCAGTCACATTTTTGAACCATGAAATTGTAACGAAAGTCAATCAATATGAAAACTGAATACCGCGACGACGGTAACCCTGCTTTTGATGCTTTCAACATGGCGGCTTGATCTGCGCCGTGTGATGCGCGTACTTATAACGCAGATAAGGGATAATTTTCTGCTTGTATCTGTTTTCAGTTTTTTGCTGCTTCTTAAAAACAATACACTCTAGTTTTTGTAGATAGAAAGGGTTTCACCACAGAATCTTGCCCACGTAGTACAAAGTTTGGCATTAATTTTAGTCAATTTACGGTTCAATAATCTCAAATCAAGTGGCATGGATACCCATAATATTTAACCTTAAAATCAATGATGCTGTAAAATGAATATTATTATTATCTTTTTCAGTAGTGGGAGTGAAAATTATGAACATTTAGGTGAGCTTAATGGACCTGATGAACGTTTAAGTTTGAGTGATCACAGTGATAAGTATTCGCAAATTTACATGTACGGTAGTGAGAACGGTGAAATATTATCATCTAAGAAAAGACATATACATCACGGTAATCCATTTGTTTCCGTCTAGAGCAGGTTTAGTATCTTTTTTGTAGGTTTTCAAGTATACCCTCCTCCAACGACACCTCCGGAACCTGCGCCGCCCGATCATTCGCAATCTCGGCAGTGTAAACGAGGTCCCATTCTTTCCACCTCACAAACGAGCCTAGATGAAATTACATGTGAGTGTACATACAATGTATAAGAGCAAATTAGCGATATTCATGATTAATTTTATCATATATTCTTTTAATGTGCGTACAGCCGACATAAGTGGATCAAGGGAATCTCTTGCAACTCATGATTCAGGTGAATCTGTTGTTTTGTTGCTTGTGATGTCGATTTAATGTTAGATTTGGTACGTGGGGGTAACTACAGATTAATTTTATTTGACTTTGTGGTTTTTAGATGCCGACGGAGAACCTCCAATACCAATTACAACCACGTGGAATAATTATGGTCAGCACGCGTTCACTACCGGTCGCAGGCACATCACCACAACGAAGGGGAGACCGAAGGGTATTTCTCAAACATTAAAGGTATGATTATTTTTCATTTATTTGCTAGACTTTGATGTGGTTTACATTTTCCTGGGTCGTAATGAACTCTGTGTAAAATCATGTTAATTAAACTAGATAATGTTGTATTGAGAATCGGGGTTAAGGCGATTTTGACAGAGCCATCTGCACAGTTAAAATCTTTTTTTTAAGGATGTCAGTTTTATTCTCTTGGGATTAATTTTGCTACACTATAGTCTTAACTGAACCTTTTATTATTAAGGATCCTCAGGTCCTTTATAGTTTTGTATTGTCGTACGTCCGTCCGTCCGTGTGCGCTCTAACTCTTTAAAAGTGACCGATTGTGTTGAAATTTGGGGTACGGGTACTTTGGACATTAAGGACGGACGCTTTGGACATTAAGGACGGACGCTATTGTTTTTCATGACGCTGGTTCAACAGGCACATAAGTTATAGGACTTCAAGTGAATCGGGAACAGGAAAAACTGTGGGCTCAATATAATAGAAATCAACATATTTCATTCCCTAGGGCCTAGGTCATGTATCGAGTTTGGACTTTCGCTACATTATTCCCTATGACTCTTAGATGTGTAGCAATTCAATACAACTCTTCTCTGTGGTATAGGTCGAAAGTTTTAGAGCAAAATGAAGCCAAAATTATACTTTATACATGAATTTATTTTTTTTTATTTATTTGTTTAACCAGAAACCATACAGAATAAAAATTCCAATTACATGGCACTGGGGCTCTGAACAAACATTGTGACTTAAGATCTAATTTTATTTATTATTGAATTTAGGGGATCGTGAAAAAAGTCGATATCATTAACTGAGGACAACTTATTTAAAGTGATCAAGATCTTAATAAGTGGGGAAGTTGTGTTGTTAACTGCAAAAATAGTATTATTTTGCCTTAGCTTAACAAATGGTACCTTAAGCTTAATTTCTTGAAGTAATTCGGAAGAGTATAACAAATTGTGTAAAATTTTGAAGACAAAAATTGTGGAGGCAATGTACCGTCGGGTTTCTAACCTCGTTATATCTAAGCCGAAAGTACTATTTAAGTAATTAAGCTGGGTACCGTAAGAGATCAAATGTGGATAATTTTGGGTTGACCTAAAAAACATTACTCGGATGAACTTTTTCTGCACTTTTTCGATCATGTCTGAGTATTTGAGAGTTTGAGGAGACCAGGTACATGCAGCATACTCAAGCTTGGATCTAATAAACGCATTATATAAGGTTAGCATTGTCTGTATATTCGTGAAATTGAGTGTATTTCTGATACCGAAACCAAGAAGTTTGTAACACTCATTTGTTAGGTATTCAATGTGTAAGTTTTTAATTTATTTTTTATTTTATTGCCTTTATTTTATAGTGGGCGGAGTGTTAGCAATTTGCTACTCTTCCCACTCAACCCACTATACAATCACAAACAGCCATGCCTTACCTGGGATTCGAACCCAGGACCCTTGTAGCCAATGTTAGAGCTCCTAACGTAAGCTCATCTGAGCTACGCAGGTCGGCAGGTTGAAGTTAAGATTGGTATTGAAAAACACGCCCAGGTTCTTAACGGAGGTGACTCTTAGTAAGACCTTTCCATTCATCTTATAGTCAAAAAGTAAGGGATTTTTCGATCTAGTAAAAGTAAGGACTTTACACTTATTGATATTTAGTTTTAGTTTATTTTTGATACACCACTTAATTACTGAGTTAATGTCTTCTTGAATATTTAAACAGTCACTTGCGGATTGGACTTTATTAAAATGTTTTAGGTCGTCGCCAAATAGTAGTGCTTTCGAGTTTTTTATCACTCATTTATGTATAAGAGAAACAGAAAAACAGAATTTAGAGTTTTAAAAGGTTTCAAATGCATTATCTTGGTGCTGAAAGAGTACATCACGTGCACATTTGATAACCGCAGGTGTGTGATTCAAAGATGTTAAATTATTTTTCTGAGGCCACATGGATTTTGGTCAAAATAAATCAAAATCGTTATTTATGCACCAAGATCGTTGAGAAAAAGACCAAAAGCATTATCTCAATGATCAAAACATGAATTTAATCTATTTTTGGCGACCATATGGATTTTTATCAGCACATGTCAAAATCGTTATTTATGCACCAAGATCACTGGGAACAAGATTAAGAGCATTATCTCAATGCCCAAGACATGAATCTGATGTACCTATTTTGTAAGATTAAAATAAATTATCGTTAAAAGTGATTGTAATACTGAGGATACTTCGATATTTCGTTGTATCGGTTTATTCATATACAGTTCCTTTGTGACGAGAGGAACAATTCTGGAAAGATCCTCGGACATAAATATATTAAGATTTTGTATACAGGGTGTCCCAAGTGAGAAGTATGACGTTAATTTTTTTAGGTGGAACATCTTGTATATTTTATTTCTATGATATATTCTCAATATACGCTTAAAGTTGATTTGTTTTCTGAATAAGACATGATAAACTAATACGCCAGTCAGGCCTCGGGTGATTAATAAAAAGTGCAGTTGAGAACAGTTTATAAACTTTAAAAATGTCTTGAAGTTACAGGTTGAACGGTGTGTATAGATCTAACGAACCAAACGCGTAATGTAATTTTCATATGCTTTTGTCAGAACGAGCTCGAGCACATTTGTGGGTCGCAAATTGCTCTCCAACGCGTTTGCGTGTTTTTTTACCCCCTGCATGTTAGTAAAGGGTGGTGTTGCATTGAGCCCCCACTTTTGTGAAGGAAATACACGTTTTGAACCACCAGGAATTCAAATCAAACAAAATCTTGATGATGTCGGTCGCTCTCTGTCTGTACTTTCATTTTCTGCTAAACGGCAGAATCGATTGGAACCAAATTTGGTACACATAGCTATTTTTAGGCATAAAAGGTAGAGCTGGGTAGTAGAATCGGTATGTCAAAGTGTCAAAAAAAACTGTCAATTTTTGATGATTTTCCATATTATGGCTAAACTATTGTATCAAATTGAACCGAATTTGGTACATATGTTCTATACGCACTTTACTAAGAACTGAAATACATATATAGTCAAAATCGCGATTGCGCAAATCATTAAAAATAATACTTTTCTGATTTCATAAGTAATGGTCACTGTGCTTTTCTAATGCATAATAGCCCAGGTTTCTATTCTAGTACATTACGTAATAGTTTGTAACTGTAACGCGGTGTGGAATGTTATCTGCCATGTTTTACAAAAACACTAAATCAGTGGTTCCCAAACTTATTATTATGACGCATCCTTTCTTAAAACTAAAATTGCTCACCTCACCCCCCCCCCCCCCCCCCTCCCTGTCCTGATTAAAAAATAAAAGTTGCTCTTACTACAAACGTATTTATTACAAATTACACGGTGAGTTTTTTTCATTTTCACTATGGGGATAATTTTTTTAACGCATTCAGTGTATAACAGCAGCTTCGTGCAAGTTTACAAACATTATCAATATGAAAAAACCAGGTGAGATCATGGGTTATTGTTAGACCGAGCATTTTAATAGTTTCAGAGCACTTCAAAATATTGGATTCAATTTTTGTGGCACCAAAAGGGATCACGGCAGTTTTACTGGAATTAAGGATCAAATTATTATCATTGCACCACTTATTTATTTGATCTAGCGTGTGAGTAATTTTTTGTTTTAAATCTAGTGCACTGTTTGCCGTTATCAGGATGTTTGTATCGTCAGCGTAACATATAACAAAGATACTGTCCTCAACAGCACTCTCTTTAACAAAAGGTACGAGATCATTACTGTAAATGACAAATAAAGTAGGACCCCGTATGGATCCTTGCGGGACTCCTGACAAAATTGGCGTTGCTACACCGCGCTGCCCATTAGGTAATTCAACTAGCTGCGATCTGCCCCGTAAGTAGGATTCAAACAATTTTAGAATAGTTCCTCGAATACCGTAATGGGATAACTTACTAATCAATTTTTCATGGCAAACAGTGTCGAAAGCCGCAGAAAAATCAACAAAAACACTTACGTTGAAAGCCGACGATCGACAGCTGTTACAGCTCTGGCAACATACTCACATAGCGCTGTGTCAGTCGACCTGTTTTTTATAAAACCATGTTGAGAGTAATTAATGATCTTAAATGTTGTTAGATAACTAATTAATTGATTATTAATAACAATTTCGAAAACTTTAGGAAAGCTGGACAATAAGCTGATCGGCCTGTAGTTGCAGACGTCACTTGGATTTCCTTTTTTTAACAGTGGCCTTACGATCGCTATCTTTAGACGACTCGGAAAAATACCGGTGCTACAACTTAAATTGATAATGTGGCATAGAGGCTTAGATATTAAAACATTGACCGATTTTATTAAATTGTTACTAATTTCGTCGTATCCACAAGAAAACGAAGATTTCAATGACCGAATCGCAGATCGTACATCTTCATCAACAATCGGTGTTACAAACATTGAATTACTAAATGACGGTGAAAAAGGCATGTTTATATTATGAGTTGGTTGACTAGTGATGTTATAAAAACGTGAAAAATGAGTGGTGAACATATCAATGGCCTTAGGGTCAGATACAGTAGCTCCATCCTCGGTGATCTTTACATCTTTACTTTAATACGACCAGTTTCTGTGTTTATAATATTCCAGATTGTTTTAGTTTTATTAGTAGAGCTCTTTAATTTAGAATCGTAGAATAACTGTTTTGATGCAAGCAGTTGCTTTTGATAGTAAGCATGGTACTCTTTATAATTATTAGTGAGTTCGGGATATCTCTTAGATAAGATTTTTAAATCTATGACCTTTCGTTGCAATTCATAAAGCTTCGGAGTTATCCATGGGTGTAATTTACGTTTACTCTTAGAATTTACTAGAGTTAGAGGAAAATTAAGATTAAAGTAATACATAAAAGTATTTAAAAAATTATCAAGGGCCTGTTCAGGGTCATCACTGCAGAATACGTCTCTCCATTCTTCTCTTGAGAGGTCTGCACTAAATTGCTCTTTATTCGTTGGAGAAAACATCCTTTGTTTACGTTGGCTAAAACGATCCCCTATTGATTGACTTTGGATTGCGATCTTTAATAATTGACCATGGTGATCCGACAGGCAAAAGTCAATGTTATCTAAACTACATGCAATAGACTCCGAAATGAAAACGTTGTCTAGACAGGTTTTTGTTGTGGGCGTAACCCTCGTTGGTTCATGGAGTAATATTTTTAGACCAAAAGAGTATAAAAGGTCATTAAGCGCGGTCGTATTTACATTTACGGTATTTAGAAAATTAATATTAAAATCACCGCACAAGATAATTTTTGAAACAGACACTATTTCTTCTAAGATATTTTCCAGTAAATTAAGGAATATGGCAACATCTCCACCTGGTGGTCTATATGCAGCAACAACGACACAGTTTAGATTAATTAGCTTAACTGCACAAAACTCAAAATGACCCTCGCAGGGTTGTACGTTTAATTTGAATGCAGTAACGTGTACATCATTTTTGCTGTAAATTGCCGTCCCCCCATGCTTCATTGAAATACGGCAAAATTGCGAAACCAACGAGTAATCAGTAATGTTTATACACATTAATTTATCTTTAGGTTGCCAGTGCTCAGTAAATAACAACAAATCTAGTGAATGCTTAGCAGAGATTAGTAACGAGGCCAAGGCGTTGAGCACCTTGGATAGGCATTTGTCTAGAATTTGATAAGTCGGTCCTCCAACAAGTATGTCATCTAGTACGACTGCTACCTCTGGAATGGGCACAACTAAACCTTCAGCATTAGTATAGGGTAGGGTTGTCTCCATTTCCTGTTGAAAAATGGCTGTCACACTTTTTAAACCAAACTGCATCCTGTGGACCGAAAAAAGGCCCAGCGGCATATTAATATATCAGTCGACGGTAGTTAGAGCACTGTTCTTCAATTACTTTTCAAATATAGGGAAATGTGCCTGGATTATTATGGGGCTTCGAGCTCTATTGAATTTAAAGCACTTCTAAGAGCTTTAATTTTTCTAAATATAACAAAGTTGCCTTACCTATGTAATGGTTTTGTCTATCTGTTCCTTGTCTAATTCGAGAACGAAAAGAGACAGCGATGTAAATTCTTCGCCAATTGACTTCTACAAGTTCAAGGATTAGTGCTATTGAATATGAGCTGGATTAAAAGCCTTGTAGGTGGTCTGTCTGAGACGCATCCAATGGTACCACATACGACCTGATCGGATCACTAGTAACGGGGCAACGGAATGTTGGAACAGAGTACTCACAAAGGGAAAAGGGTGGACGAGACACATCCGATGGTAGGGTCAAAATTTCATATACGAATATATTGAGAACAGAGTGTTGAAAGTCGACTCACAAAGGGAAAGTGGTAGGTTTCCCTGAGACGCATCCAACTTACTTTTGAAAGCTAAAAATTTGATAACCACTTTTTTGCGAAAAACTGTTCATCTTGACGTTTGACTCCGTGTAACAACATACCATAAAAGGAAACTTCATGCAAAAACTCAGCTTTCCCCTATTTTTACATAATGCAATGCCTTTATTCTCCGTATTATTGGATTATGATTTTTAATGATGTGCAATCCCGATTTTGACTAAATTGATGTCAGTTCTTAGTAAAGTATCTATAGAACATATGTACCAAATTGGGTTCAACTCGATGTAACAGTTTAGTCATAATACAGGAAAACGTAAAAAATTGACAGTTTTTTGTCACTTTGACGGATTTGCGCGTGCGCCTTTCTATCTAAAAGCTTCAGCTCTTCCTTTTATGTCTAAGAATATGTGTACCAAATGTGGTTATGATCCGTTCAGCCGGAAAGGAGAGCATAGATAGACAGACTGACGGGCGGGTCGACATCATTTTTGTTAAAAAAGTAGGGAGTCATTTTTATCCAGTTGCAAATATGCACGGGTGTTTGAAAGCAATTCGCCTTAAATCAAACGAGCATTACATGACATGTTACATTACACGCTCCGTTCGTTAGATGTATACGCACCTTAACAAGAAAGTCTGTATGTTATTATCTCGCATGTTTCTTAGCCTACTACGTCACGTTTATAAAAGTGTTTCGGACAAAAAGTTTTAAAAATTGGTTTTGCGCATGCGTTTAAAAATTGAGTTTGGGCATGTGAATTAAATTAAATCTGTATTTTTCGTAAGAGTAAGCGTAACAGCCCGCCCTAAACACTCCAGTATCTTACTTGGCCCTGATCATTTGTTTTTTTTTCTGTAGCAACCAGGAAAACTGAACCTTAAGAACTTTTCCGTCGTCACCGAAGCTATAACTCGAATGAATATATGTAATAAAGATGGCTGCAACGCGAATTTCGGAAGTGCCCCATTGGCAACGCCGGAGATTGTCGATTTGGGATCGGAATACGCTCAAGTGAAAGACGTGGTTCATCCTTTTTCTCACGACGCCGAGTATACATATACCTTAGTTCAGGACGCGATTAGCGGGAAATCGAAATTACGACAAAGAAGAGAGAAAGGTCAGCCTTGTAAGTCTTCTTCATTTGCGCGATGGAGAAGTAATCTCTCTCTCTTTTTTAGCATATTCGGATACAGACAGTGAATGGAGCAGCTTGGAACGACGGCAGCGAGCCAGCGAAGTCTATTCAAAGGTTAATAGGAAACCGGCGACCCATAAAAGACTGCGTAAGAAAAGAATTGCCATACCTGTTCAACCACCTCGTGTTCCCCAGCTGGGTGGATATCCCCTACCTCCTGTCCATTCAGCCCCCACAACTGAACTAGATACTGATAAAGCAAATGGTAACTTGCCCCCTTTTAGAAAGCTTCTAATTCCTTACTTTTTTAGTTGGAAGTGGATCAAATTCGGAATCGTCAGAAGCTAGTGATGTAGAGCAGTATACTGGAACGGGGGACAGCCGCACTCGACTTTCGCAGAAGCGTTCTTTCAGCTTAAAAAAGCGGGGTGTTCCGGCCGTCGTACCGATACCTCCAGAAATACACAACACACACAATTTGCATCTTAACTCTCCTGACTTATTCTCAGCCAAACCTAACTCGTACGGGAACATTCACGATGACGAATCTAGTTTAGATGTTTCCTCTCCTCGTGATAATAATTCCCCGATGGTAAAACCGCAATCGCTAGAATACGTTTGTTTCAAATTTAGGTTACAGTTCGGTGTCTTACCAAAGCAGTTAAAGGATATAGAGCAAGACAAATTGACGAGGAAACGCGAAAAACAGAAGGCCAAAGACGATTCAAAGTTGGAGAAGCGCCGCCTGAAGGAGGAGAAATTGCGAAAGGTTGCCGATAAAGAAAAGGAAAGAGAGAAGAAGAAGCAACAGAAGTTGAAGCAGAAATCATCCAGCGGGGGACCGCCAAAAATTTCTGATTTCATCCAGGTAAGTTCATTTCTGCAGCTGCTCTCATTTACTTACAGTAGAAGTTCTCTTTGTGCATGACTGCTCTTGTCTAGTCTTTTATGGTGGTAACGCAGCACAATCGGTAACTTAACAATGTCAAGGTTATGGCTTTTTTCTATATTTTTTATTTTTATTTATTTTTTTATTTTGCGTGAGACGAGGCTGCCTATTAGTCGAGATAAAAAACCATTACCTTGACCTTTTTCATTAGAAGTGTTACCACCAATTACTAATTCTTTTCCTTACACTGTTATATGCGTTATAACAAAACTCTGCAATTTGAGAAGTTTTTTTTGCTTTGTTTGTCCACATTTATTGCGTTAAGTGAATCATAGTGCAGTGCTAGTGCAAGTGAAGTTCTGTGAATTAAAAAAAATCACATTCTAAGTTGAACGTAAGTACGCGGGGGCGCTCTTCGGTGAGAGGTGTAGTAATGAGAGCAATTTGCGGACACTTCCTTTAAGCGAAGAGATCTAAATGTGCTGTTACTATTACCACAGATGTAAAACTACAGTTAGCTCGTCCATGTTATAAGTTGGCTATGGGAATTTGGATTTAAGCATCTGGTGAGTTAAATCTGAACTGACATTGTTGGGATAGATCATAATTATTACAAACCCATAACCCACGTATGCTCTAGCTGTATGTGATGAAGGATGAGTTACGTAAGCTTTTGCAATATTAGTATGGTGAGCAATAGTATTGGTTTTTTTGTCCGTCCGTCCGTCCGCTCGTTCGTGGAGACGCTACTGGTTCTTTATCTTAAGAGCTATTGTTCTACTTTTTTCGCTATTTGGTTCGTTATGGTGTCGAGGCTTGCACCAAGGAAGGAATTTTTTCTGTGTTTAAAAAAAACCAAAAAACCTTTTTTTACATGTTCCATAATTTCACACTTTTCCCGTTTATTAACGATCCTCAGAGATCGTTTATAATTTTGTATTGCTATCTGTCGTCTGTATGTTGGTCTGTCCGTCTGTTCCTTTGTCTGTCTGTCCCTCTATTTGTCCGTGTGAACGATAACTTTGTTTAGAAATGTCCGATCGCTTTTACATCTCCTAATTGCATGAAATTCAATATGGGCATAGCTTCAGCCATATAATACGCAATGCCAAAAGTTAAGTCGAATTGATTCAAAATTCACAGTGCCCCAACCATTTATAAACCGAATTGCAAACTTTTTTATTTATAAAAGTATTTAAATAAAATTTGATACATAGCTGCTTGGAACAAAGGCAAATCTAACGTTAGTTTCAAAATTTGGTTTTGCGCATGCGCAGTGCCAACTTTTTTATCTATAGAAGCATTTAAGTGAAATTTGATACATAGGTGCTTGGAATAAAGGAAAATCTAACGCCAGTTTCAAAATTTGGTCCAGTAGGCGCTAGTTTTTTTTTATAAGCTCTTGTTTTTAGTAGCTTCACGTTCACATATGTGTAAAGTGTATGGTTAAATTCTAACACCTTGTAAATCGGTAAGAAGCTTTTGCGGACTTATGTTTATATTAACTTTTAGTTATACAATAAGCTAAAGAATTCGCTCATTCCGTATTTACATCATAGTTAGGAACACCCTGTATAAGTGTATACACACGTTAAAATTTAGTGGCCCTTGTGGCCTTTTCTACTGCCCTTATGGCCACCGTAAATTCAGTTCAGGCCATCGTCCATGAGGCATGCCTGGTCTATCACATATCAGGCATTTCTTATTGTTGGGGCTTTCATTTTTGAAGTTTAAGTACTTGTTTGTGACCATTTGTCCCTTTTTGGGTGGATTCCCGAACACATCGACCACTTGTTTATTTCTATTTTCATCCGTACTGGACATTTCCTGATCCCAACCCACAAGCAGAAGCAGTGTGACAGGCCTTTGTCCACTCTTGGAAGTCCTTATTTCTGTGACTTCTAGCTGTTCCTCACTTTCATCCCCTAATGATTCTTTAACCGCCGCCCGTACGTCTTCTTTGTTGGATATTACGTCTTATAAAATATACCACTCTATTCTCCTCCCTAACTCTACATTGGGCCCCACCCCGAGTTCACTTAGGAGTTTCTCTTGGAGGCACAATCTTTCATGTTATCTCTCTGGTTTAAGTGTTGATAAAGATCTTAGGCCGATTTCGCTTGCAAGCCAATAATTTATTCGAGGCTTACCGTGTAGTCTTGTATATGCTTCTAACAACCTCTTCATCATCGTTGCCCTCCAGGGCTACTATAAAGAGACCTCTTTCTTTTCATCGTTTTCTCCTTCGTCCAGTATCGCCACCGATTTTTTAAAAGTAGTGGTGCCATCTTCCAATATACCAGATTCTCTAAAGTTACAGGTATTTGTAGTTAAATTTAATTCATGTACCTTAAAAATGCAATGCGTCTGTGCAGAATGCGCAATTCTTTTTTTAACCACTATGTATTAACATGTAAACAAAAAGTCCCACTTTTTGACAGGATCAGCGATTTCAAGCCCAGATTGTCGGCATTGACACAGATCTGAGCACCATATTTTGCTAATAAATGACACATTTGAATATTATTCTCCACGAAAATTCGTGTGTGGCGACGCGACTCGATTTCCCAATGTCATGAGCTATATGTAGTATATTTACATCTGTGCTACCTGCGTTGCAGCTTTTTTTTTTATCAACGATCGTGCAAATAAATATACGTGCAGTGATATACGGGACAAACAGCAGTGTTGCTTGCATGCGAGTGCTATGCTTAATAATTTTCTCCCTTTATGGTATTTTTATTTGTTTCGGAACCGAGACTATAAAACAAATTTTCTGCTTTTTAAGTCTGAAAAGAACTTCATACCTCTATTTATGGAAAAATGTGTCAAATTCATCGAAGCGGAAGGTTTAGATTCGGAGGGTATATATAGAGTACCAGGTAATCGGGCGCACGTTGACCTCTTATTCCAAAAGTTCGAAGAAGGTGAGTATGATTCGACTGACGATACTTTCCAGACGGCCGCCTTTCAGATCCGAACGTGCAAATTAGCGAATTGGACATTCCGGTAAATGCGGTTGCGACGGCTTTAAAGGATTTCGTATCGAAACGGTTGCCTCCACTTTTTGAAGAAGATATTATCACCGAATTGGAAGAAATAGCAGGTAAAATTGAAATGATATTAAGGTATATAAATATTTTTGAGTGAAATTGAAGTTTTTGGGGCATTAGGCACTAGAATTAAACCGATGGCGACTACTACTGGAAATATGGAGGTGAAGGCGGACCGTAGTTGTCGACTTCTGGCATTACGTAGTATGTTAGATAAACTTTCGCCCGTCAATTTTGAAGTTCTGAAGTTTATTTTTCAACATTTTGACAGGTGCGTAGTATGTATTTTTAGTCAAATTTCTCACTACCAATATTACAATTTTTTGTTGATGTCAACAGAACAAAAATTGATGGTGAATATTAAGTGCTAATTTAATCCCATATTACTTTTTCTAAAAGTAGGTGAGAATACACAGTGTAACCTGTTTTGTGTGCCATTGGAGTGGTGACAACATATCGTCTTAGCAGAATAGAATACTTTTTGATGTAGCACTGAGATCATTTAAAGCAGTGGTTCCCAAACTACTTTCAATGGCGCCCCCTTTCTGAAAACTAAAATTGCTCACGCCAGATCCAAGTTCGTTAATACACGACATTGTTATTATTATGCACAGGAATAAAACGCCAACGTTCCGTTGTGTTGATATTAAAATCTTGCCCTAAGTAATTAAGCTTTTGTGGTGTGAGTAAATGCACCAATATTGTTTGTACCGAAAATTATTTATCGCACAAAGCACTACACTTCGTTTTGGTTCACTTCCACCATAAAATAAACTCCTTTCAAACAAATTTCAAATAACTCGCCAATCAACGACGGAACGCACCACCTTTCCAATATGAAACGCGCCATCCAACCTAAAATCTGTATCTCCTTATCAGCACCCACTTGCGATAATTAAATTTCGCCTGATAATTAAACTGCTTATCGCAAACACCCAGATGTGTCTTACTTCTAACCCCTGATCTAAATTGAATCAATTATCAAAAGCGATAAAATTTAAACAAGAATCACGCATGTAGAAAAACAACACTGAGATACAAATTCAAATGAAACGAACTAACTTTCTTTTAGTTCTGAATTCCATACTCTCAAATTGGGTTGAAATATTAATAACACAAGATGTTGTCTTCCCCAATCAAATTTATATTTCTGCTGTAGTTACAGATGTTGTTCACCTTGTCCTCAACATGTGACAATCGTTTTACTTTTGCTCTTCAGGGACTATGTGACATGCCTTAAGCGTCCATAGGTTGGCTTTATCCCGTGTTTTGCCTGTAATTATGTTTTATTTTAATTGACCACATGTAAACCACATGGACATGGTTTTCCCTACTGCGGGCGAACAAACATTGTCTTCAGCGCCCTAGCTTGGCACCAACGTCAACTTCGGCCGTTTAACCAGTGTTGTTAAAATCTTCAATGTTTAATTTTTAATTTCTGTCTAAATTGGAATTCATCTTGTGAACTCTAAATGGGGTTTATTAAATTTGGCAGAGGATTTTAATTTTTGCTTTGAAAATGGCCTGTTGTTAACCAGACCGAAACATACATCAGCAAATATAAATTTGATTGAGGAAGACAACATCTTGTGTTTTGTTTTTATTTTGTAAATAATCCCGAGATTTACTTAATAAATTGAAACACTTTCATATACAAGGTGTACATTATTTTTGACGTTTAGACTGAAATAAAGTCTACCTGACGTTGTTTACACAATAATATGTTGGTAATCAAAAATACACATGGGCATTGAGCAATCGAGTTTGGCATTTTTCTCAAGAAAATGGGTGAATAATAACCATTTTGACATCATTTTTGGGTACAAACATTTTGGTCACCAAAAATACACATGGATCATTTCATGGGCATTGAACAATTGAGTTTGGTCTGTCTTGCCGATGTTATATTCGGCCTGCGCGTTATTCGCCATGCTATAGCGCGCGGCCTGTATTTATGGCAGACCAAAGATAACATTTTACCATAACCGTATGAAGAAAGAGGGTGCTTGGAAGCAAATAAGTAGAATGATTCACCTTGGATAGAAGTGAGAGGTCAAGAAAAAAAGAGCACTATTTCTATTGTTGTTTTTTATTCAAAAAAATTAGGATCATGGCTGCAAATGCTGCACTCTGAGTTACAACCAACATACTTGTCTCGCGAAAACGGGCGGCTGTCAACCCGAAACGTTTCGCCTGAGTGCGAGACAGCGACTAGTGAAACATTCTTATTTTTTTACCAGCACTGTTGCAGGCCATGTATATAACCAAATACTATAATATTGAATCGAAAATTTTTAGTGGCCCTTTAAAAACTGGGAAATTTTTTATGTAACTTTTGGCTCTGCGTTGCCGACCCCTGCTCTATACTATACTTTACCTTTCAAGGTTGAATTTGAATGCGTCAGTTGATAATGTAACACACCAAACTGACCTATTTTTATTAATGATCTAGCAAGTTTATAATTTTGTGGTGTCTGTCCGTCTGCCCGTTTGCATGAAATCTCGATAACGAATGGACCGATTACAGTGAAATGTTGTAGGTGAATTCTTTATCAAATTTGTAGATCGAAGTTCATGAATTGGCAATGAGGGCGAAAAAATATGAACCGAATTGCATCAAATTCAATATGGGCACAGCTCTTGCCATATAATACGCGATTCCAAAAGTTGAGTCTAATCGATTCAACATTCACAATGTTTCTTAATTTATTCTTCTGTTCTGGCTCCTTTTGAGGTAGTCTGTTGCTGAGTTCCATCTAAAACTAGCGGAGCATGTTGTAGCTTCTAAAAGAAAAGATCTGTTAATTCTTATTGGGGCATTAATTAACATGTAATTATTCACCATGTGAATTTTTGTTCTGCTATTAATATTTGTAACATTGGATTTCATTTCTTAACTTGATCATAAACGTAGCACTCCTTTAAATTACAATTTTTCAGTACATTTGATATGGACTGTATCATTGAACTTTTTTTAAATAAGTGACTATAGCTTATTGTTTGTTTTGATTAATATGTTAATAATTGTTTGATATTTAGAATATCTGAAAACTCCAAGTTAAATAGTATGGACAGTAAGAATTTGGCGATCTGTTGGTGGCCAACTTTGTTACCGATTGAGTTCAGTGATATGGGTCGATTTGAACAAATGCGTCCATATTTGGAGGACATCGTGCAAACTATGATCGATCAATATCCGTTTCTGTTCTGTGGGAAGGAAGCGTTTGTTATGGTTTGAGCGAATGACTTGTCGAAACGCACAACTTATAGCCTCGATATGTAGCATTCCATGACTTAATAAAATTAATATAAATTTGGGGAGGCCTTCGATAATTATTTGTAAAAGTTTACAATAAGGTGTATAACCGCGAATTTGGTTGTAACCTACTTGCGTAATAAAAGTATCATAACAATTTTATTAAGTTTCGCTCTGAGGTGAATATTGTGACCTAAGTAATGACAGTATTTTTACATGGATTTTAGGATAGGATTACATCATTTGATACTAAAGTATGAAAGTGTTGTAAGAAGCTTTTTATAAAACAAATTTACGTTAAATGTTAATCTCTTTTATTTGTTACTGTTTTCTCTTACACTTATTAAAGGAATATTGTCAGATCCGTTCATAAACTGTCTCCCTCCCATTATCAACGATAAAAACGGTATTTACTACCAAGTCCATATAAACTATTGTTCTTTTATAATATTTAAAAGATTTTATGAAGATGTATTTATTTTTTTGCTGATTTGTACTAATTCCGATGATAATTCATGGTAGTAATAGAACCAGACGATAGCTATATGATTTACTAGTGTTAGATCTTTGCAATATTTAATTTGCAAAAATCGTCATAAGCAGTGTCTGGCACAAAGTCAATGTTTTATAGTAATAAGTCTGCTATTGTGATGCACAACTCATTGCTGTGTTAAGGGCTCTAGTCTGGCTGTCAATAGCCTACATCGCCCTACGAGTAAAACGATTTATTTCAATTAACATTTCAGAAGTGATATTTTTTAATTTAGTAATTTATTGAACATTGATATGTAAAACAGAACTATGTGTTGTTATACACTATAAATAAATTTGTGCAATTTTTTGAAAACCAAAATATTTATATCTACATTAGGAATTGATCTGTCATAATGGATCTGACTGCGAAGATTTCGGTCAGACTGAATATAATAGTTTGTAAGCATTTCTTGCTTGACGGCTTGTGGATCCTGGTCGTGTATATACAGTTGGATGTGCACCACGCTTTAATTATCGGGATCCATAAATTGTGAAAATGTTTTTGTAAGCTATAAATACAATACATGTAACATATGTGGATATACTAGTAAGTTCCCATATAATGTGACCCGAGTGTGGGTTAAATACTCTGTTTTTGTAATGACAAATTTGTATTAATCAACTGCCTAATAAATAATTGTACGCTAATAAAGTTTTCCCTCATGTGTGTGTATTCTCATCTTTACAGGATTTTTAAATGGTGTGCTGATCTATGTAGTATTTGTGAGACGTCAAACCTCCACTGCACCTTACGATTTTTCAGGTACTTTGTAAACCATAAACCATCGTTTCTCTATAAATATAAATGCTTGAACAGGACATTGGTTGCTTGATTTAAAATGTTTGACGCATAACTTGGTGATGGTAGCTTAGAATGAGGAAAGGTAGCGAATGATGAACTTAACCCAAGGGCAATTAGACACATACATAAAGAAAACTAAAATCTCAACCATTTTTGTGGACAAGCAGTGAATAATGTGCACTTTTCAGGTCTATTGCAGATGTGTAATTAATTTATTTACTGTTCAATAATTGACCCATTTTAACTGGAATCTGGCGAAACTAATAAGCTTGCTGTTAGAAGAATTCAAAGCATGCGCCAAATATTACTAAAATACGTAATGAGCAAGTTCCCTTGGTTTTTTCCTGGTATTATTATCTCATAACACATTTAGTACATCCTAAACTAATATCATTTTTAAGTAAGCTAACATTACCCAATCGACGCAGTAACCTTTCAGCCACCAAGGGGAATAAATACAGTATGTAACATAGTAGGAAAAACAGGTGGTGGTACTAGACCTACTTGCGTTTCTTTCTTAATTTCTTTTCCAGCAACCATAACACGTAGGAAGATTAGCGGCTTTATCTAGGTTTTTGAAAATGATTATTCAAAATTGCTATTCTTAAGATGGCGCACCCCAAACTGAAGGTACTAGATAATAATCTGATGAAAAAAATCTATATCCCTTAAAGAAGCCTCACGGTGATGCACATTCATCTTATAATATTATTGTACCATAAAGTGGGTACCTTTCAAAATATATATATTATTCGTACTGGAGTATAGTATAGGTACGAAATTTTTTACCTCTGTTTTGTGGTGTACAATCTTAAGTGGGAATTTTGGAAACATTCTGACAAAATTGGAAACTTCGAAACAAAAAATGGATTCCCAAATTATTTGGAAAATTTTTTTGTTTTGGTACTCTACAATATAGGAGCCTGTTGAAGTCATTAGTTTATTTATGAAAAGCGACACAGGTAAGTGGATTTGATTTTCCGTCTTTGTTCTGGCATTTAATACTTACATTTAATAGAATTTGATTATTTCCTATCGTGTTTGTAAACTTTATTTATTAGCATACCAATGAGTAAGTACCTAACTTTATCTAATTGTAATAAATGAAATGTTTTAACTATCAAGAGGATTGTCAATATCTTTAACATCAAATGAAAACCCCATGTGGTAATCTTCTATGTTTTTCCACAGACGGCTGCGATTCACTAGGATTGAGCATGCAAGATTATCAAACATTCCACTACATCAATAATCGAAAAGTGAGTACCTTTTACTGTCTATGTAGAGAATAAATGAATAGGTCTATATTGCTATGAGCTTTAGTGTAAAATTGCGTAGTTATAATAAATTTAAAAAAAATAATTGACAAAAATTGGACAAATTATTAATAAGACCAGATTTTACAGATCACCTACAAGTCTGGGAAATTGCTACACCGATGACCTTGCAAGGTAAGTACATTTATGTGGCTAAGTTGGTTAAAAATTGGTAGGTATTAATTGTATTTTGCAAAATTCTCGCTTGGTTATCTACCAATTTTTAGCTGTATCTAATTTTAAGGCATGTGTGATACTTTTGGGGGCACTACGTAACTCAAATGTTTTTATATCAAGAAGCAGAGACTTTAGTTAAAATATGCGAAGTTGGATACTTTTAGTGAGACAATTTATACTCGCTGTCGAGTAGTTGGGGTCAATTTATATTGCAAAAAATGTTATGCATCATCATTAAATTTTACTTGCAAAATAGAGATACGTTTAATATGTATGGGCTCCCTTTAATGAATATAAATTTACAGAACTGAAACCCCAAAAGATGTCAACTTAAGATTGATATACAATGGCCTTAAGATGCAAGGTGATTTGCATTTTGTATGGGTGTGCATGCATGAAATGTGTTCTCAAACATTCATCGAACTTCAAAATTTTTGTCTCTCGCCTTTGCATTGAACAATTCACAGTGAAAGTACAAAAAGATTTTATTGCATGTAACTCTACATTAATATGAGTAACAAACTGGTATGTCACTTGTTAACAGGTTCCGTTATAACGAAATTAGACAAATCACATTTCATAAGGTACGCATCCTCGTCGTCTTCGAAATATCCATAGTCAATTTCTTCAGGTTGAAAGTTTAATTTTTTATACAATCGTATAGCGGCAGAATTGCTAAGTCTAGTGTATAAAGTTACGCTCTTTGCCTTATGGTGACGGACCATGGAACTAAGGAAGCGATGACATAATTTTTTGCCATATCCCATGTTTCGAAATTGTTGGTCTACTGCTAAGGCTATTAGTTCACCTTCCCGTCTCCTTTTCATTCGCCCGATTATGTAGCCATGTATTTTTCTTTCCTCACTTTCAGCCACAAATACCAAATGGGGGAAATCCGTCATGTAGTACTTCATTTGTAACGCTGACGTAGTACGAAAAAAGTTTTTTGCATGACAGTTTAGCATATCATTAAGATCGCTAATATTTGCGCTACGAATTTTAAGCATTTCTTTCAACAAAGGGGATAATTAAGTCTTAAATCGTCTAAATTTGGGTAAACTAAAAGTTCTGAAATTTTGAAATGTAGTGGTACCTTGATTTTGATAATCAAAACTCCCTAATTGTTTTCCCGCTTAATTTGAATTTGAACACACTGAGTCAACTGAGTGAACAATTTAGCGTTATGTAGACACTTACAATGGATAATGAAATTTAGCATTGAAATTCTTAAACTCTTTATTAATACATGTAACTTAAACGGTATAACAAAATATGTACACTTTATCACTATTACATCAATTGGCAACTCCTTCAGTTATGACAAAGTTGGTTAAATTGTACTTCAGTACATAGGCATCGGTCTGGTCGGAAAAATACTCTGCTTCGACTCCTTCATTTTCAAAGTCTAAATTTTCGTAAAACTGTACTGCAAGCTCGTTGGTAAGTCTGATGTATACCGTTACCGTATTCGCTTTGTAAGTTTGGATCATGGCATTAAACAGGGAGTTGCACAATTTCTTACCGTACCCCTTCTCTCGGAATCGTTTATTAACTGCCAATGAGGTCAGTACTCCGTACTCCTGTTTCTTTTTAATTCTCATTTCGCCAAGTATGTAGCCGTGGATCTCTTTGGTCTTGCTTTCCAGTACAAATGCTAGGTGGGGGAACTCACCCATATGAGATTTAAGTTGTGTAGCAGACAAATACGGCTCAAAGTTTCGCTCATGGCACTTGATGATTTTGGGGATGTCACGGATCTCTGCAACGCGAATTTCTAACATTTTTCTCAGAATTGAGTTATTAAATCAGCAGAATTCAGAATTTCCGTTAAACTTTAAATGTTGCCATTTACCTGGTGATGTTGGCAGCCCTGCTTTTTAGTACCAAATTTTTCAAATTAAATTTCTAATCAGAAATGATTATGTACAGAGTGTTACATATAAGTATGTAAAAAAATGTTTAAAAACCCACTCGTGGGCGTTGCCGCGTAACACAACTGTAAATGATGAGTAACGGGAAATATAGACCATAGCAGTTATCAATTAGGGAAAACCAGAAGTCTCTAGGTGGTCCAGGGGCCGAGATCTCGATGGAAAGGCAGACAGACGACCTCAACTTTGTTGTGTTACGCTAAAAAGCTGGGTGGTAGGGAGATTCAAAACAATCATATTTTCCAAATAAAGCGAGGGTCCAACGTGTTTCGATTATGAGCCAGCTTCAAAATAGTGGTGAAATTTGGAAGTACAAAAAGAATTTATTGCATGTAACTACATTAATATGAGTAACAAACTGCTGTTTGTCACTTAACTGGTTCCGTTATAACGAAATTAGACAAATCACATTTCATAAGGTACGCATCCTCCTCGTCTTCAAAATATTCATAGTCAATTTCTTCAGGTTGAAAGTTTAATTTTTTATACAATCGTATAGCGGCAGAGTTGCTAAGTCTAGTGTATAAAGTTACCCCCTTGGCTTTATGGTGGCGGACCATGGAACTAAGGAAGTGATTGCACAATTTTTGGCCGTATCCCATGTTTCGAAATTGTTGGTCTACTGCTAAGGCTATTAGTTCACCTTCCCATCTCCTTTTCATTCTCCCGATTATGTAGCCATGTATTTTTCTTTCCTCACTTTCAGCTACAAATACCAAGTGAGGAAAATCCGTCATGTAGTACTTCATTTGTAACGCTGACGTAGTACGAAAAAAGTTTCTTGCGTGACAGTTTAGCATACCATTCAGATCGCTAATATTTGCGCTACGAATTTTAAGCATTTCTTTCAACAAAGGGAATAATTAAGTCTCAAAAACTTGTCTACTAAATACGGGTAAACTGAAAAGAAATTTTGAAATGTGGTAACCTTGATTTTGATAATCAAAACTCCCTAACTGTTTTCCCGCTTAATTTGAATTTTAACAACTACTTTTTGTTGCACACGGCCATAATTTCCACCCAAGTTTCTTTTTAATTCTCATTTCGGCAAGTATGTAGCCGTGGATCTCTTTGGTCTTGCTTCCTAGTACAAATCCTAGGTGGAACTCACCTATTCGAGATTTAAGTTGTGTAGCCGACAAATACGGCTCACAGTTTTGCTCATGGCACTTCAGGAGGATCTCTCAGAATTGAGTTATTAAATCAGGAGAACCAGAATTTCCGTTAAACTTCAAATGTCGCCATTTACCCAGTAAAGTTGGTAGCCCTGCTTTTTAGTATAAACCTTTTCAAAAAGTTTTTTTAAAGTAAATTTCTAAGCAGAAATGATTATATACAGAGTGTTACACACAAAAAAAATTCCACTCAAATTTTTGGCCAACCAAAATTGAGAGAATTCTACGAAATTTGTTGTGTACACACTTGACGAGCTAAGGAACAAAATTGTCTAATAGTTTTTTTAAATCATTGTGTTATGCATTATGAAGCCCATCATTTTATATGTAGACGAAATAGTGAAATATGAACAGAGAAGTTAAAAGTGCTATCAAAGGTCTTTGAACGTATCTTGTCATAATAAATTTGTTGAATTAAGAGAATATTGAGAAATAAAAGGGAATTTCTTGCGAGTATAACAGACATTTATTAACATTTAGGGATAGTTTATTAAGATGGCACCAATCGGCTAAACAATTTAACTCGAATTGAAGGACAAGGAAATGTGATAAACAGAAACAAAGAAACAATTTCACATCGTCAACGTACATCAAACACTATTTGCACTTATGTAAGTGGTGGAGAAGATTATTGATGTAGATCAGGAACAACAAAGGGCCTAAGATAGAGCCCTGAGGTATTCCTGAAGTGGGGATATATATGATTTGTAACCATTGTATGTAACATAGTTAAGTAAGTAGGTTTTAATTAGGTTCATAATTGCGTTACTAAAACGTAAAACTGATACTGTTAAGTTTGATAATGGGCATATTATGGTCTATTCGGTCGGACGCGTGGGATATAGGTCAGTATATTGTATGTACTTGGCCTTGTTTATCAATCACGTCTATAACGTACTGGGAAAAACAGGCCAAATTGGATATGATAGAGCGCTGTTCAGCAAAGCTTTGGTAACCGCAGATATAAGTAATGTTTGAAATGATTATACATGTTTCTATACAATATTATTTCAAAGATTTTGGGGAAGTTAGCAATAAATATAATTGGCCAATAATCGGATACAATTGAAGCATTGCCGACTTTGCGGATAGGAGCAACTCGAGAAATTTTCCATATATCCGGAAATTTCGGTGTTTTGATAATGAAATTGTATATTCAAATCAATGGATAAATTAATGCTTCTTTGCATTCTTTCATAAAAAATGAGGGTAGCTGATCGTGGCCTGCGGTAGGTTTGTTTTTAAGCTCTTCTAGCTAACTCAATATCATCAGGTGAAATAAATTTTATATCAAGGGAACCATAATAAGTAGGTGAATCGCATCCCACGCCATCACGAGTGCGAGAACAGTTCTCGTGAGTATTGTAAACGCTCATAAAGAATTGCTTAAAACCATAGACAATTTCTTACTGATGGGAAAACTTAGTGCCATCATTGTAGGCAGACGAGAAGTAGGTATCCTTTTTGATCAGAAGATGTTGCCAGAACTTCTTGAGGTACTCAGTATGTTCAACTGAACTAATAAAAGTAGAATAAGCTATCTTACTAAGTCATCTTAAGCTTTATTTCACATGGTCTTTATGATTAGGTACTTATGTGTAACACACTGTATATGTATATAATTCTATTTTTTCTTGCGATGAATTTAAATTTTCTGGTAAATAACCAACGTTAGATTTCGAAATTTAGTTATAAACTTTACATTTCTACTGCAAAGCATAGGCGGCAGATGGGTACCTCAGTAATAGAAAAAAATTGAAGTACTTATAAAATTGTTTTTATTATAATATGTAACTTAGACGGACTAACAAAATATGTACACTTTATGACTATTACATCAATTGCCAACTCCTTCAGTTACAACGAAGTTGGATAAATTGCGTTTCAGTACGTAGGCATCTTTCATGTCGGAAAAATACTCTGATTCAATTCCTTCATTTTCAAAGTTTAAATTTTTGTAAAACTGTAAAGCAAGCTCGTTGGTAATGCTGGTGTATACGGTTACCATATTCGCTTTGTAATTTTGGACCAGGGCATTAAAAAGGGAGTTGCACAATTTTGTACCGTACCCCTTTTCTCGGAATTGTTTATTAACTGCCAATGAGGTCAGTACTCCGTACTCCTGTTTCTTTTTAATTCTCATTTCACCAAGTATGTAGCCGTGGATTTCTTTAGCTGTGCTTTCTAGTACAAATGCTAAATCGGGGAACTCGCCCATACAACATTTAATTTGTATAGCACACAAATACGGCTCAAAGTTTTGCTGATGGCACTTGAGGATCTTGGGAACGTCACTCATATTTGCAACCCGAATTTTTAACATTTTTTGCAGAAATGATTATTAAATCAGCAGAATGCAGAATTTAGGTTAGACTTTAAATGTCGCCAGTTACCTAGTGACGTTGGTAGCCCTGCTTGTTAGCTTCAAACTTTTTGAAAAGTTTTGTTAAAGTAAATTTCTAATCAGAAATTGGAACACTTAAATTTCTATTTTATTTTCATTAGGCGGTTTTTTTTTAATATACATACCTACCTAGGATAATCAAATAACTTTCGTAGTTCGAAATTCTGTTGTCTGTCGCGTATTGGCGCGAAATTTAAATTTAAGTATCATGATATTTTACTCCAGCTAGTTCATATTTTTTGTAAAGTTAAATGAAGTACCTACCTACTTAAATATTTGGCTAATGCAATTTAGTAGTGGATGCTGGCATAAATTGGTCTAAATGCAGCTTATGTTTAGTCAATGCCTAAGAGTAGCTTAGTTGAGCTGATTTTACATTCTAGAATCTTAAAGGGACTCTAGCTCAAAAATGAAAATAGTAGGAAAAAAAGAACAGTTCAGACGGCATTTTGATACCATATCTAGAAATCTAAATATTTAGTTTGTGTTTTAATGTGTTATGCTTCATACCAACGTTTTGTCTAGAAATCATTATGTCCAAAGGATAGGAAATCCTTGCTAGCGAGTTTTATAAGTACTGCTGCGTTAATATAATAGCATCATGATGTAAACCCAACTTCGTCATAACTGAAGGAGTTGGCAATTGATGTAATAGTGATAAAGTGTACATATTTTGTTATACCGTTTAAGTTACATGTATTTATAAAGAGTTTATGAATTTTAATGCTAAATTTCACTATCCATCGTAAGTGTCTACATAACGGTAAATTGTTCACTATAACAGTAGGTAGAGGAGACAAATCATCCGTCCTACAAAAACTTGGGTGGAATTTTTGCCTAGTGTGCAACCAAAAGTACTTGATACTTTGGCATATGCCTGATGGCGTAGCCGCCTCTCCCAGAATTTTGTCAATTGTGGTGGGGATGTGACCCTGGTAGGTACTATCAGGGGTGCATGTCCACCACTTTGTTGCCATTGCGCTGGTCCGCGAGTAGTTGTTAAAATTTAACGGGAAAACAACTAGAGAGTTTTGATTAACAAAATCAAGGCTACCACTCCATTTCAACATTTTTGAGAACTTTTCGTTTAACCGAATTTAGTAGACAAGTTTTTGAGACTTAATTATCCACTTTGCCTAAAGAAATGCTTGAAATTCGTAGCGCAAATATTAGCGATCTTAATGACATGGTAAACTGTCACGCAAGAAACTTTTTTCGTACTACGTCAGCATTACAAACGAAGTACTACATGACGAATTTTCCCCATTGGCTATTTGTGGTTGAAAGTGAGGAATGGAAAATACATGGCTCGGGCGAATGAAAAGGAGATGGGAAGGTGAACTAATAGCGTTATAGCAGTAGACCAACAATTTCGAAACATATGATACGGCGAAAAATTGTGTCATCGCTTCTTTAGTTCCATAGTCCGTCACCATAAAGGCCACAGGCGTAACTTTATACACTAGACATAGCAACTCTCCTGCTATAATATAGTATAATAATATAATAACATAATACGGTTGTATAAAAAATTAAACTTTCAACCTCAAGAAATTGCCTATGGATATTTTGAAGATGACGGGGACGCGTACCTTATGAAATGTGATTTGTCTAATTTCGATATAACGGAACCAGATAACAACTGACATAACCAATTAAATATTTGTTACTCACCACATGCAGTAAAATCTATTTGTACTTCCATGTGAAACCTAATAAATCATAAGTACCTACTTTGAATTGTTCAACGCAAAGGCATACGACACAAAATTTGGAAGTTCAGTGAATGTTTGAGAAGGCGGAACAAAATCATACGTCTACCGAATTCGTGCAACCCTTACAAATACGCAATGCTGCATTACATCAATTGGCAACTCCTTCAGTTATGACAAAGTTGGTTAAATTGTACTTCAGTACATAGGCATCGGTCTGGTCGGAAAAATACTCTGCTTCGACTCCTTCATTTTCAAAGTCTAAATTTTCGTAAAACTGTACTGCAAGCTCATTGGTAAGTCTGATGTATACGGTTACCGTATTCACTTTGTGTGATGATTTTTTCCCAATCGACCCAAAATTTCAGGACCATCAGAGAAAAAGCCCTATATTCGGGATGGTCAAACAGTTAGCTGTCAGAACTGAGGTTTTAATACATTATCGTGTAACTTGGCGTAACTAAACCGGAGTTACTGTACATATTATACCTATATTACGTAAACGTATTTAATTTTTATCACCACCTCGGCCCTCACTGTGCTATTTTACAAAAATCACGTCTATCATTTTCGCTGGGAATAGTATTAAATAGACAGTTCATGTGAACCCATCTGTGGAAGAGTACACAAAACAATCTTGTTCGTGAGTCCGCCGTTGTTTTTTGTTTTTTTACGCTCACCACTACATCTTTAGGTTCTCGGCATGCCATACACAATACCTAGGTACTTCCAAATTGGCTAAAGATGAATGCCTCACGATATGGTTCCTTAAAACTTGTCGGTATGTAACTGGTTTAAAATCCAACATTTCTTTGCTATTGTTTGTATGCCATAGTTATATCCATCCTTCTGTAAAGGTATATGTCAGGTGGTATATCTTTAACCATTTAAAAGGTGAGTAATGAGGTAAGTAATGCTCAAATAACGTCAAGTTGCAATAAATAAAAATCAATTAAACTATTATCTAACCACATGTCAAGCGTGTTGGAGGACATGGTAATACAGTTTTTCTCATTCCCATAACCGCTACTACATAATCAAGGGCAATGTTTTTTTTATATTCGTGGGAAATCTTATTTTTCTTTCCAAACTGTTTACATATTTGGTTTTAAAATAGTTTGTTGATGACTTGCAACGTTTTTGTTCCATTTTTTTGTGAAATACTATTTCTGGCACATATACACAGATAGGGTAGTTTTTTGGTGAATTTTCTCATGTAGCATATTACATTTGATAAGGCCTATCCAATTTTCAACAAGAGCATTGCTTTTCCAGCCATGGTTGAACAGATTTGACCAAAAAATTAAATAAGTTGGTAGCGCTTTAAACTAATGAGGCTAAGTTTCGTATTATAAAACGAATTAGGCTCTGCCACCTATACTTTTTTTTGGCATCTTCTTCTGCAGGGAATTAGTGTACTGACCATCAAGGGAGAACGTTACATTTGTTCCTCTATGAATAAATGAATTTTTTTTTATTGATATCAATTGCATCTACTCAAATGGGTTGTATAAGTATAAGACATTGAGGGAGATAATCATCCATTGATGTTACTCCTATATACCTATATATTACAGATTAATGCGAGATTAATGTACTATGATGTGTAATAGTGTAATAATAGATCGGTTGGCCAGGTCCTGTGTAGTCTCCTTGGGATTTCATCGTTTGAGAGGTGTCCGTGAGTTTTTGTGTGATAGTTGACAGCAATTCGGCGGATCTCGTCTTGCGCATAAGGGATCCCCAGGTCTTTGTGAATAGCAACATACCAGGGTGCGTTTATTATTGAGCGCATGATCTGGATTGGAAGCTCTGGATAATACTGATATTGGATTTCTTGGCACATCTCCACAGCTGAAGGCCACTATGTCCATATTGGCTTTAGGATGGGTTTATCCGAAAGGCTTGCATCGGTTGTAGTAATAGTTTTCAAAACTGGAGTGAAATGCCTTAAAATGGTTTGGGTAGTGCGAGTCTTCGGCGATTTTGATAAAGTATTTTAAAGACAGGTAGTTCCGTCTTTCTGGGAGCGTTAGGCTGCGTGCCTCTTCTAGAAGTTTGATGATAGGGCTGGTTCGAAAAGCTCCAATTAAGGACTTGATTAGCTATTGATTTTATTTAGATCTGATTTAGACACTGTGTCGTATGTGATTGATGCAGTATCAATTATAGATTGAAGATGACTTGTGTAGATCCTCAACAATGATTTTCTGTCGGCTCCACAGGTTATATTCAGAAGATTGATTGCGTTTGATCTCTGTCTTATATAGTTGAGCTTGAGGTGGTTATTCCGGTTAATTTTTGTGTCAAGATGTAGGTCCAGGAATTTATTGGATGGAACATTTGTGATGGGAATTCCATAGATTTGCAGTTTTACGTTCGGGTGAGGGTTTCTTTTTCAGTGGAAGTTTAATATGACAGTTTTTCCCCTGGAGAATCGTAGTCCTTTGCTTGTTATCGGCAGAATATCAGCCCTCCTGTAATGGGGACTGGATGTTATTGTCATCTACATAGAAAGAATATACAGTGATATCCATGTAGAAGTAGACATAGGGATTTCCTGTCTACTTTTACATGATAAAAAGTCTCCTGAAAGACGCCTAAATTTATGCAACCAAAATAACTTCTTGAAACAAATAAAGATCTGGCTGTCATATTAATTATTAATTTCAATATTGTTGCTTTAGCTTCACAGAAAATAAATCTCTTAAGCTCCTTTAACTGTTATCGGCACTATACCAATTGGAAATATCAACTTTTTCTTTAGTTTAATACATCGCACACGAACCGAAATTAGAATAGGGAAGGCAAAGCGATAATATTCAAATGAATTAGTATGACAGGCAGATCCTCATTTGGTGTAGGTAGTTACACTGGTTGCATAAAATTAGGCGCCTTTCAAGTGACTTTTTATCATGTAAAAGTAGACATAGGAAATTTCTATAGGAAATCCCTATGTCTACTTCTACATGAATATCGCACTGTATATACGAACTGTATCGCTTTCAGATACATATACCTAAACAATGGAGGGAAATACAAATTGTCTTTATTCCCAAACCTGGCAAAGTGGATTACACCTAAAGCATATGGCCCAATCACTTTGATGTATGCGGGTGATATATATACCTATATCCAACTAATTACAGGCAAATTTGATACTCATCAGTCAGACATCATGTTACAATAAATTAAAAATTTTATAATATTTATGAGTATATACAGTGTGTAAAGCGTATAAAGGGTATACAAGAGGGAATTTTTTTTAAATATTGATTTATGACAAAAATTTATTCTTCATGATATTTTTTGCTTGCTTTGAAAGTACCAATAACGTTTCGATTGTTTGTGGTTTGATAGCAATAAGCCGCGTACAGACCGGATTCCAACGCCAAGCCAACGAATCCAAGCACATGTGACGTGACGTTTGTCGTTGGAAACGATTGGAATGCCCTCGTCCACACCAAAATTTAAGATTTGAGTTGGACTTGGTGGGACCGTGTTGGGTAAAGTTCGGTAACCGGTGCTGCTAGTCTGTCAAACAATGTCAAGCGACGAGGACGAGGTAACAACACCATTTAAAAATAGGAGTTTGTATAGTGGCAGTGACTTACTAGAGGAACTTCAAAATGAAGCTGGTGGACATTTTAAAAAGGCAGACAAACGACTAAAAACTAAAATCGCGACAAATCCTGTCCAGACCACATCAAATTTCCCTTTGAAGTACCGCTCACCGAGCGAACGCAATCGAACGCCAACAGCGCCATTGGAAGCGGTTGGAAACCGTTGGCTCGCGCGGTACACACCAATCCGAACACCTCCAAATCTGTAACCACATGTGCCTTGGCTTGCGTTGGAAACTCGGTCTGTACGCGCCTATACGCTATTTTGATTATAATGTAGAATGATAACTTTCAATAAAAAATTTTTTATTTTTTTCCAGATTTCGATTTCTATAAATAAATTTTAGATTATCGAAACGTTATTGGTACTTTCAAAGCAAGCAAAAAATATCATGAAGAATAAATTTTTTTCATAAATCAATATTTAAAAAAAAATTCCCTCTTGTATACCCCATCGCTTTATATAATAGATTTGAAATAACAAACATAACACGAAAATTTAATAAGCGAGGCTATAGAAAGTAATACTCAATTTAATAACGTTTTAGAATTTAAACAGTAAAATATCGAAATAGTTCGTAAATGTTCCTTTAATTTATTTTGTCCGTTTGGTTGCTAAAAAGTGCATCTTAAGATTAGGGCACATATACATTAAATAAATATATAAAAGTTGTCCAGTTTGTTATAAAACTTTATTCCACAATAGAGTGTCGTGCTTTCATAACTACTTTTTGTATGACGAAGCACAAGTGACTGGTTTCTTCTTATATTATACGCGTTAATATTTTTTGGATTAACAGTGTTGTTTATGATATATTTTTTGACTAGTCATAAAATTTTATATATGTAAATTCAAGGAACAGTTAAAATCTTATGCTTAATATAAATACTTAGACCATGTAGCTCTAGGTACATGAAAGATTCATTATATTCGCGTCCAGTCCGAATATATTATCTTGATTATTTACCATGTAGTCCGCTCCCAGCGCTACTCTGCGTGCACCATAATAAACTAAGACTTACTAAGAAAGCAAACTTACTCCCTTTTCCCCTTACCACGTCTAAGCGGCCACCGCCGGAAACCCGTTACTCATTCGTTTTTGGTGCACTCTGCTGTGCGGTCGTTTCTTCCGTGCCTACGTACTGTACTCCGTTGTTTTGCAGCGTCAACTGGTTCTTTTTGTTTTTTTCCATTTACTCAGCGGTTCGTAGTTTTTTAGACTACGATTACGTAAGTAATTTATTATTTAATCTATTATTTAACACAGGACAATGGGTAAACATAAAAGAGACAGATCTAGGAGTAGATCGTCGACTAAGCGTTCTTTTAACAAAGAAATTAGAGATCTCAAGAGGAAATTGGATAAGTTGGAAAAGGAGAGAGACAGGGCTAAAAGAGATTTTTCCCGCTTCCGCGAAAGTTGTTCTCGTAATGAAACAATTACACGAGGTAATAGAGAATGCCGTTCTCCGAGTGAGTCGAATTCTTCAAGGCGGCGGCGGCGGCACTCCAGGTCCCAACGTCGTTCTCCCAGTGAGACGAGTTTGAATCCCGGGCGCGACACTCAAGGTCGCCGTGAAGGTCGTTCTTCGAGTAAGGCGACTTCTACAAAGCTTCCCTTTCGAAGGGAACAAGAAAGCCGCCGCCCCAGCGTCGCTCTCTCTCTCTTTACTCGTACTGACACGAGTCGCGCAGCTAATAGGGCAACTATCGATTTCGTTGCACCTGGCGGCCGTCACTCGAGTAGTGCGGCGCTTGTGGCTAGTTCTGCTGATTTTTCTCCCCGAAAAGAGGAGTCTCCTGCTCTAATCTTGCTTGATGATGCGGGCATCTCTGAAGAAATTCGACTTATTTTGGGTCCCGATCCAAACCAGCAGAAAAAGTCAACATTTAATTTACACAAGGCTGTAGAGCCAATTTGGACTCATATTTTAGGTTTTGGCCTTCCTAAAGAAGAGTGTGATGAGCTCTTCAAAAAATACGAGCTCCCTATCAATTGTAAGTTTCTTACACCCCCTCGTATTAACCCAGAGGTCGAGGCCAACTTGAATACGCTTCATTCTACCAGGGACCAAACGCATTCACAATACCAATTTCGGCTGAGCAAGGCTTTAGCTGCCCTGGGCATTTCTTTGAATGTGATTTTGGAGGAGGAGG